GTGGGGGGGAAGGGGGGGTTGAGTGAAGTTGTGCTGGAGTAACGGCCTACTAGCCCAGGGGGCTCTGAGGGAATGCCCCCGGGAAAATCTTAAAATCGACGATGCTTTCTCCTGATAAATTTAGGAATTTTAGCATTCCATTTATAACATTTTTGGCCCTAATTTACTACTATCATATTAGTCAGCGGCCGAAGGGGGGGGGGGTGTTCCGACCCACCCCTCTAGATGCCCACTGCTAGGCACAGGGGCTCAACATTATACAACCACATAAACAGACATGCAGATCTAGCCCTAACGAAACCTTTTGTCATAATCATGTTTAATACTCAAGGTTGTACATTAAATGTGGATACATTGCCGTGATTGTAATAGAAAAACGTGATTGCAATAGAAAAACAAGGCGCCACAAAAATTAGTATGAAATTCTGAAGCTCAAGAACGGAAACTGAGTTAGCCACTTCCGTTTGGTGCTGATGACGGGGAAATTAATGGCGAGATCCAAGGAAGAGACAGCTCGATTGGCATCAGGAACACAGAAAAATATGAGAGAATGTAGCGAAGAAAGTGAGTGGGTGAGGGCAAAGTCGCTCTGTCTTTGCAACATATTGTAGACTTGGTACGTTTAGTAAATCTGGTCAAGGTACGCACAAAATTCTATTCAATTGATTCAGAATGATTTAAAGGTCATAGAATGAGTTACAGTGTGTACCCAGTAGCATGGTAACGTGATGGAAATAACATATTTATCCACTTACGCCGTTCGCATGGAGTTTTGACATTTTAGGAGCACATGTACGTGAAACAAGTGGCGCCAGTTTTTGATGCAGGCCTGGGTTATCACATGCAAAGTAGGCACTAGTCTGATTATCGCCCGTTATCCATGGAGCCAAGTCTCCTGTATAACATCTGATATGTCAAAGTGTGCAGATTTATAAATGCGATCTCGCGCCTCGGCCAATCAGAGTCGACTTTACTAAATCGTGACGTCATTTCATTCTCAAATCAGGACTAAAACTGTGATTGGTCAATTTGAATGTTGTTCAATGTTGTGTTGAATGTCAATTTTGTATTTGTAATACAACAACAGCCGGGCGCTTGTCGTGTAACATAATACAGAGCACGTGACCAGAGCCGTTGTTGCTGTGTTTATATGGTTTTTTTATTATAGGTTTTTGTATCCATGTCTATTATGATGAGACAACGGTATATGACCGAAGACCGTATGTAGAATGCGCCTGCTGATTGGTCAAAATCTAGAGGTCAAGATGCGGTTGTCATGTATAATTAATCATCGAATCTGCTCCAATGTATTTAGACCATGGCTTTCGCCATGATCTGTTACATACTAGTAGACTAAGTAGGCACGAAAAATTTGGGGCCAATATTACAAATTTGAGGGGGCTATATGAAAATACAAGTGTGCTGTAAAACACACACATACTTGTTCTGTATTGGTGGGGACATACCGTACACCCAGTCGTTTTTTGCTATGCTTCCGAGGATTGGCTTTGTGTTTTCCTTTGTCCCTGTAATATAACACTCTCCCATAGACTAAGCACACAAACCTGCGTTCGAGGACAATAGGCACCTTCCTTCGAGGATCAATGGCCCCTTTGTGCTCCTTTTGTTGTCTGTCCTCAGGCGTAATGCCATGCAGGAACACTCGTCTGTACGAGGTATTTGTGGGGACCGGAAATGCTGTGGGGACAGCAGAAAGTCCCCATAAGGCCAAAAAAAAAAAGTCTCCGGTTTCTGGTATTGAGCTTGCCCCAAAAGTGGTGCGGCGACGCGGCTTTTTTTTTTTTTTTTTTTACCTGGTTTTTTTTTTTGGCTTCAAATGTCGGCTGATGACTGCAAATGGTGCCCGACTAAACTTAGTGCAAATATATGGGAGTCCAAAGAGGCCACATAAAGCTTATTCTCGACCATAACCCCATCTAAAAACACGTTAAAATTGTGCAGCAGCAGAATTCCAGTCGAACCAGTGAGTTTGGCGGTTTTGAGACATCATCTTGTATTGAAAATTTTTTTTTTCATTTTGCCGACGCGCATGGCTACGGCGACGCGCGCGCATACCAGAAACCGGAGACTTTTTTTTTTTGGCCTAACTCAGTCCTAATTTGCTTAATAAAAAACTTCCCCATATCAACTGCAAACAAGCAATGTACACAGTTTGACTTGTAGGCTTGGGTTTGACTTTTAGTTGTTCCTTACCTTGAACTCAACTTCAGTGACTTGTACATGTATTTTGATGAGTTGTAGTTTGTTGCTGGTCAGATTCAAATTAGTACGTTCTGGTATAAATTAAATCAAGAGTTTCTCAAAAGTGCACGGGCACTGTGACTCGGAAATGAGAAGGTTTAAAACGGATAATGACTGAATGCCAATTGAAATCTCTAACAGTAAAGTCTCGATACAAAGTAATGTGGGCAATTCCTTGTGGATTTTTATCTCTTCATATCCTTCATATCCGCTGCTTATTAAATATAAACAAAACTCTGTTTGTCCCTCGGGATGGACGAGCAATTAAAACGGCAAAGCAGAAAACAGCTTTTTCTTTCGTTGTGGCACAGCAGACTGATTGCTTTGTAGGGGAGGGACAAATTAATTTGTTTTCGAAAACAAAATTGTGGGGATCAGAAACTAATCAAGGGGGAACACACTGCTAATTTCAATGATGCTTTGACAGTTAATTTTTGTTGAAGTTTCAGAGGGTACACTTCACAATATGGTTGATTAACAGGTAGGGTAGGTCATTTGTCGTTTGTGCATTTTTTTCCGTTTGAAGCAACAAAAGTGCTCCAAATGTAAAGACGGGTGCTTAACAACTAACCTGATGAAGTTTTAGCTCAGTGAATGCTGGACTTTTCAAGTAAATAATATTCTAGGATCTTCATTTTAATTCAAAAGTTGCCGAGTGATGTTTTGAATTGTGCCCGAAATCAGCATTCCGCGCTTACGATCACCATTCGATGCTAACCACGCTGGCAGAACAATTCTGCGCTAACCCTGTAAGCGCAGAATCATAAGTTACAGGATGTACCCAGTACACATGCGCAGAAGCCAAAATTCTTCACTAACCCGTGAAAGACGCTTACTGTAAGCACAGAATGTTCTGCTACAGTAAGCAGGGATTTTTTACTTAGTGTATAAAGCAGAGCCATGAAATTGACATCACCGTTTGCAAGTTAGCCACGCCCCCTAGACAAACCTATGGAATTTTGTACGTTAAGTTTTGTTTATCTCAATTTTTGCGCATTCCGCGTCCATTTGTGTATCATGTAATTAGACAATATATGACAAGCTACGGTACGTTGACGCGATACTACCGCGATAGGTAAATTGCGCCCTGGTTGCAATGAATGGTTATTAGCTTGTCAAACCTTGAGGAGATGGGATTTGCCATTTGCTGAAAACATGAAATTGTGCCAAGGACGCGTCTTCAAATTTCAGACCTCATTACCAGGCCTGGCTTATGCTGAGCCGATGTTTTGTCAGCCAATATTTGTTTTGGGTTACGCAAAGACTCCAAATCCTCCGGATTTCCTATTTTTGATTGAAGTATTTACTAGCGCTAACCAACTTCCGTGTCACGCATCATTGTTTCTAGGAATTCGTAATCTAGTTCTCAAATCAAATTTGAAATATTCTATTAATTAAATATAAAAACCTCAGTTTTTCTTTAAAAGTTGTAATTACTTTCAGGATTTTGACATTTTATTTTAAATGGAATTAGAGTCATTTTCCTCTGGGTGTTTCTTGCATAACTGCTATTTTTGCCTTTAGTTAGTCATCAAAGTTCAAAAGATCTAATTCTTCTTGCGTAGTACAACAGTAAACCTTTACCATAGTATATGACTGCTTTTTAAAAAAAAAACACACACACACACAAAAGGAGAGAAGTAAATGAATTGTTCCTGTCTTTTGGCTGTATATATACATAGACTAAACCCTCACTTAAAATAAACTGATTCAATTCATTTCTTAGACGTTAGGAGTAAGGACAGAGTGGTAAAATTTTTTGTCAGCGTTATGAAAAAAAAAAAGAATTCCACAAACATAATTACACCATATAAGATTTTAGGCTTTGCATGGTGGAGTATCAATATCGAGTCTCCTGACGATGACTAGAGCAGGCTAGTCGAAACGTTGAGACCAAAGACAAGTTGTTTTAGAACTTAAGGCAGGACTGTTTTTATCAGAACTGAAACTACTTAGCAAAAGTTGATAATAAGCAGGACAAGTTCTTTTCAGAACTAAATATCTTTTAAGCAGTACCGGTAGTTATTACCATATGGTGTTACCGCAAACCAAAACAATAACTGCACCACTTTCACACTTGGCAAGTTTTAAGATCTCTCGTGTGTGATTTTAGTTGGAATAACACTTGAGGTTGATTTGCCCTGCACATTTATAAGCAATGCAGGACATATGAATAACCGCAGGATGTGCGGTATGTTGAACAGGTAGTTGAAACTCGGCATCTTTGGGACAAAAGCTTTGTGGCGGAAAGTATTGTGAACTGCTTTTATTCTCTCAGCCTAAAACACGTACTGGATCATTTGCAGTTACCCAAAAGGTAACCTACCAAATTATTATCACAAACTTACTTGGATTAAAGACTGTATTAGCACTAAACATCTCGTGAAGTTATTCCGTCTGGCTTGCTGTCATTTAGAAGAAATAAAAAAATGTTGGTGATATCCAACCATCAGTTAATTTACTGTTTTTTGGAATAAAGAGTTATAATTACGAAATTGGTTTCGTGTTCAAAAGGTTGTGCATGGATTTTCACTGTTTTCTCGAAAAGTGTAATATCCACTGAGCTGAAACTTCTACAGGTTAGGTTTTGAACGTTCTTCTTTGGATTTCGAGTGGTGTTATTATTGGAATTAAACAAAAAGCATGAAAAGCAAATGACCCTTTATGCCTAAAGAAGCATGTGGCATTTATATTTATATATCATTATTTGTTCTTTTGTTCTTGTTCCCCTTTTCTAGGAGGGTCCACATCACCACGCCGACGTTGAAGTTCCTCAATGGCGACTACGAGGTCGAGCCAGGCAACGGGAAGGACCGCAACTCCTACCTGAGAGATCACAACATTGATACCTACCTCATCGTGGCCAAGGGACCCCGAAAGGTACATGTACATGCAAAGAGATACATAATATTGTGATAATGTGGTGCTTATGCATTTATAACGCTTTACATGTATATGCTCCGTTCACAAGTACCCCCTCACCGGCAAAGAAAGTTCAGTTGGGGGTGACCGGACGACGCCATCTTGCCTGACTGCAATATTTTGCCGCGGCACTGCGGGTACATACTATACAGATCCCCTGGTGTACGTGCGTCACACACAAGGAACGGTGCGCGCACGTCAACCAGCGAAATGTAGTGTCCCGCCCATGGGACGTCATTGCTAAGTAAAAGGGCTCCCTCTTTTGTTGGCGCACGGAGCCCATACCAAAGTCACAAGGTACTTCACATTTATTATAACACCTGATCACAAGTTCATGAGACCAGTTTTCTGCCACAGCTTAAGATCTGCGCAATCTGGTATCTCCACTCATGGGTACCCATTTATACTCATGGGTGGTGAGAGGCAATTGTGGTAAATTGTCTTGCCCAAGAACATCAGCAGAACTAGCACCATGTTTCCCGTCAGGGCTCGAAACCCTCCTTTTGGGGCGCCAGAAAAGAAAAATTATAGGAAAAAACAAAAAAACAAAAACACAAACCGTTAATCCCCCCTCTCGATAGCTCAGGCCCCCCTCTCACGTGTCAAACCTTGATCTGCCCCTGGCAATCTTATTTCAAACTTTTATTCCAAGGTGAGACTTAAGCAAGAACCTGGGACCAGCAAAAACAAACGTGGTTCCTTCATTAAAATAAAACAAACAAATTTCACAAACTCAATAGGAGAAAAAAAAAACTTGGGTTAACATGAACATTAGTTCGACAAGTTTGAATGAAATCGCCGCATTGCTAAAATATCAAATGTCACTGCACTTGATTCAGTCAGGAAGCCACCAAAGGGTCTCTGGGCAAAGAACACACCATTAGGCCCAAGAACTCATTATTACCCTGCAAGTTTATGCCTTCAATTTACTCATAAATCTGGTCCCTAATCACCCACATAATAATCTCTGTGTGCACTTGCCCATCGTAAATCTGCCCTACTGATTACATACAATCAACCCCAGAGACAAGCTTTTATTTGGATTGCGGCTGCATGCGTACTTCAGTCTGGTGATGAATGTTAATAATGAGCCTAGCAACATTTTGTAGGTTTGATTTGCTGGTTTGTTTTTGATACAGGTTTTTCTCAAGTAAATTGCCGTGAAATTTATTGTCCAAGGCTGCATGATGAAATGCCCTGCATAATTTGCTGTGGAACTGTGCTCGCTAACTTGCCCTGTTTAGTGTTGTGTAATTGCAACATTCATATTTGTACAATGCGAAATTGAGTGGCAATGCAAAATTCATACTGTACCCAAGGGCGGATCCAGAACACAATTTGGGGGGGGGGGGCAAAAAGTGTGACCAAAAAATGACGGCGTGGGGTTCGGGGCCCTTTAAGGGCCCCAAATTTTTTATTGGATTCTAGATGCTCTGTGGTGTGATCTGAGTCAATTTCTGACCACTTTAAAAAAAATTGAGGAAAAGATGGTGGTGTACGGAGTGCCTGCCTTTATTGTGACGTCACTTTAAAAAAAATGGGTTCATTTTTTTTGGGGGGGGGCCATGGCCCCTGTGCCACCCCCCCCCCCCCCCCCCCCCCCCCCCCCCCCCCCCCGATCGGCCCTTGACTGTACCTTACATGTATGGCCATTTGCAGTGATTTCCGTTTCAATATTGCAAAGCATCAGATGATCAAGCGCAGACAGAAAAAAATGTGAATAATTATGTCTGATTCTCAAAATTCTGAATGTTAAGACCTTTATTACCTCCATACTAGCTTACTACTTACTTATGCTATCACATCCATCATGGAGGCCCCCTTCAATGGCGAAAGCATTGTGCTAGCTACTGTTCAGATAATCCGCCATGGGGCAGTACCTTTGCACAATAGCTTACACAATGCTTTCGCCATTGAAGGGGGCCTCAAGAGTGTACAGTGATCACGTGCCCAGATTATATTATATAAATAATGAATGTTTACAAGTGCAATGGTAAGAATTATTTCATGAGGTGACAGTTGGAATGTTCCTTTCCAGGAGGGTTGGGACACATGATTTAGTGACATGTGATCAGCATCCTACCAATCAGATGACAGGGATTTACTTGTATTCAGGCGTATAAAGTCTCATGGCCCCTATTCACAGATGAAAATGGTCCGTTGCTCATAAGTGAACATTTCACACAGGGATGGAAAACTGTATGCATGGGCGTCGCCATGATTTTTTCTAGAGGGGGGGGGGGGGGGGCAAAGCACATCCCCCCCCCCAAAAAAAATCCTTGTACTTTCTCTAGGATATTCTCAATTTATCATTTTTTCGAGGGTGGGCAGAGGACATTTACCCACCCCACCCACCATTGACACCCCAGGCCTGCAGACGCCCATTTTGTTAAATTTGTATTAAATTAATAGCAAATTTGACTTCACACCTGTTTTTTTTTCTCCTTTTTTTTTTGTTGGCATTTCTAGGGGGGCAATGTACTTTATTCTGTTAATATGGTAAGAAATGAATGGGTGTTTTTTCAGCATGCTGTGCTAGTCAGCTCGTCGACATCATAAACACCAGTGTGCTAAATTGTCCAAAATGCATCATCGTGATATTTACTAAGGTTTCTAAGCTTGATGTATTCGTATAAGGTCTAAACTGGCCTGTTGAAACAGCTTTATCTTCATGTACATGTACATGTACTTTACAACCTGAGAATTCTGCCTCAGTCAATTTCGTTTGCCCAACTGAATTTAGAATCTTCAATTTCTTTTAAAAAACAATCGTGCAAAGCTATCTGATTGCCCTTTAATCGCGCTCTCATATTCCCCACCATCCACAGAATAACGACCTGAACAACTCCCCACTGACATCCAATGGGGAACATCGAGGCCGCTCCTCCTCCGTGGCTCAGCTGGAGAGCTGGGGGGCTGAGAAGCCCTTCTCCAACTACCTGACCACCGTGCCGGCCCACCGAACCAAGGACCTGCGCAAGCACTTTGAGGGGGACCGCCCGGCGGGACAGGCTAACCTGGAAAATAAGTAGGTGTCTTTCTTATTATATGCAAATTGCTGTGTCCTTTCACCAAAGCCTTTGGGTTATTTTTTTTTCGTTTTTTTTTCTCTTGATTTTTGTTTTTTGCTTTTTTGTTTTGGGTGAAAGAGAAGGATGTTTGCAACTGTGGTGCTTGAGCATCTGTGTCGTCCTCCCCCCCCCCCCCCCCTAAAAATCATTTCCCCAACTCCACCCAGCCTTCCATTGGGATAAAGCAAGTAAAGACAGGGTTAAAAAATTCGGACAGCATTAATATATCTCGCATAAAGAATACAGGTTCCCCATCGTGTATCACTATGAAAGAACCCTAAATAAACCAAAACATGACGAAATTGCAACTATATTCAAGGATGATAAATTAATACATACACAGGGTGGTAAAAAAAAAACCAGTTTACGCTTATTCAGACGCAGATTTCTCAAAATTTGAGAGACGTGTTGAAATTGTTCTGAGATATTCCTAAATTACAAGATCTTGATGGTACATGGTGAAAACGGCGTTGAGAATAAAGCCGAAATTAAGAAATAGCAGCAACTTACAGAAAAATGGTCAAAAACCAGTTTATCCACACGCAAGTCTATGAGACATGGTCAAAACAATAGCACTGCGTGCACAAAGAACTGCAAAACAATGACCATGTCTCACCATGTTGGTATTTATGTAAATGGCCGCCATTTATTAATTAAGGCTATATTTTTAACGCCGCTTTCACCAAATACCATGAAGATTTTGTAGTTTAGGAATATCGTAAAGCAATTTTAACATGTCTCCCCAATTTTGAGAAATCTGAGTTTGAAAAGTGAAACTTTTTTTGTGTGACTACCCTGTAGAACAAATTTGAGTGCTCAGACAACTTGTTACTAGAATAGAGTTGGAATTATATCTCTCCAAAAAAAAAAAAAAAAAAAAACAGAACACCAACATACAATTTATTTTTGCATTGAAGTACAATGTATGAATCCCTGCCAAGTACGTAACACATAAACTGACGTACATGTACACATCTGTTTCACAGTAAACGCAAGAGGAGAAGCGTTGTTCTGAAATTAGCCCTCATTGATAAAAGAAGGCCATGGAAACATTCTTTGACAGAATACTTGAGTTACAAGTCAACTCAATTTGCCTACATTCTTGGTGTATTCTTGATAACAAATTGACAAGGTTTTTATTGTTCATTTCCTAACAGTTGAAACTAGAAAGCACGCAGAGAGTGCAAACCTCCGCCAAGGCTAAACAATTCCCCACCATATTGTCAGTACACCCAAAAGAAATACTCGCACAAATGGTGAAGAACCCCTAAAAAAAACCTGGATCCAGACCCAGATCCGGATCACTTCCAAAATCTAATCGGTTTGCACTTGTACCAAGGACTATCCTTACACAAATTTTCATGCAAATCCGTCCATAAGTTCTTGAGTTATCTTGTTTACAGACAAACCAACCAATAAACTAACCAAATCCGATGAAAACATAACCTCCTTGGCGGAGCCGGAGGTAATAATGGTGTAACAGTAAATTATGAAATCTCACTGGTCAAGTCCAACATCTTAGAACATCTCTCATTGCCTTAATTTGTATCTAGATCTCAGTGCAGGCCTTATCACATTTCTGACTGCAGCATCTGTTCTGTTGGACGATCACTTACAGCGCGCTTTGTGCTCTTGTCAACCCCGTTCACAATAAAGCTGCCCCATTATTGTGGCGCACGTACACGAACACGTCCACGCACATGCATCAGTATTAAAACACGGTTTCAGAAAGGTGAACTGATCCGTCAAAATCAAGGATAGCCTACTTTGATAAGGAAGTGAAATGTTATCGGTAACACGCAGTGGCGCAGTCGTATTCAGTGCAGTGTTAATATTAACAGTCCAGACTTGTATTGTGTGTCATTCGATTTCAAGCCTTCGTACCTGGGAGGGACATTTTTAATAATGTCAGCAAGTCGGCAATGTAGAGTGCGCGCACAGTGTTTTTGTGTCCGATTTCACGATACATTAACCTGTATTATTCTGATTAACTAGGGCGGAGTGTTCGTGATGTTGAAGATATTGGAAATGGAGAATCTCGGTTGTGATACTGCAGTGATGGAAGTGGCATCATGTTGGCTTGATACGACATTTGACTTGATCCCGAGTTACAAAATTTACAAAACTGTTATGAACATGAAACTCCAAGCATTCATAAGCAACCGTATGGTATACATGTACATGTAGCATTAATAAGATAGGACGGCCTCAGGTCAATGTGCAATTTGCTAGCTCCGCGACGGAACTAGCCTTGGTCAAGGCGTTCGTTAATAGTGTCCGTGATGGTATCTGGCCGCCAAAAACAAAAACACTGTAACGGTTTTATAATTTACTTATTTATTTATATAATAGTGTTTTTGTTTTTAGCGGCAAGATACCATCAGAGACACTATTAATGAATGCCTTGACCACAGCCGTGCTCTTTGCACTGTACAAAGCACTATTAGCGAACGCTTGACCAAGGCTAGTTCTGTCGTGGCACAAGCAAATCGCAGGCCAACCTGAGGCTGGCCTTACAAATTAACTTCATTGAAATGAAAATATTATTCATTGTTCTATATTTTAACACCTAAGTCAGAATTTTGATAATTTTGCCTATATATTGTATTCATAAATACCTCAGACAGTTTAGCCATTCCTATTGGTCGAGAGCCCGTCACGTGGCCGGTATTAAACGGATGATAAAGACATGGCTAGCTGGTCTTAAACACTTTTCCAGTGTCACAACAAAATGTGGACTCCTAAAAATCCAGTGCCTCTTAACGTTTCATTGGTTGAACGTTCACAATCCTCACGTAGGCATGCGCAACACTACAAGCGAGACAGAATTTTATAGTTCTAAATTCAAAACGCAACGCCCAGGTGCGTTCTGCGTGACATCGCGCAGAACATGCTACGCGCGCGTCAATCTCCATAAAAGGGTTGTTTACATCTTACTCGCCAGCTGAACACTCCATTATTTTGCTAGAGGGATGTTTCAAAAAGCATGAAGTGAACTTGTTGAACAAAATCGGGATTTTTTGAACGAATTATTTAATATTTTTTTACGGATAAGGTATTTATGAATGGGAATAAATATGTGCTCGGTCGGTATTTATCACTCTGTTTAATACCGCTTAGAGTCTGGGTGCTGATAATTACCCTCGCCTCCGGCTCGGGTAATTATCAGCACCCAGACTCTAAGCGGTATTAAACGAGTGATAAAAACCTCCGGAGCACACATTTATTCCCTTATTATAGGCTGTATCTCAAGATACGGTTGCGCAACTTCCAACTGGTTTTGTGCTTGAGGGTCACACTGTATTAAACAAAATTGTTTTGTCACCAGTAAATATATATACATAGTCATTCCATCCTAATGTGGTCTGGGATTTGGTTATAATTTTTTTGGGGGGGGGGGGGAGTGGTCACCAGGAGCATTAATGTTTTGGTTAACATTTAATAAAATGTTTGCCAGTTTGCCTCACAAACCAAAAATTTTTCAAATTTTCAAAAAACACAGACCATTTGGCAGTTTGATCAACAAGAAAAAACACTGGTCTTCCTCTTTTTCAAATCGGGCATAAAAAACTAGGTTGAATATTCTGACGTCAAACTGACCTTTTAAGGTTTGATAGCAGGTTTTTCCACAAAACTTGGATAAAAAATGTCTCCGTTCACCGTCCAGATGTCGATTGATGAAGATTAATGTCTGCTCTGACCCCATTTGTCCGAGAACAAACCGACATGTTGTTGACCGGTGTTGTGTAAGGGGCCACTCTGCATCGTGTTAGAGCAAAGGTCTAGTGTGTGTATCAATTAAAATACATGGTTCTTGAGAGTTGGTGCATCATTTGTCACGGCACCAGACATGTCATTAAAAAAAAAAACACCTGAAATTACATTAAATCCTAATTCCTGATAAGTACTGTTTTTTGTGCATGTAACATTCAATTTGTTTGCTTTTCCAAGAAAATTTTAAAAAAGGGTTAAAAAAAAACTGGTAAAAAATCATAGAAACCTAAGACCGTTTACCCATTTCTTGGTCAAGAGCCTGTCACGTTTAAACGGTTAATAAACACAAAATGGTTTACACTTTATTCCTGCACTACTGCATTCTGCGCCACATTGTGCACTATGCGCCACATTGTGCACTATGCGCCACATTGTGCACTATGCACCGTGTGCCAATAAAAGGAGATTTTTAGCACTACTCGCGTGAGGCACATGCCATGTACCATAGACACGGGAAGAGGATGTTTCACAAAACATGAGGTAAAATTGTTGAACAAAATCGTTGGAAAATGTTTGACTTGTTTTGACTTTTTGACTGAAAGGTATTTGCGCATGGGAATAAATGTGCTTGGCCGGTACGTTTAAAACCGGTTAGGGGCCTGGCCATGGATCGGCGAGGGCCATTATCGGTGGCCAGGCCCCTAGCTGGTTTTAAATGTACTTATGATATCAGTATTAATATTGATAATCATCGTATTGATTTTAAAGACTTGCTTTTAGTTAGGATCATTTTCTACCCCAAGAAGGGCAGGAGGAAGGTTGTGAGGAGGGGTAAGGGAGTTCCTTGTGAATGTGTTTTTGAAACTATTTGCTTCATTTTTCAATGGTTGGTACAGGCCATGTAAATGTGGCGTCAGTGTAGCTGAGTTTGGTATGAGTACATTTAATAAATTCAATAACATTATAAATCAAGCCCAAATCCTCAACAGACAGAGTACATGCATGTGGCTGTCTTTCACATGGAAATTATATACAATGTATACATTGACAATGTATACAATGTATACATTATAATGAACATGTATACATCGCTTGTTTATGCCTCATCTGTGTATTTCCTGCTTTAGGTGCACTCACGTCCAAACAAATTCTGATTTGTGTAATCAAAATTTCTAAAAACAGCACTAATGCTGTTATCCAGTAAGTTCAAGCAAGGGTGAGATTTGGCAGGATTTTTCATGATTTCAGGATTTGTTTTACAGGATTTTTAATCAGAGTTTGTTCTGATTTTTGTTTTATTTGGTTAGAATTTTCCCTGATTTCAGGATTTTTAAGGAATTTCTTTTGAAATCTGGAATTCCAGATGTTTCACCGTAGGGCCTAAAGGTGTTTTTGCCTACATAGCAAGGCTCTATAGCCTTGCTATTTTAGGGGCACCGTAAGGTAAATTTAGATAAAATACTGTAAATCATAGACCCTAAATTGGCCCGGGGGACTCGGTGACCCTTAAACCCTCTGCTGATAATTTCGTGGATTGATCCTTTTCTCCCAACATCACCCTTGAATAAGCAACACTCCTCCTTTTGGAGCATTGCATCCTGTGTGGCATCATCAGAATGTGACAACATTGGTCACATACGCAATAGCTGTCATGTTGGCGTTAAGACAAACACGAACGCTTCCACCTTCGGAGGTCATGCCCAGCTCTCGTAACATATCGTTTCACACCCCCCCCCCCCCCTCACCTCTCCATGTGCCACAGTGGCTTATTCGATTAGCACCTCCGGTTGGTTACATTACCGCAGAATACCGGGTGAATGATTATGGGGCGGGCGGCTATTTTTGGGGAGAGACAGTGGGGGGGAAACAAACAAATGGGAGCAGCTGCACTGTCGCCATGAGGAGAACGGAAGGAAATAATGTCGTCAGTGGTCGCGCCTGTTCTGCTCGTAGGGGAGATGGTGTTACATCACGTAGCTATAGACAGGTAAAGGCCCAAAGGTGCTGGTTGGAGATCGTCATTACCACATTGCATTGATATTAGCTGTCAGTGGATGAACCAACACTGATACCATTTAAAGGGTTCTTGGAGGGAATATAAACTTAAAGGGAATATACATCATTTGCTTTTGCTGTAATTTTCAGAAATGGATGGAATTGGGGGGTTGGAAATATAAAGCAAATATAGTTACACTGACTTTTTGGAGGTTTTGGGTTCGAAAATGCTATAAAAACCAAGAAAAACGATCATTTTCCTGTAGTCTGGTTCCCTGACTCCATATAAGAAGAAACAGAGCAGTTTACATACATTGGGGAATTGTAAGGTCAGGAACCAGTCTAGCTGGCTCGTACCCGTTCATAGGTTTGTAATCGATTGCAAACAAGTGCAATGGTCAATTGGGGCCAGTATTTGAAAAAAAGCCAGTTGTTTCCAACGCTGATCGGCCGATCAGCGTTGGAAATTGATACAAAAATACCACTTTTCTTGAAAATGACAGTATACCAGGTGCCATAATTTTACAGGATGCTTTAGACTGTCATTTACCAACATCCTGTTAAGGTATTTCGCAAAAACTTGGTAGTTTTATTTTTCGATGTTTACAAATGTTGTATATTCCCTTTAATGTTGCTTTCGCTGTGCGTCAATATGTTTTTCTCTAATTGATTAAATTTTCAACTCTCTGTTTTTGGAGGGAATATAAACTTAAAGTTGCTTTCCCTATGCGTCAATTTGTTTTTCTCTATTAACCCTAACTCCCTGGGCATTTTTGCTAGGATGTAGCCTCAATCCTGCAAAATCCTCCAATTGGACTCACGGAAAAATTGCATATAGCCTCAATCCTCCATTATTTCTTGAATATATGGCCTTTTTGCTTGGATGTAGCCTCAATCCTGCAAAATCCACCAATTGGCATCATGGAAAAATAGCATACATGTATATATCCTAAATCCTGCAAATTCCTCCATTATTTCTTGAATATGGTCCGTGGAGGGGTGACCACTCCTGCATCCTGCAAAATCCTGCGGCAGTGACTGTCAATATGTTGAGGCTTGGGCAGTGACATCCTGGAGCAGTACGGAGGATTTCAAGCATAATCCAGACAACTTGGGGACAACTTGGGGACATTTTTGATAGATTGCGGCATAGCATTCTGCCCCCTCACAAAAACACCATCTTGATAAAAAGAAAAAGGAAAAAATGGAGCTATTTAATATGTTTTTAAAGTACATTATAAGGGTGTTTGCCGAGTCCATAAGAGTGGTCCCAGTGTTCTTTGTGCATGCATTTGTTCAAGGGATTTGACATAACTTTCTCTTGCTTAACCAGTCATTAGACCCCAAAACATTTACCAACAAAATACTCAAGAATCGTCAACGCAACCGGTGTCATTTTTGTTATGGTTTCAGGTACCGTGTTGGACACGATCCAAATCTACCGGTACATGACTACAGGTCCATGATGTGGGTATTTATCACACCAGCTAATTTTTTTTTTTTTTTTTTAGGATTTTAGTGATTCAGATTAACCAATCATTGGGCTTCATGTGGGAACTACACGTACATAGAGGGCGCTGTTGCATCATAAGTGCCAAATGAGGGTGCAATTTCTTTATAGCCTAATGTTGACAGATGTTTTCCACAAAGATGCACTGTGCAATGGTACTTATATATGTGTAATTCATGGTAGCCCTTGGTTGAACACTGTATTGCGAACTCCTCCTCTTGAGTGTGTGCGAACCAGCTGACCATATTGCAAAGTCAACTGCAAATGTTTGCTTGAGACAGCACTATGGGCTCTGTTAATGAACACTAGACGGCGCCCTTTGACCCCTTTTGAAAGTTGCAGCGTGTGCACGCGCTAATCTTATTCTGAGTGTGCACTTGCAATGACACAAACCCATGGCGAGTTGGTGTGAGCATCAGGCGCGACGGGCAGTGCAGTAATTTTGAGAGTCCCTCCCAGTGGTCTCCCCCAACTCTCCCTTTGTAACGTTGAGGGGGTACTTGTGCACGGAGTCTATAGCACTCAAAACTTGAAATTGCCCACGTTTGGATATTCAGTTTTTCAAATGTGTCGTGTAGTTTTTGCATGGAGCCCATTTGATGTCAGAATTGCAGTTGCAGTGATAATAGAGTCGATCACAGCACACTATATTGCAGATATCAAACAAGCACTCATATTTGTGGGCACCATTAAGATCACACTAACCCTTAACTCCACCGAAATTAACAAGATCTATCATCAGGGAGCGGTTTCTGTCTGGCCTCGTTCGTTGATCTTAGCCAGTTAGTGGTCATCAAAAATACCTCTGGTTAGCTTCAGTTGGATTCAGCAGGCCTTAATTACACATGTTGGATAGTATTGGATTTGGCAAAATCTTAATAAAATAGGGATTGGCGTACAGGTACATAGGTGGTTATGATGGACATTTTTGTCATGTAAACCAAGACATTTTCTGAATAACATTAAATCCAACCATATATGGTTTGATTTAATGTTATTCAGACAATGTCAATAATATATGTTCAAAATTGTTTTAAATTAAAAACTTTCAAATAAACCACAGAGGGCAGCCATATCATCTCTGAGTGATCCCCGTTTGCTATTTCCCAGATTGGCAGCTTTGAGACTTTAGGACCTGATCCGTGGCTACATGGCATACGAGTTTATGGCTTGGACAAAGACATTGACAAAATGGGGAGCCGCTAACATAGAGCTGGACAGCTCAGTTGGTAGAGCACTGGAACAGCAATGCGGAGGTTGCGGGTTCAAACCCCGCTCCAGTCAATTTCTTTGTTCAACTTTAAATTAATTTAAAAAAAAAATTACTCATTCATTGTAATACAGTCTAGACACCAACAAATGTGCATTACGTTCTCAGTCATCACACCACACACACATCCAGGCCTACCTTACATACCTAGCGTGGACATTCCTTTGTCTTCGCACTTTTACTCGCACTGCGAACAGTCTTTCGACACAATTTTTTTTATCATGATTTCCTTGAGTGTTCCTCTTCCTTTTGCGATGGATAACCCTAATCCCAAAATGCCTCTAAACCTGTTTTCCAGAGAGGGGGAAACCTTGTGTGGACCTGGCTTAGTCCACAGGAGGTTCACACAAACTGCATAGTGTGGACTTGTTTTGTTTTCAGGTCCACACAAAGATGGTAAGGCTGGCACACATCCTCACACACACAAGTGTCCCTCTTGTTTGTTCTTTTTAGGAAGACCTCCCATATGTTTTGTACACATCGCCAAATTGGGGACCTTCAAGAATTGGGGACCCTATTGTCCTCTATTGTTCAACGTCCCCTATTGAATGCAGAAACAAACTCCTACACACCATTCACGTGCACTTTACTTTCACAATAACTTTACTTCACTATGTACAGTGCTATGTCTTAACTCCCCAACTCCATCAAAACCCATCCCCCCCCCCCCCCCATTTTGGTGGATTTTGGAGGACTTGGTCCTGTAGGCCTGGTATGACTAAATATCAATGGAGTATGATGGACTTGGGCCTGGAGGCCTAAAGCAAAGCATGTATTGGAAGCAGTGTGATTGATGGATTTGGGCGGACTTGGTCCAGTACTTATAGGGAGTTAGGCTTAAGCTTCCATTGCCTCTGTGTGAGACAGTTGTTGAGAGCAGCGCACCAACTACAGCATAGTTGTATCAAATGCGACCTTTTTGCTTCATTTGGATGGATTTATGCCAAAATTGATGACAGAGGTGATGACAGAAAATTGATGACATGTAGAGGTGATCCCTACACATCTGAAAATGCAGCTCCATTTGTTGCTCATTTGTGGTGCCAAGATGTACCAGACAGCACCTGGACGTTTATGATCTAAATGATGTCACAAAACCTTGTCAAATTTCTGTCCGAATTTGACGTGAGTCAATTTTCTAGACCAATGAAAACAGAATCAGATACACAAAATAACAGTCATTTATGAGCTATAATTGTTTTCCCTTATCTCCTGTGTTCGTTAGACTCGGCCTACAGGACATGAAGCGACCAGCTGACCCAGATGAGGAGGTCAACGAGTTCTTAGGTCGCGCCATCGACGCTCGAAGCATTGACAGGCTACGCTCGGAGCATGTCAAACGACTGACGCTGACATTTCGCAAGCCGGAGTTAGAGGAAAAGGTATGGCGGAACATTTTCTTTTTGCGTGATCAGAACTACTTAAACAATCAAAAGAAAGCAGGCATGTAAAATTCTGCATGCGAACTAAATTACAAATCTGTGATTTTATTTTTCTTCAAAAGTATTCATTTTTTGAAACAGATAATTGGCAGTGATATGTGATATAAGAATGACAAAGTGACATAAATAAATAGTTCATCAAATGAATACAAAGGGAAATACCAGAGTCTTATATAACTATATCTACCAATAAATAGGTACTAAAGGTGCATTATGTAGCACCTTCATAAGGGTTTACGTTGCGGTGCATATTGCAGCCACTGCCAGAAACACTCGGGCAACCCCTTCTCTTTTGGGTTCTTAAACTGGGTTCTTTAACGTGCATTTTACAACACACGGGACATACGGCTTTACGTCCCATCGGAAGGACGAAGCAATAATGGTAAAGTGCCTTGCTCAAGAGCACAAGCACCATGTTCCCCGTCAGGATTCGACCCCATGTACCTCGGCACACAAGTCGAACACCTTAACCATTGGACCACAGCACCCCACTGACTAGGTGTATATGTAATATACGGTAGGTGTATATGTAATAATATAGGTGTATATGTAATACACTGTAATTAACTGACAAACTGGGGAAAAGCTATCATAGGGCTGGATAGCTCAGTTGGTAGAGCATCGGAACGGTAATCCAGAGGTCGCAGGTTCAAACCCAACTCCAGTCAATGTCTTTGTTCAATTTTATAATTATGAATATAAATAGATTCCTGCTGAGTAAAATTCCTGTAAAATTAGATTACTAAACCTTGATATCCGTCTTGTCCCTGCAGTACTCCAAAGTGAGAGATCACATGTTCAGTTCCTACATGCTGTTTGCATTCCTCGTCCTACTCTTCATCTGCATAATACAGCTTTTCATTTTCCCAAAGTAAGTAAGACTGTTGCTGGCCCCAGAGGGCCAGTCTAGTGTCCTGTTCGTATGGACTGATGACTGGTACTTGTTGCTTAGTTTGGTTGTAGACTGGCGACGAGGGCTGGGCAGTGCTATTGTATAGGATTCAGGGTTCGACTTTAGCGTAGCCTGTTAGCCAAATGCTAGTCAAAACAGCGGCGGGCTAGTCAAGCTATTCCTTAAGTAGCCCAGCTGGCGAGTCAAAAAATATTGGGATACGGCAAAGATGAAAGGACAAGAAGAAAGAAGAAATAAATCATTAAATTCAGATAGCAAATCTGTATCAATTTGTGTCTAATTTTATTAACTGTTTAGGGTTAAATTATTAGATCTGTTTATTAAAAACACTGACAAGATTGCCTCAGGATACGCGTTTTACATGTATGCACATCGTTGTTTATGAGACACTCTATAAAAGAAAAACATGCGGGCTAGTGCAAATGCCCACAGGCTAGTTAAGAGTCTGTTTCAGTAGCCCAGCTGGCTAGTGAAAGGTTAAGTTAAGGTCGAACCCTGGGATTACCCGCAATTCAAATGAATGGGTTAAATCCAGTCCATTGTTTAGCCCAGATGCAAGAAAAGACTCTCAGTGAATGAGGGAATAAATAAATTATAAAACAAGTACATTTAAAACTGGCTAGGGGCCTGGTCACCGATAATGGCCCGAGCGTAAGGTAAGGGTTATTACTCGCATCCAGGCTCCTAGCCGGTTTTATACGCACTTGTTTAAAACCGGCCAAGCGCATATTTATTCCCATTCATCCATACCTTTGGGTCAGAAAGTCAAAACATGTCAAAAATTCACAAATTTCAAACGATTTTGTTCAACAATTTACTTCAACAGTTCACTTTTTTGTTTGTGAAGCACCCCTCCGGCCATGTCTATGTGCCTCACGCACGCGTAGTGGTGAAAACTTTCCTATATGGAAATTGGCGTGCGCATTGCGTGTACTGCGTGGTGTGGCGCAGAACGCAGTGTTTTTATTAGCCGTTTAAAACCACCCACGTGATGGGCTCTCGACCAATAGGAATGGGTCAACTGTCTCGGGTATTTATGAATAGCCATTATTAACCACTTGAATAGAATTTTGATATTGAAGTGTCCTTTTTTGTTGTTGACATTTTTAATAATTTTCTCAGCCCGAAGTCAATTATGGTTATAGGTACATCCTGAGTGACATGTTTTGAATTATAAGCAGCTATAGGAGAAGAGCTTCTACGATGACTATTTAAGTCTTCTAATGATTTCATGTTTTTTTCTAGGACCGTGATAATGCTTATAGTCTTTCTCAGCACAGTTGTCGTCCTTGCCTCCACTCTCTTCATTGTCCTAGCAGAAAAGTGCTTTGTGAGTACTACTTTAGAATTTAAAATGTGAAAGAAAAATATGAATTATCTCTGCTTTAAATTCATAGAGCATCAGTGCAGTATTAGCTGCTGAACTCTTTTAATTTTCCTTCTCCATCCTAGAATGTCCAATTAATTCATATTGGAGGATTTTTGAGGAACTGCAGCCGATTTCACAAAACAGTGCGTAACTTACGCTATGCCTAGGACTATGAACTTGGGTCCACATCACACTTGTTGACAAAAATGCATGCTTTGGTCACATGACGTCCACTTTCATTGAGAAAAAAAAACAGTGTTTTGTTTTTCACTTTACTTGAAACATCGCTAGATTTTGAGAAAAAAATATTTAAAACACAATACAAGACAAAAACATGTGAAGATGCTTGGGTGGCTGCTTGACCAGTCTGAAAATGATAGGTGTGATGCTGCAGGTGATAGGGTCGATAGGAATAAATAGTAGAATGGTTTGCTGTTTTGCTTGTACTTCCTATGCAGTGCATACCAGCTGAAAGTAAAGTCTGTTCCAAGCCAAATTGGCTCATGGCACCGGCATTTGTTTCCGGTTTCTGTGGCATGAAATTACTGAGAATATTATTTTGATTTCCCCCTGTATGATGAGATGCCAGTCCATGGTACGTTATTCCCCACCTAATGCTGGTACCCATTTATACCCCCGGGTGGAGAGAGACAGTTAAATGGGGATGAAGTAGCTTTCCCAAGGACAGTAACAGGATTCGAACCCCTGACATTTTGTTCATGAGTCGCAAACCCTAACCACTAGTCCACATCCCCCCCCCCCCCCCAGCAGATGACATGGACTGTAGGACTGTATAATAATATTTGAATGGTTCTCCGGTTTGTCTGTTCCCTTCCGTGCAGTGCGTACCGGACCGCTTTGCTAGGATATCCCATGGCATTCTGGAGAGGAGAAATCTGAGTTCAGTCATTGCTGTGTGTACTGTCATCATCATCTTTGTAGCCTCCTTCTGCTCCATGGTGAGTGGCGTTATGGTCAAGTCTTTTAACTGCTTACCCCCTGCCGTAGCGAAACACTTGAAGAAATTAATGGATCAAGCTTTTTTAGTGCCATTTCAGAACTATTTTGGTGCTTAAAGGGTATGCCCAACAGATTTTTTTGTAATTCATCATAACCATTAAGCAATAAGTAAGCAAAAAGTTATTCTTATGTTTGCCGTCTTTAAGGCTTATGAAAAGTCTTAATGCAAAGACAAAGGAGAAATGTCCAATGTCACTATCACTTTGTGTTTGTCTACCATTTTACAATGTATGCCTTTTCACTAAAATATTTTGCTTTTTTTTCCCAACTTTTCCCCTGAAAAATCGTTTGTTTTTGAATTGCTCATTTTTTTTCTGTCAATATTAAATTTACGTACTTTCGAATGATACATCAAACAAAACATCTGTTCACGTTTACTTGTGGAATAATTACATCTCAAATTTCAAATTATATGCGGCCCGACAATAATTCGAGTACCGTGATATTTGTCAAACTGCATATTGGCACAAAAGCAACCGAAAATCAAAACATATTTTCAAAGTGTTGAAAACATTCAAAGTAGAAAAAGTTGGGGTTTTTTTGTTTGAATAAATCATACATATTAAAAGTTGTCTATGAGAAAAATATATGAATATGTTGAAGCGCACAGGTAGAGCAACTTCAGGCAAACCATAGCTGCAGATGAACATATAGAAATTTGTTTGCTTTAAAACTAAGCAACTGCTGGAGAAAACCATTTACCCTTAAGCAACTTTTTTGTCCCAAAATAAGCAGAAAAATTTGCTTTCTGTGAATCGGCGCTGTGAAATAGTTTCAAAACATGATTCATCTGATTCCTGTCCATCGCATCTCTGCCCAGTTTGCATATGACACGACAGATCTCCGCGCTTGTCTGGCCACGGCGGAAGGTAACGTCTCGGAGTCTGACGTCGGCAAGGAGCAAGTGGATGCCAGTGGATTGACATTGGGTGAAGAGTACAATCTAAACACCGACTGCCAGGGAGACAAGCCGGCCTGCCACTTCCCACAGGTAGGAACAAGTAAAAAGATCCAGAGAGTTTGGATAATGGTAGGATTCGTAATAGAGTACCGAAGTGTGACATCATTTTGAACCGGGAAGTGTAGTGCAAATGAATGGAGTACGTGCGCGTGTTGGTTCACGGGCTGAATCATTTACACACATATTGTGCGCGTGATGTGTTCATTTCGGTACTCTATAGAGTGCACCGGCAAACTATTCCTAAGAGATGCTGCTTTTCGTCTTCACTGTCAACTGATATTGTGTGTGGTCAAACAAATTTTGACCTGCTGAGTCTTTTTCTCATAGTGCAAAATGAATACATGTACCATATAGGGTAAGTAAAAAAAAAAACGAAACCCAATTGTCGGGAGCATTTGTTTAGTGAAGTTCTGCATGTAGCATTTTCAAAATCTACGATATGAAAGCCCAATTCATAAGTATTCTTTAAGTACAAGAATCATTCAAATCACTTATGTACTTTTCAAGTTACGGAATTTTATACACAACCACCGTTTTAAAGTTCTGTCCACGGATCACAAAAAAGGCGTGCGTTCTTTCAGCAAAACGAAAGCAATTCACACACATCCCTATGTCATTTGTTTTCGTTTTGCTGAAAGAACACCGAACTTTTTTGTGATCCGTGGACAGAACCATAAAACGGTGGTTGTGTTTAAAATTCCGTAACTTCAAAAGTACATGAGTGATTTGAATGATTCTAGTACTAAAAGAAAGCTTATGAATTAGGCTTACATATCCTAGATTTTGAAAGTGCTACGTGCAGAACTTCACTACAAAATGGTTCCGACATTTGGGTTTCGTTGTTTTTTACTCGCCCTATATACTGTAGCAACATGTTACAAATGTGTGGGTAAAACAGGATAGTTGCTGTCACTGGCAGCTTTTCCGTGTTGTGAGTCTCTCATTCTGTCAGATAGGGTTGCTGGAACAAGAGGGAAAAAGATTCAAAGAAAGGATTTTTTTATTGTTCTTGTTTCAATCTCTGAAAAGGTTGAGAAATGACTTTGAAATTTAGTAACGGTGAATGGATGTGAGGAGACAGCCAAGCGAGTGGAATGCTTGAAAGTTTGATCAGGGAAATAGTGATGAGTGGCCACTGGAACACATCTCATGGTGATATCTTGGGCTGCTGTTAATTTCTGCTGATTAACACTCTTCCCTTCCCTAACGTCTTTGCAGTACTTCACATTCTGCGTGATGCTAGTCATGATCAGCTGTGCGGTCTTCCAGCAGGTGGGCAGCATGACCAAGCTGTGTCTGCTCATTCTGATTGGCGGGGTCTTCACGGCCATCATTGAGACCGCCCAGGTCAGCCTCTTCAACAACAGCGACCTGCTGCACGAGGCGCACGTCGGGTAAGCAACTCAGTCGCAAAGACTTGGCACTAGGGGTAATAATGGGCTCTGCGCAAATAAGAGAGGGTGCTTTTTGACCATTAGTCTGGTGCTGCTTTTGCCATGTACGTGGATGATACATGTTTAGGCAATTAGTCTCCTTGTGAATGGCGTAAAATAGATTTGTAATTTCCATTCCGTTACCACTTCAGCTAATTGTACAAACGTTTCAGCCATTCTGAAGCAACTGAATACAATTTTGGTGCTCAGGAAGTCTTTTTTTAGTTGTCAACATGCTGTTCTGATAAATTTAGTTGATTGTTAGTTCTAGAGGTTCCAAAACGATGCCAGTTAATGTATGTTGTTTTGTCCGAAATTTCCACTCAGAAAAAAATTCCACAAAATTTGTCTCATTTTTGAAATGCTGTTGGCATGTATACACTATAGCACAATGAAAAAGTTTGGTTGCTAAACAGTTTAGACAATAAATTCCTATGGGTTGATGGCTTGTGACTAGCGCCCTTGAACAAAAACATTGACATAATGGAGGACTGCCAACATAGGGCTTGATAGCTCAGTTGGTAGAGCACCAGAACGGCAATCCGGAGGTCGCAGGTTCAAACCCCACTCCAGTCAATTTCTGTGTTCAACTTTGAAAATGTTAAAGTTAAATCCTGTCGGTCTCTATTCATTCCAGGTTGGACAATGCAGCTTACGTCTCTATGAAGTGGACCGGTCCGGTTATCATCGTGGTCTACATTGTTGCCCTATGGATGCATGGCTTACAGGTGGAGTCCACGGCCAGACTGGACTTCCTCTGGAAACTACAAGTAAGTTGCCTGTGCCCAATGTGATGGAGCTGGGCCCTATTTCATGGCACTGCTAAGCACATGATTCTCTGCTAACAGAGCATCCGTCTTTTTCATGGAGACCGTAAGCAGTAAGCAAAGCAACCGGTGATCAGTGGATTTGTGCTTAGTGTACAAACTTGCTTAGCAGTCGTTTCCTGCCGAGCAGCTTGATCAAGCTGGGCAGTGAGGCCCAACTTAATGGAGCTTCTGAATACAAAGTTTTCTAAGGACAGAGAATGTTTGCTTAAGAAAAATAGGTTACCAACCAAAAAGTCATGCATTGTATATGCATGATGTGTAACTGGTTCCTGGCTGGATTTTTGCGGATCCCATAAAGTTGCTAAGTACTGTGTCTTTTTTTCTAGTTTATGCATGTGTGCCCTGCTAAGCGAGCTCTAAAAAGTCTAATGTATATCAGGCCCATCTCAAAAATAGTTTGAATTGAGTTCTTGACACCAAGTGAGCAGTTAATACTGATTTGCAATGGTTGTGAATGCAATTTTCAAAAAGAAAATCTGTGATGCACTGTGAGAAATGGCATATCTGTGGCTATAACCTTCGTGTCCTTGGGCAAGCCACTTCACCTACACTTGCCATCCAGGAGTATAAATGTAAAATTGGGTACCGGCATTACTTAAGCTTGGGAGTAACCTGCGTTGGACTGGCATCCCATCTCAGGGAAATAGAAATACTGTCAGTCTATTCATGACAAGGAAACTAGAGATAAACGCCAGCTTGGTGAGCTCGTGATATACCTTACTTAAGTGTACTTGGCGCACCACGTTTTAAATGGCTTCTCATTTTTGGCAATATTAACTTGAAAGGGCTAAATTCGTTAAGTGCTAAAAATGCTCAAGTGCTAAAATCATTAAGATGTATTGGTTTTTTTAATCTGTTACCAAGGCAACTGAGGAGAAGGATGAGATGGCCAATCTGCAGGCCTACAACAAGCGTCTCCTCAACAACATCCTGCCCTCCTTTGTCGCGGAGCATTTCCTCAAGAACAACGCCAAGGACATGGACCTGTACTACCGGGCCAACGACTTCGTAGCCGTCATGTTTGCCAGCATCACCAACTTCTCCGACTTCTACGTGGAGCTGGAGGCTAACAACGAGGGGGTGGAGTGCCTACGACTCCTGAACGAGATCCTTCACGACTTTGATGAGGTGCGAATCAAATTTTTATGCTCCCTCTGCGCAGGCAACATAAAGCAAAGTGCACTCTGTTTTGCTTAATTTTTTTAACGTTTGTTGGCCTCAGTTCCTCATTCAAACATTTGCCAAATAAAGTGGCTAGAGCCCCTTTGACCAGAGTTGAACTATTAACCCTGAAAATCCTAGCCAAACTCCAGCACTCTGACAAGAACCACATGTTTCACAGGGTATGGATAATCAAACATTTTGTCAACAAGACTAGTCAGCAAGCTCAAGTGATGGCTGTTTGCAATCTTCTGTCCACTAGAAAACCTTAATTTGATAGACAATAAAATTAAGGAATTTGGAGCCTATCATAATGTGTACTGCAAACTGCAGTACTTACGATCTTTTAATCCTGGTGGGGGCTTTCGGCTGAACAAGAAAATAGACCAGAAAATGAAATGTAATTCATCTTTTCAAATGGATTTCAGCTTTTTACAAGACACTCTATAGTGTTTGCACAGAAAAAAAGGGAAAAACAGTTCCAATCTAGTAATTTTTGTAAATATTTGTATTTTCAAGCAGAGTTCTTCTTGTCATTACAATTCTGTAGTAAAATTGTTTGACAGAACTATGTTCTTTTGTTGAGCCGTTTTCAATGAAAATCCACTGCTTGACCCACATGATGCAGTGGGCAATTTTCTTGCATAGTTTTATGATGGAAAGGGAATTGATAAATTTCTGAAATGGAAAACAGATGTGTTTTTTTTCATTGAAAATCTGTGGTCCTGTTGCTATCCTAGCTCCTTGGCTAACTATTCACAGTATGCGTGCAAAATCATTGTGGGTACCGGCAAGACTAAAGAAAAACGTCTTGTTCTGAAGTAAAACAAAAACAATCACAAAGTTTGGACTTCGAAGTGTTTTTGAGGTATTTTATATGCCCCAATGAAAATTTACATCGTCTTCTTCATCGCATGAAATATTGCAGCATGCGGATTCTGTTACCACGTCCCCCCATAGATTTTTGTGCATTTATCTGCCACGTTTATCCCAAAGTTAAAAGCGTTGAATCTTGTTATGCACATGCGCATTTGGAATACCCATTTGGCTTATTGCGAGCAACGCTTGCTGAATATATTTGTTACTTGAAACTACAAGTGTTTCTAACTGAGTAAAATGTTTTAGCTATTTGCCTAGTTGTTGATAGACTTCTACTTGCAACTATTTCCTTTCTCTGACTCCTACTTTTCCCAAATTCTCCCCCAGATTATCGGTGACGAGAAGTTTTCCCAGATAGAGAAGATCAAGACCATCGGCAGCACCTACATGGCGGCGTCGGGCCTGACAGAGGAGACGTTTGACCGGGAAGGCAACACCCACGTGGTTGCCCTGGCAGACCTGGCATTCCACTTACTGGCCCAGCTGCGTTACGTCAATGAACACTCCTTCAACAGCTTCAAGATGAGAGTGGGTGAGTCTGACTGAATGGAATGGTCCCTTGTATTGTTGGACACACAATGCTTGTCCCTGCACTGGTCTCATGATCTGTGGGTATTTCTACAGAGTGTGGACTGACGTCCAGCCTGGGGATGTGGTGCGTGTGTCCTTGAGCAAGACACTTTACTGTTCCCTACCCAGGGCAGAGGTGGTCGTGTTTGATTTAGCTATTTCTGCCTATATGGCAGCATTGGGCGTGTAAACTCTCCAGGGAGCTGAGACGACCCTCCAAATGTTTTCATTGGCCCAATGTGCAGGGCTAATAATAATGATGTATCATGCCATGCACACATATAGGGTTCCCACGCCCTACAAAAAAAACTTGGAAAAGCCATGGAATTATATTTTTAATTTCAAGGTCTGGAAACGTCACGAAAATTTGTGAAAATGACAAAATCATTGAAAAGTCATGGAATCTTCATAATTTAGCATTGGACCGACAAATGCAACAAATTTCGCTGATACAAGCATTTCGATTTCAAACTTTGTTACCCCTTAACAAATTTTGATAAACTACATGTAAGCCATGGATATTCATAATTTAGTCGTGGAAAATTCATAGGAAAATCATGGAATTTGTTTGTCCTAAAGGTGCAGGAATCCTTACATATATGTGTAGAATTCCAGGCGTTCCATCCACCTGCAGAGATGTACGACTCGTGACTCGGACTCCGACTCGAGTCCGACTCAAGTCCGACTCAAGTCTCATTTTCCGTGACTCTGACTCGAGTCACGATGACAAATGACTTGGAAAAGGACTTGACCTGTGTGGCTCCTGACTCGTGACTTGGACACGGACTCGACTCGGACACGGACTGGACCTGGACAGGCACTATACCTGCATGACGCGGGCCTTGGACTTGGACTCGGACTCGGGAGAGGTGGCACAGACTCGGACTCGATGTTTGGTGACTCAAATACAAGTCTGTCCACCTGACGTGGCAGTTGCAACCCAGCCCAGAAGAAGGACAGACTGTCTGAAAAATTGGCTCCTACCTATCATCACTGAGCACTGTTATTTCGTTAGTAATAATACATGTATGTATCTCTCTTTTTTTAGGCCTGAATGTTGGACCTGTGGTTTCTGGAGTGATCGGTGCTCGCAAGCCGCAATATGACATTTGGGGAAACACAGTCAACGTTGCAAGCCGCATGGACAGCACGGGCGTCCCCGATAAAATTCAGGTGAGCAGAATTATAAAACAAAAACAAAAAACCTCTGTGAGCGAGTGTGGACGATAACTGAGGATTGTGACTCGTGATCAGAGGGTCAGGGGTTCAAATCCAGCTACTGGCAATATGTTGTGTCCTTGGGCAAGCCACCTCACCCCAACTTGCCTCTCTCCACTCAGAAGTATCAAACGAGTACCGGCATTAGCTGGAGAGCAACCTGTGATGGACCGGCATCCCATCCATGGGATAGAACTATTCTCAGTCGTTGCATGCCTTGGAAACTGGAGATAAATGCTGGCCTGATGTGCCATATTGGCTTGTGAGACTTTTACACTCTAGACATGCCTGTGGTTTTTATTTTAACTTGTCTGATCACAGAGGACAACCTAATGTTGAAATCACACTTACATGTATGATTCATGTCATTTCTTTGCAGATAACACAAGAAATGGCCAACATCCTGCGTCCCATCGGTTATACTCTAATGGAGAGGGGCTACGTGACGGTCAAAGGCAAAGGAGAAATGTTGACCTACTTCCTGGAAGGAACACCCAACCCAATCAACATACGGTGACCGTATTCATCTAGCAAGTCTGTGAATAAAGTGTGTATCAATATTTTGTTTTTGCCTGTTTCAGTATTTTACTAGGGATTAGCTGTAACCCAAGTAGGAATCTTTGCCCAATTAGGAATCCATTGTTTGGTCTTATTTGAATATCGTGAAAGCCCATCAACTTACGGTGAAAGTATTCATATTAACATAGGAAGTCTATAAAAAGATGTGTATTATTATTTTGTTTTGCCACCCTACTTATGCCTGTTTCAGTATTTTGCATAGAATCAGTTTGTAACCCAAATTGGAATTATCTGTCCAACTAGGAATCCATTGTTAGGCCTCATTTTGGTGAATATCGTGAAGCCCATCAACTTACGGTGACTGTATTCATATAACAAGTCTTAAAAAAAAAGTGTATTACTGTTACATGTATTTTGTTTTGCCGCCCTCCTTACAGTATTTTTTTCATAGAGTCAGTTTGTAACCCAAACAGGAATTGTATGCCCGATTAGGAATCCATCATTTGGCATCATGTAATAAATGTTGTGCAAGTTTGTTACGTATTTCTCTTTTCAATTTTTACTTTGGGCTAGCAGTATTACTGGTATCACTACCAGTCATTTTTTTGGTGTAACATGGAATAGTTTTAGCTGGTAACCGAGACAAAATATCAAATACATACTCTGTTTAAAGCAGGCTAGGCAAGCCTTGTAAAACTGGTCCCAGACTCATTGTCTGGGTAGTCAGCCAAGTCAATTTTTTGGACCAGGGTGAGGCTTAAACAAGTCTAATTCACAAGGGACAGTCTCAGTCAGTGAGGTAAATTTTGGCATTTTGGCAAGATCATCATGATGGTACTTTGAACCCAGCTTAGAAAATTTTGATCAATGAACGGACTATGGAAAGCTGATAGAACAAAATTAATGATACATTTTGTCAAATTTTCACATTCACACGCTTCTCTGCTAAAATGGCAGTTGAGACTGGACGCCCAAACAAAGAAATGTATTGTATAAGTATTAGCATCTAGTCCTTGTTACATTCAGCATAGATTTTGCGTTTTTAAACTTTCAAAAACTAAAGTTCTAAACAGTGGGCCCCCTTGAAGGTAGTTCACAATTTTACAGTGAACCCACAACAATACTTCAGCATTGGATTAACACAGTCAATTACAATTTGCGTGTATCCAGTTTTAAAATAATGCAATTATAAAATAGGCATTGCACAGCGGTGCTTGATATTGCTGAAATACTAATAAACTCCCAAATTGTATTCCTTTTAATCTGAATTTGCCACAGAAATCATGTATTCCGATTCAATTAATACAAGCATTAATATATTTTTTTGCTCAGAAAAGAAATACTGGCAGCCGTACAGTATTTGAGAATGTATCAGTATTAAGCTAAAGGATTGTTTGCCCTGCCACTACGTGCTAACTTATTTCATCTAGATGATATTTGAATAACTTCATCCTACTTGATATTTTTAATATTTAATAACTGGATGCTAACTTTTGTTTGAAACCCCTTTTACAAATTTGAATGATCCTGCAACCATTTCAATCATATATTTTAAATCTAGAGCAACAGCTTATACAGATCTATATGTACAAGAATTTCTTAACAGTTCAATGAATTTGTCAAGTACTGAAGTGAAATTTATGACATAGATACTCAAGATGCTATTGATAGTTACTGAGGAAAGAATGTTGCAACCTGACGCTGCTTTTTTCTTCATATATCATCTCAATAAAGGTCAGTCACTGCAAAATTGATGATAAGACATGAATCTGGGACTGAGAAACATTTCCAATTTTGTTTTTAGGAAACACTTAGAAAATGTTCTCGACTCTCCATTGACTTTGCACACAACCGCTGAAGTAGCATCAGGTTGCAACATTCTTTCTGTTACTGATACTTATACTCTGAGAAAGTGTGACGTCACCTCCTCCCCGGGTTAGGCTCTCTTCCTCGACAACGGTTCACGTACATTCCATAACGACGCTACACATACGTTAAACACAAATGATAAGGGATTTCAATTTTACATCCTACTTTTATAGAACAATTTCACAAATTAGTACCCGAAAATAGTTCACTGCCTTTCAGCAGATTGTCACTACACCAGTTACAACCACATTGTGCTTGTATTTGCTTCAAAGAGGTTGAATCAAGCCAATTACGAAACAGATTTACAATACCCGTACCGAAACCATGAGCCGTTGCAGTTTACGTAAACCAATAATCATGGTTGCACCAAGTTGACCTCCAAGTGAGGTCACGACCACAGCAGCAAATTGATATCAAAAAAAGTACTTGATGAGCTCATAGCATATGAGTTCTGAAGGATAACATCACAGATTGTTTTTTTTTTTCTGAAAAACAAATATACTTTTTCTGAGGTACTGTATTTTATTGTCTTAAACAAAAAGTACTTAATGCTGAAAATGAATTATCAGTTATTCAGCTAAACATATATTTGAACTGTAAGGCACACAAGAGCTTGTAAGTTTGACAGATTTAGTGAAAACTGTGAATTTAAACCATGGTTTGAAAAAAAAGTTTGGAAAATGAAATATTTGTCAAATTGGCTTGTCTTAGGCCCGAGTTGATTGAATGGGAGATTCAAATGTACATACTCAATATAATATGTGTGAAATGAGCCATACCAAAAATAAAAGAGTAATTTCGTTTTCAAAATCCAGATTCATATAAATGTATTCAAACTTTGCAGCTTGCTATTTATTTTCCCAGTGAGAAGAGAGAGTCATTTATGAATTATGAACCAGAGCTTTACACTGTCTTAAGATATAAAGTATTTACATGTATTTAATAGAGAAAAGGGTGCAACATGTACTGTTTATAAGGCAAAGAAGAAGTGTAGTATTATTGCGTGAGCATGAGTGGAATACGGGATAATGTTGTGCGTCTGTGTCCCCTTGGCCATTTGGCCTTCAGCCTCTGCGACACATACACACTTCTTTTTTCTTGTTCCACGAGTGCGAGTGGGACAACAAATTTATCTTCAAGTAAACTTCACCCACGGTAAAAATGGAACTTGCAGGCTTTACACATTTTTCAGCATTAATCCTATTACATGTGCGTGTAGCAGGAATAACACTCTCATCTTAGAATAGCATGATTTTCTCAGTGGTATCTGGACATGGTATATGAAATAATATCACACTGTTGTTGCAATGGAATATCAATCAGGATCTAGATTCAAGTTTGCTTGAAAATAACTTAAGAATAATAGCCTTAATAAGTAGCAATACGTGGTTATATTTTAAATGTCTCTTTTTTGTTAACAAGCTAGAACCACCTTGTGCTAGTACTCAACAGCTGTGTGCTAAGATGTTATATTTTTAGATTTAAACAATATTTACAGGAAAAAAATGCAAATTTAGAATATCCGGTCTACAATACAAAACTGTAACTTTCACGGTTTTGAGAGAATTGGTGCCACACTTCTCGGAAGGAAGATCTTACTGGGTGGCGGGGGTTGCTCATAAAGAGAGAATTTGAAAAAGTTGAGGTAGATGTACATATATATCTGTGATTGAATTCAATATTATGTGTAAATATATTGTGTGCTAAATAATGTATATAGGCTACAGATAAATATTGTAAATATGTAATATTTGAAGAAGATTTAAAGTTAACGGAAAAGAAAAAGTGATTTATTAGCGTAAATGGAAACATCTAGAATATTGACATAGCATTCTTACAAGGCCATTCAGAAGTGTGTTTGTGGAAAGATTTTTTTTTTTCAAAACGGTTATAATTGTATATAAAGTTAACTGTGGCTTAAAATCGTTATAGCATTAACCCTGTGTGTATATATATGTGGCGAATGGGTCTTTGTGCAGTTCATACCAAACTATAGTATTGTAAAGTTAAGTACTGTCATAGTGGATAAGTTGTGCTCTATTTTTAGTGGTTCGTTCCTAATGCAAATCATAATACCTGTATTAATTTAAAAGTTCTAAACCCAAAACCCCTTGGCACTCTATTTACTTCAATGTGCACCACCTTGATAAGATATTTGATAATTTTTCTATATTTATTTGTAATATTGAAATTGGTCGTCAGGTGCTATCATGAAGAATACCAATATCCAGAAATCATATTTTGTTGCCGATCATTCCATTAAAATTTCTGCACAAGTATAAACTATCACCTTAATACAAGAAAGAAACGGTAGCAAATTTATTTTATCAATGATCACTTTATTTTGCAATGATAGACATGTCTCTTGGCATTTTGTGCATAAAATAAGATTACCTTTAAAGGAGTGGTTTTGGGGAGTTTATGCTTACGTTTATTGGTTCTATAGACCTTATGTTTAGCGGCCATCTTAGAGGGCATCTTTTTTTATTTTAATTCAGTAACAATGAATGCACAAAGGTTCTTTCATGCATATCCCAACAAAACAAAGGCATTGCCCTCTAAGATAGCTGCTACGCAATAAGGTCTATATCGAGAGCTATATGGTGAGTTCTACCTATTCTTTTAACTATGCTAAATAGCTTAAGTAGCCGATATTTTATGATGGATTAGTTTTGCATAAGTATCAGTGTCTAATGCAATGTCTGATATCTTTACAAAATCATGCCAAACATCACTCTTACAGTATTTAGCATGCGTTCTTAAGTTCTTTTTTTTTACTCGTACATTTGAACATGCCTGGATATGGATCATGGTTGATGATACTTCATTACTTCTTACAAATATTCAAGTTGTTGGGCTAAAAATAATCAAGTATTTGAAAGATACTTTATTGCAGTATTCATTATTTCAGTTTTGCGTTTTATTAGGTCCAAACAAAATGAAAATCTGCCGGATACTGTGTCGAAATCTACGGCGACACAAATTATTTTTTGAATTTGTGAACTTATTTCTGAAACTTGACAGAAAAAAAATAATAGTGTGCTTTTTTAAATAGCAGTGTGCTGCGTCTAAAACATTGTCATGTATGTGTGCAATATAAGTCATGGAATATAACGTGCTAAAACAATTTGTTAAAAGTAATGTTATAACTTTTCCTCTTTTTTTCTCAAGAGAATGGATTTGGGAAGATTGCTTTCGATCAACTTATATAGGAGCCTACTTGTGCTATGAGTTTATAGTTCCTTAAAATGTGGAATTTTAAAGTTATGTTCCAGCTACAATCTGGTTCGTTAGTGTGACGTCAGTTCAGTTTAAACCACGCCCACTGGCCGTTAAGTGGCATTGGAACCACTGGAACCGAAAGCTAACGCAACTTGGGTGGTTGTCCAATGGGCGCTAGTACTCAGTGGTGCGCACGCGTGTATGACGTTTTTACTAACGAACCGGATAGACTGACCCGCTAAGCTCCGCCCTATGGCGTTTGGACCAATCACAGCTATGATTAATGTCCGACGTGCGTGCACAAAACGCCGACATGCAAATGACTTGCGCAGTAGGCGGGGCTTAATAGGTGGTCTGTGGTTGTGATTGATATAAAATAGAAGTGTCCTAAGCCAGGAACAAGTCCGTGTGCTAGACTGTGGTTGATTACGACGTGTGTGTACACCGTGTTGAGTACTAAAGGGGACTATAGTTTAGTACCCAAGCTTGGGTGCTAAAATCCCCAACCCCTGCTTAGTTTGAGCTTTAAGTAACGCTTAAAAGTGCCTCAACAGTTGAGGCTTTTTTAATGCGTTATTGCGCTCATTTGATCAATTATGCATGATTAATTCTTCGTTTTAAGGAGAGATTTTGTTTTCAGAATGGAGAATTTGAGTTTCAAAGAGTGTACAGTTATATATTTTGGTAGATGTAATTTCTTTTTCTCTGCGTTTGACAATATGCCCAGTGTGTAAATTATGCGTGACTGTACAAATGATCCGTGTGATTTAATTTATTTTGTAATAAATTACCGATGTATTGAGAACAAGATGGAAAAAAGAAACTTGAGTTTATTTATTCTTCCAGATTCCCTCTGTGAAATGGTTGTTAAATGTTTTAATGTGTTTGAGCTGGAAATTTACTTAATACAGTGTAGGTTCGCTTAGCAGAAAAAGGTTACCAGCCAAAGTGTCATGCAAAGCATAATGCTTTTGACTGGTTCGGTGGTTCCCAGCTAGATTTTGCTTATTAGAACATTGATTTGCTAACCATTTTCGTAAATTTGGCGCAGTCATCTCAAACCGTGACATGGAATCGCCTCGTAAGCCTTTTTTTTTCTTATTAAAACACCCATCGCTACCATTCCCTACTCGCGTCATTTGAAATTTGTCCCTAAGAAGTGTAAACTGGGCTCCTTTTCGTTGTTTTAATCTGTTCATTTATTCGAGGCTTGGTTGCTATAAGTTTCACCCGTTTCTGACAGCATTCGACAATCGATCCGAACCAAATAGTATTGTTGGTGTCTCCTAACATGGCGCACTTAGATTTGTTGCCTTTAGTGCCTTGCTATGCTAGAGCAAAAATGTTACCTCAAATTTCTCATTAAGCTCTAAACATTCCCGTTCGTAAACCTTGAGTTTACCTTCCCGTTACAAAGGTAAAAGAGAAATTGTACTTGGGCGCGATTTTCCGATTTTATTTGGAAGTGCGCAGTGAACTCTTTCAAAATGCGCCCAAAAATAAGAAAATGAGTGGTGATAAAATTGGTTTGTCAGAATATGTAAACTTTAAAGAAATTCTTAAATATTCAATCGGGGATTTCTGAGATATTTGTTCAAAATAAAGTGCGCCACGTTAGGGAACAGTCGGCCGAGTTTTTGACCAATCTCCGGACGCCACCGTTGTTAAATTTCCGACAAAATTTCATGACACTGGAATTGATCCCAAAGGTTTATCAGTAAGCATGATTAAAGTAAAGTACCAGTATTTAATTGAATGAACTTTAAGCTTATCAACAATTTAACAAAGAGGTTTGCCAACACAGCGTGTCAACAAGTCGGGGGAAACAGTGCGCCACGCTAGGGGGACGCCACTATTTTGGAGCGACTCGTGTCGACCCGAGATTTTGGTTTTTATAAGACTCTAAGCACGTCCCCAAAACACCCGCAACTTGTTTGTTTGCGAGGCTCTAGCGTCGGCGCGGAAACACCTACCGTACCATTTTAAAGCTTGGAATCTGAAATTTATCCCTGGCGAGTATTGGTTTGATATTTAAAAGAGTTTTAAAATTATTCGTGTTCAAATAAAGACATGTCGAAAACAAACTCAACCGATTTCAAGGAAACTCGATGATGCGGTACATCAGATGCAAACTCAAGTCACACTTTGAGCGCGCTTTTTGAATAGGTACATACTTGCACGTGAATTTCAAAATGGAACTTGAAACGAAGAACATTTGTGTATTCATTTAAGGTGCAGTCTACGTGGATCGAAAATAATTGGAAACACAAAAAGTAAAAGGCATCGAGATCGTCACATCATGAACATGATGAACCATTTCCACATTAGAAAATAAATGCGCATGATTGATTTTCCTTGAAATCGGCTGAGTTTGTTTTTGACATGCCTTTATTTGAACACGAATCATTTCAAAACCCTTTTGAAAATCAAACCAATACTTACCGGGGATACAGCTAAGTTGCCAAGCTTTAACATGATGAAAAAAATAATGGCGGTTCGTGTTTCCGTGGCGACGCTATAGAGCCTCGTAAAAACAAATGTTGCGGGTATTTTCGGACGCGCTTTTGAGAGTTGTTCCGAATGACTGGAACAACCGGTCTTAGTTGGCATAATAGTCGGGGTAAGTCGGTCCTTAAATGGTTACAAACGTCGAAGTTTACAAGTCTCAGGAATAAGTCGTTTTGACGCGACTTTGGAAAAGAAAATTCCATCCTGTAATTTAAGTAGCGACTCTGGAACTTGAGTCTGAAACAGATGTTGAGCGTTTCTAAAGAAACATTTTTCGCTTTGAAAGCAAGGTGCACAAAAACCTGTTGCGGTTCACTGCGCGGCGCTCATTCTCTTCACGTTTCTGTGATTAAGTCAGGAGAATTCTTCGACATCGGGCATTCTGTATGGAAGCAGCACAGACACTTAAAAAATGGACAGAGATCGAAAGAGTCCGGATAAAGACAAAGTGTCTTGTGACAGAGGCGACCCGGACGTCGACGGCCAATCATGGGCGGGAAGTCCCGGTTCTTCTCCCGCACCGGACTTGAAGACGACGGTGTCGCTAGAAGGAGAAGAGAGTTACCTCTGCGATGATAAACTAAAGGTAAACAGCTCATGCTGCGCAGGGTTTTTAAGGGAAAGAATGTTGCATGCTGACGCCACTATTTTCAACATATATTATCCCAATGAAGGTTAGTCCTTGCAAAAATGTTGAAAAGATATGAATCTGGGACTGAGCAACATTTTCAATTTTGTTAGGAAATACTTTGAGAATGTTCTTGAAGTTGACTCTCCACAGAGTTTGTACACAACCACTGAAGTGGCGTCTGGATACTACATTCTTTCCCCTTCCCCTCATATTTTCCTACCTCCATGATGAAAAAAAGTAGCTTCGGGATACAACATTCTTTGCATTGGATATACTCCAATCCCCCATGCCCTTTTTAATTACTCAACCAGAGAGTAAGTGAAGCTGATTGTCCGATCTTGTATAAATAAAGAAAAGTAACTGGGAAAAAAAGAGAACAGAATGTACGGTCCTAGTATCAGAAAGGTCCAACACCCTGTGGATTTGCAATGCTGGCCGGTCGGCTGGTTGGCCCATTTAAACTTTTGGAAAAAAAATGTTGCAACCTGACGCCACCTTTTTTCTTCATATATCATCTCAATGAAGGTCAGTCATTGCAAAAATGATGATAAGACATGAATCTGAGACTGAGAAACATTTCCCATTTGGTTAGGAAATACTTAGAAAATGTTCTTGACTCTCCATAGACTTTGTACACAACCGCTGAGGAAGTGGCATCAGGTTGCAATATTTTTTCCCTTTATTATACCACTTGGGCTGGTCTCTTCACCCCCCTTCCCCCCCCCCCCCCCCGCGCGCTTAACCAATTGCTCTCATAACACATCATGTTATGACTGACTCCCCACATAACATTTCATCTTTACAGAAACAACTGGACACGCTTGTCATCAGAGAAAACAGCGTGGATGCAAGACTTCAAGAGGTGGAGACCAGACTGGCCTCGGCCGAAACCAAACTGCGCAGCTGCAATGACATACTGGCGCTGATTGGTCTGCTGAAAGACCGGATCCGACTGGTCGACGAGGATGAGATTTTGCCCAGCAACGCTGAATCCTCATCATCGTTCAGCGGTCATCAGGCAGAAGGGTACGCATCCCGGTCACCTTTAAGGTCACCCAACTCGCCTATGAGGTCTGCCAAGTCACCCATCAGATCACCCAAGTCGCCCAGATCGCACTAGCTATAGGTAGGAATGTACACAACTTGGGCCAAATAAGCCAATTTGATATCTCATGTGACCAAGGAATTGGTAAACAGATTTTTTTTTATAAACAAGACCTCATGATGTTGTAAGATTGCTTGTACATGTACTAGGATCACCTGAAAGTGTATTGTTTATCAAAATGTTGCACGGTTCATGCGCGAATGAAATCTCGATGTGGTTTTATGGAGTTGCTATAAAGCAGGAAATTTTGATTCAGCAAATATGTGTGCTAAGCACAAATCACCTGGGAACCAATAGCGAGCAATCACATTTCTTAACATTTTGGCTAATAACCTTTTTTGGACACTTGACACATCTTTGAAAATGACCTTCTTTTGTTGATTTCTTCAAAATGACAGCATGCCAGATGGACTAATTTCACAGGGAGTTTAGTGCCATTACTATCTTTAACCAAGTAAGATATTTCACACAAAAATATTGGTGGGTTACTTTTTGGATAGTTGCAAATGATCACTCTACCTTTAAACTGTAATACAGGTTTCCCAACTGCTTTGCGCATAGCAAAAAAAACGTAGCAACTTTTTCTCTGCCAATTAAAAAGCTTCATGAAATTGACCACAGTTTCGAGTAGTTTGAAGAAGTAATTTCAGCATTGTGGCAATGATGGATATATTGCGTAAATAACTAATTTTGCTGTTTCTCATATTAACACTGATGACTTTTACAACAGATTGCTTTCCGTGGAAAAAAAAGAATCTTGTGTGAATATTGTTTAAAAATAGAATACTAATCTTAAAGTAAGTGAGACAAGAATTTAATATACTTTAGTTTATTTTTCTTTATTTACATAAAAATACAGTTGATATACTCCTTTGTTAAATGGACATTTTCAGAATATTTTGCTTGATTAATCCTCCTATGCAAACATAAATTCCGTGCAAAGTTGTCTTTTCAGTCAAAATCAATCAAGTGACTGTTTTTAATAACAGTTAAGAGCTCCCAGCCTACATAAAGCAGGATTGACTGGCTGTGACTGTTCATGTAACTTGATACAACTATGCTTTGACTGTAGGTGATTGATAAGACGGCTGTGCCCACCAGTTTCCTGCTTTTGTCTGTTGACTGAATTTGGCTAGTCATGACTGTCAGTGACTAGCCTGTGTTAAAGGGCATGGCAGGGGAAGTGGATGGCATTTTGGACTGTCTGTGTAGGAGGGAGTTTCTTGTTGCTATTACTTTACATGGATCGGTTGTTCTTATTTTGTTTTTAAAAAAAATTATTACTGGTACACTGAAAGTTGTTTGATTTTGACAGACTGAGAACATTTCTCCACAATATGCACACCAAAAGGTGCATATGCTTGTTACAAACATAACTAATCTCTCGAAACTCTGCTTCCAAATGTTGGGCTTCTACGACTTTCATTAACTTGATGCAACTTGCCCGTTGGCCTTTTTTTGTCAGTTTACAATTGTGATGTCATCACAAAATGAGCTTGAAGTCAGACTTTTTAAGATTTGAAATATTTATGTATCTGGATTCTGCAGAACAAGAGCTTTCCAATGGTATACAACATTAAGGGTACTGAGTTCAGTAACGGAAATATAGACCACCAACTTACTTGAAGGTGTAAAACTGATTTTCGAGAAAATGGCATTGAAAAATCCTGAAGTTATATTTTGATTGAACAGTCAACTTATAAAAGACGGTATGGAGCATCAAAAGTGGACAACTGTATTTTCCCACTTTCTGCTGGTAGACTTTTAGGTTTTCCACTTTTGAGGCGCCGAGAAAGTCCTCAAAGTAAAATCCAAATTTCTGCTGGCAGAAAATTTTACATTTTTAAAATCCGGTGTTGCCATTTTAAAAAACCTAAAATTCTACTAGCAGAAAATGAGAAAATATGGTTGTCCACTTTTTACACTCCATAAGACGGGATGAAATAGGTTTAAAGGTTTTTTGACTGAACAAAAACATTGGAGAAAGGTAGCACAGGACTTTAATACAGATGAAGGTTTACCTGGAAACAAAAACAATTGACCACCCCTTCAAATGTTGGCACTGCCCCACTGTACTGCAAAATGGCAATTTCCAACTTAAAGCTCATTTTGTGGTGACTGGTCATTAGATTTTCAGTACAGTACTGTTCTTTGTTATAATATCCATGGTCAAGGGCCACTTTGCTGTCTTGACTTGATCACGTTGTGTCAGGGAAGAGGCCCGGGAACCAGTATAAACGCTCTCCTTTGTTCTGGTCGTCTACCCACACCAGTCCCTCCTGCACCATACGATCCTGTCCAAAAAAACCAAGAGGGAAAAATCCTGACATTATTTTTGTGTCAAATAGAGAAAAGTGTAAATATCTACATGTACCCTTACCCACTAGGATCCTTAAAAATCCACAAGGATTTTGGAGAATATGCAGGATTGAGGAAGGTAGATCCCAATTATTAATACTTTACTTGGGTGTTTGGGTCCCTTATGAGGTCTTGAAAGTTCCAGGACAAAGATTTTGCAAACTTAAAAGCATATAGGATCATTTGCTTTTCATGCATTTTGTTTGTTTCTAATAATAACACCACTCAAAATCCAAAGCAGAACGTTCAAAACCTAACCTGCTGAACTTTCAGCTCAGTGGATATTACACTTTTTGGGTAAACAGTGAAAAACCATGCACAACCTTTTGATCAGGAAACATGATTTCATCCATAGGAGTCTTTATTTTCAAAAATCAGTCAATTGACTGATCGTTGGAAATCACCTACATTGCTAGATTTCTCCCAATTGACAGCAACCCAGATGCAATAATTTCTTGGGGTATTTAGTACCAGTACAACCTTTAATCCAAGTGAGTTTTGTTAATAAATCGGTAGGCTACTGTTGGGATAAATACAAATGATCGTATATGCCTTTATGGTAAAAACAAAAATGCAATCAGTAGTTTACTAATCCGTTTCAGTTAAACATCCTCTTCTTTTGACACACACAGACCCAGACTGTGTCTATCAAATCACCATGATGCATCCTACTTTGTGACTACCTAGACTCACCATAACAAGATGTGCTCTATCATCATCCCATTTCAACTGCTGTTTCAACATCGAGAAAGATGCATAACCTGAACCCTGTTCAAAGAAGAGTAAAATCAATTTCCATGGATTAATAAGAATCAATTTTACTTCTTGTCTAAAATTGAAAATCTATCCATCTTTGCACATGGAGAATGTCTAAATAAATTAAATGTGACAAGTTTGTCGTGTACTGTTATGAAGAATTTCTTCTTTACGTAAACTGATCAATTTTAATGATCATCAACATTGTGTTGTTAAAAAACAAGTGCGAGTGCACAATAAACTCTGGCCCGGTTCCGGAATGTCTCACTTCATATGCAAAATAGACGCGCATGCGCATCAATAAAAACAAAGCCCGTGTTCTGAAAACTTTCGTCAAGAGTGCATTTACTGACGACGGCATGGCATTTAGTCAATTAGTCTATTATTTTTGGTCAAATATTTTTGGTCAATTTTCAGGGACAGACAGATAGAAGACAGACCGACAGACCGACCACCAAGTGACATGTAGAAGCTCCTGCCAGAGCTTAAAAATCGAAAATGTGGGCCGTTTACGAGAATTGTAATGAGTTGATCAAATGAAAGTAAAGGGAATGCCTTGGCCCCAATTCATTTACATAACTTGTGACTTTACTTGACACTGACTGACTTGTGATTGACTTGATAACATCTTAGCTGCTATAGTCATTTCTATCTGACCATTTGTATCTGTTCCAGTCACCAAAGGCTTAACCAAGATGCAAATATAGAATTCTTGGAACAAAGTAATATAGGGCTACATGTACCTCTGCTAGATTCAGTACATTCGTGTGGTCCATGTTGAGTTCTGCGGGGACAGACTGCACTATGTAGCGGCCATCTTGAAGTCTGTGCAGGGCAAAACCGTTGCCTAGGATACGCAACTTCTTAATGGCTCTCATCAGGTCGTCTCTGTAAATGGAATTAAAATAATTAGACAACCGATACTAAAATTAATGTTGAGAAAAAAGATGGCAGAAAATTTAGGATGCTCAGTATAAGAGAAAAGTGTTTTGAGACATTTAAAAAACAACTTATTTTTAATAGAATGACTTTTCTAGTAAAAAGCAATTTTAAATTGGATTTTGATGATGTTTCCTAATGAAATAGAACTTGAAAATGTACTTTTTTTGTGTATCAAAATGAAAATGAGCCTTTATGCTCGATACGCAATTTTTGATTGGGCACTTTCGGCTGCAGCGTAAAATTACTAACAGTATCCTACAGTGAACTCCAAGTATCCGGCTGCAGTTGGCAAACAGTCTGAGGCAGTTTGGCCTGAGAGTTTTTAGCTGTTTGACCTTGTTACACTGAGCAGGCTTCTCCCTTTGAAAAGTGTAGCATGTTGATGCATTAGGCACTGTTTCTAGCCAAAATACCATAGAGGGGTAAGGCTAATTCTCACGCACAAGCTAAACCACAGTGAATACATAAATACCTGAGACTAGTTTACCCATGCCATCTAAACACTGGTCAGCGACATTTAAGTCCGGTATTTAATATTGCTCCGTGCCACATGCAAGCAGGAAGTGCCGGCTACTGCCAGCTGCTTGAGAACCACTGATATGATCGCGATATAAGGCCTGATGTTGACCGTATCGTGCTCACGTCGCACACCATAGAAGTGGCCACAATAGAAGTGCCTAGAACAAAATCGCTAGATTTTGTGACCTTTTTGACTTTTTATGGCTTTTGATTGAAAAGGTATTATGAATGGGGATTATAGTGTGATGAAGCAGTTATAAACCTGATGTTTACAACCGGGTAGGGCCTGGTCTATGATAATACCTCTCGTGTTCGGCTCAGGCCAGTATTGGCGGCTAGGCCATTATAGGCGGCCAGGCCCTTCCTCGGTTTTAAACCACATGTTTATAACTCCTCTATCATGATATTATCCCTTTAATCAACACTAGGTCAAACCAATAGTCTTGCTCCGTTGATGGCCCTTCCCACTTACAGACTGACATCCTGTGCCTGTTTCGTTCTCCCCCGCGTCGCTCTGACTTTCCTCAGTAGTTCCTCCAGGCTCAGCAAGCCCCCGTTGCGATGCTGTGTCGCAATGCACACCTCAATGATCTGCACCCCAAGCTCGTAGTAGAAATCACCGACGCCAAGCATTTCAGACCAAAATCCTTTGCTGGCTGAAAGAACATCAAGGGAAAAAATGCATGTTTATACTCAAGAACCTCATTAAATTTGATATAAATATTGAGATCAACTCTCGACTAGTCGGGTATTACGAGTGGAACAGCTGTTGACGAACAGAGCATACTATCCGAAATGTTGAGTTTCCTCCAGATTTTCTCAGAATCACAAAAACGTGTGGAAAGATTCCCATATCTGGCCATCACTTGTCACCCTGTGCACAAACCCTATGGGACTGGTCTGAAAATTTCTAAGTGTTTTCTCAGTAAAAATTAAAAATATGTCCCTGCTAATTTTGACTTTTTAGGACATATTATCACTTTCTGATGGCCGATAGGTCACTTAAAGGAAAAATTACTGATAGCCAGATATGGGAATCTTTCCAAATGTGTTAAAATGCACATAACAAGAAATCTGTTTTGGCTTCCCATGCAGCCCGATTTTCCTTTGAAAATTCCCCGCGAATGGCATTCAAAACCATTTTTTTCCATTGTTTGAGAAGTTACCAGTACTTAGTAATTTGTAAGGTTGGTTACGGGTACCCGATCCCATAACCTGGAACCGGTTCCTGACATCAGTGGCGGGGTACCCGGTTCCTATGCACACCCCTATTATTGTTCATTCCCAGTTACTTGCGACTGGACTTGCGGCTGGACTTGTGATTTACTTGTGATGGATTTGACTAGAACACGGCCACTCACAAGCCAGCGGGTCCACCCCAATCGTGGCACACATTTCCTGGAACTGCATGCGGAACTCCGGGTTGCGACGGATGTCATTCTTGTGACTAGAGGCAAACTCTTCCAGGTTAGTGCGGAAGGCTTCCAGCATCTTAGACATCTGGCTCAGCTGGTCCTCCGCAATCTCACTGCCCTTGTCTTTATACTTGGCCTGCAGAGGATGTAGAGATGGAACTTTAATATATGGAAGACTTCAACAGCACCGATTAATGAAAACCAAAAACGTGATATGTATATTTCTGACAAAAATTAGATTACTCTTTGGTTTATATTTAAAATAAAAAGAGAACTTTTTGTAAAATGTAATTCTAAGGTGTACCTGAACTTTACAAAAAAAGACTGTGCAAAATTTGATCTACAAGAAACAAATAAAATCAATCAAATTTAAAAATATGAAAAAAGATGTACATCATTCAGGCAATTGTTTGCATTGTTGCCAAAGAAAACCTGGGTAATTTGGAGTACAGCAAACTAAATCTACGTGTGATTCTGAAAGCAAAATTTGAAAGTGAATTTTTTGTCAGCGCCATTGGGGATCTATCTTCCAAATGCACTGCACTAATGGTTGATCATCATGCCACTGCCAGTCGATCCTTCTGACATCCATCAATCACTGTTTCTTTTTATTGACGGTTCTGGAGGATTGTTTTGAAAAAGGGACTTCAAATCTGATTTACTAAAGCCAAAGGATGTATTCTTTTCTGCACAAAGTGCAAAGCCACCATCACGGCCAACAAATGTACCCCTAGAACTTTGGGGCTCCACGGAGCGGGGGTACAACAAACGCATGTCTGTAGCAAATCTGCTTAAGAATGTGTGAACAATATTATTGTTAAACAAATACTCCACTCTCCAGAGATTAACAGTAACACCTGCAACATACAATCACTGGATTTTATACGTGAAAAATGTAACAATAACATCAATACATCAATGATCAAGTTACCAGGATCCTCAAAACACCCCCCCCCCCCCTCCCCAAGTGCACTGCCCAGCAGTAGCGCGGTCAGTTCTGTTCAGCGCATTTACAGTGCATTTTCTAATCTCACTGCACTGGCAAAGTGGCATTGCATCTCGCAAATCCACCTCCAAAAAATGTATTTTACCTGTGCCAATTTCTGTTTATTTATAGCGCCTATTCCTTTGGCGCGTCTCATCTTTGTAGTACACACTAAGGCTACTGATGTTATTATGAACAAAAGCAGGAAAATCTAAGCAAAGGTGGTACAGTTTGCGAAGATATAGAACTTGTTTCCCTCGAAGTAGGACGAATAACGGCAAAGGATCAGGACTGAATGAAGCGAGTCTACTCTATAATATAATCTTCTTCCGGATTGACGTAGAGGGCGCATGTGCCGCTGGAGTATACAGACGAAAACAATCTGTCTCGCCGATTTACACGCTGAGATTCGGTAAGAAATTCATACATTTTGGGGCAGTTGGGTTCAAGCATAATGGTTCAAGAAATGATTCGATGATCAAGATGAGGCATGCTTTAATTGAGTGTTCTTTTTTGGTTAGTCCATGGAGCTATTGGTTTATTTTATATTTATTCAACATTTTTTGTAATTATTTTATTTGGGGGGGGGGGGGGTAGGCTAGCGCCTATTTGCATTTTGCTGTCGATCCCTGTTGTGCAGTGGCAGTGCGCTTTCTTGCAACATGCGCAATTTTAAGAATGAGCGCGCATTCTTAAGAATGAGCATGCAATCTTAATAATGAGCGCTCATTCTTAAGATTGCATGGGAATATTACGTGCGCAATTTATGAATTTTGTGCAATGTTATTTAAACAACACTGCATGGCATAATTTTATAAGCATTTTCACATGTGCGCCATCTTGTTCACAGGGCAAAAAGAACACATGTTGCTCGACATAGGCACATTTTGGAATGAACACATGATGACTTGGAAGCGCCAAAGTTTTCCATTGACGATGCGTACACAGCAACGCGTGTAAAATTGCCCCGTCTGCAAGATGGCGCCTATTACCGTGAAACACCTTATATATGTTAAATTAAATGTGGTTAAAGGGGAAATAATTCATATAACAAGAAAAGAAAATTGTCTATGCTTCTATACTCGTTTAACTGCGATGATTTGAATTAAATTAAAGCTGTTATTATTGATTTTTTTCTCACTCCCCCCCCCCCCCCATGGTGGCTGGAGTTACCTCAACCCTATGGTTGTCCTATAGGGCTGGAGGAAATTGTCAACATGGACTAACATCTCTCAAAATTGAATTCCATTTCCAAAATGTGCCATTTTGTCCCCGTGCCATACTATTTCTCCTTGAGGTGCCAAGGGGAATTAGTGTGTCACAGAGACAAAAATGGCACATTTTGGAGTTCAATTTTTAGAGATGCTAGTCTATGTGGACAATCTCCTCCAGGCCTACAGGACAACCCAATGATAAAATGTAGGGCTGAGGTAACTCAAGCTACCACCATGGGTTTTTTTTAATAACGGAGGACTGGGAACTGAAGTGGTGTCATGATACTACATTCTTTCCGCCAAACTTGTTTTCTGGTCAGGGACCTGCAGAGTGGCAGATTGCAACGGGCTAGAGATTTGAAAAGCTGGAAAGAATTCCATACCTGGACATCACTTGACACCCTGTGCACAAACCCAATGAGACTTGTCTGAAAAATTCTAAGTGTTTTCTCAGTAAATGCTTCAATATTTTCCCTGCTAATTTTGGCTTTTTAGGACAAGTTATCGCTTTTGATGGTTGATAAGTCATTGCAGGGCAAAATAATTGATGGCCATAACATGGAATTCTTTCCGAAAAGTGAAATCGGGACAGCGAAATCATTCTGTCGGAAAAAATTGTGTGTCTGTTAGCAAATTTGCAGGGTTGAAGAGTGCCAACTAGTGGCCATAGTGTCCAGAAGATGGTGTGTTCCCCTCCCCCTCCCTTCTCCCACCCCCTGCTTTTGCATTTTCTGGAGGGCAGATGGCCTGGGGGGGGGGGGAATCCTGTCTACCTATTACCACAAAATTATGGTCTGTGAATTTATAAGCGAAACATGAATTTATTTTCCAACGGGCAAATAAAACCCTGGTTACGTGACATAATGACAGTAAGCCAGGCAAAACAAAATCACAGGGTGTTTAGTACTAGTACCATCTTTAATCCAAGTAAGCTTATTGATAATTCGGTAGGTAACTTGTAGGCCGAAATGCAAATGATCCTATAAATATGATTGGCCCTTAGATCTGTTTTTTTTTTAGTAATTAATTAATGCACTCTCCCTCCGGAATACCAGATTGACTTTGTAACCAGGTTTCATCTCGTTCCTGGACCATGGAATTCCAGCCTCATTCTGGTGAGCAGTACCCAGCCACTGAATACCTGGAAGGGACCATTCCTGTGGAGGGGTATGTGGGAGAGGATGGCCACGCCCCTATTGTGGAAGAATATGCAGAAGGTATCAAATATCGTCATTAACACTTTTAGAAAATCTGTTGCTCCTGTTGCCATGGTTATGTATTGTAATGTTTTAAAAGTTACATAAAGGGGACGAACCTGTGTTCACAGGAACGGGGTGCCCATCTCTCTTTCATTAGCGATTGGGCCAGACTCATATGCTGCTGTGGGGGGATCGCCACACCTCCTCCACAGCGAGTCTGTTACCTTCCCAGCATTGAATAATGCTGATACCCATTTAACACCTTACTCAAGGGCACAACACGCATGGCCACGGCGGGGCTTGAACCCACAACCTCACGATCATGAATCCTGTGCTCTACCACACGTGCCCACAAAAGTTACATAGATTCTGCTGTGACAGATGACATTTTATATCGGGTTTTGCCCGTCACCGATGTATTTTTATATCATTGTCCGAGGGCTTGCATGAAAAATTCAAAAGCTTACTCCGGTGGGACTCGAACCCACCACCTCCTGCTATCTAGTGCAGACCTCTTACCACTCGACCACCAAGCTTTTTAAAACACACTGTTTTAAACCACCTTAAATTTTCTTTCAAGTGATGGCGTTTCAGGCAGAACATATTCACAGGGTATTTAGGACTAGTCCTATCTTCGTTTTAAAGGGAAAATACAACATTTGCAAACATCAAAAAATAAAACTACCAAATCATTTTGAAATACCTTGCTGGACTGTTAGTGAATGACAGTGTAAAGCATCCTGTAAAATCATGGCACCTGGTATACTGTCATTTTCAAGAAAAGCGGTATTTTTGTATCAATTTCCAAAGCTGATCGGCCGATCAGCGTTGGAAAAAACTGGCTTTTTTTCAAATACTGGCCCCAATTGACCATCGCACTTGTTTGTAATCGATTACACACCTATGAACGGGTACAAGCCAGCTAGACTGGTTCCCTGACCTTACAATTCCCCAATGTATGTAAACTGCTCTTTCTTCTTAAATGGAGTCAGGGAACCAGACTACAGGAAAATGATTGTTTTTCTTGGTTTTTATAGCATTTTTGAACCCAAAACCTCAAAAAAGTCAGTGTAACTATATTTGCTATATATTTCAAACCCCCCAATTCCATCCATTTCTGAAAATTACAGCAAAAGCAAATGATGTATATTCCCTTTAAGCAAGGTTTTACTTACCAAAGTGGTAGTGTTTCCGGGTAGTTACCAATGTTCCTATATGTCTTTAAATATTCTAATCAGCCTTTGTATGTTCTCCTCATATTTGGTCAGGCCCTCCACTACCCATACCCGGCTCCTACAGGGAACTGCACAGCCTGATGGCAGACGGTGGGGACCACTTTGGGGTGTCTGCGGTGGCCTTTGACAGGCAGGAGGAACTGCTCTGGATGGGAAACCAGGGGGTATGGCTACGTCTGAATTACTTGGCTACTTGGCTTACAGTAAAACACACTTGTATGGGAAGCGGCTTCCATCGCTTCCCATAGGGGCATGTGAAATTGCAAGCCGTAGCTGAGTATTTTGGACTTGGCCCATGGTACTTTATAACACCTAATGCATATTCATAAGCTGATTCACTCATTTCATTGGGCAGTTTTGAGTTTGGCCAGTAAAACTTGTGCGCGCTTTTGTGTTATGAGAACTGATTCTTGTCTAGCTGGTTTATATTATAAAACTAGCACCAGATTCTTTAATGGTCATTCATAAATACCTGAGACAGTTTACTAATTCCCGTTGGTCGAGAGCCCCTCGCGTGGCCGGTCTTAAACTGATGATAAAGACATGGCTGGCTGGTCTTAAACACTTCTCCAGCGTCACATGAAGTTTGGACTCCTATAAAATCCAGTGCCTTTTACCGTTTTATTGGTTGAACGTTCACAATCCTCACGTAGGCATGCGCAATACTACCAGTGAGCCAGTGTATCATAGTCCTTAATTCACAACGCACTCACCACAGCTGCATAGATGCACGTCATCGCGCAGTACGCACGACGCGTGCGCCAATCTTCATAAAAGTTGTTTACGCCTTACTCGCGAGCGGACACTCCAGCCTGGAAATATGTATTTTTTGACCTGTTTTGACTTTTGGACCGAAAAGTTTAGATATTTTGACCAAAACGTTCGTCTCAGGTAATTATCAGCATTCTTAAACATAGTGTTTAACACCTCCCAAGCACAGATTTATTCCCTTATTCATGAATACATGAGACAGTTTACCAATTCCTTTTGGTCGAGAGTCCATCATGTGAGTAACCACCAGTTAAACACAGCTACATTCGGCGCAGTATGCGCTGCGCTTGCCAATTTCCATATTAGTAGATTTTTAGCACTGCATGCATGCGGCACATACCATAAATATGGCTAAACGGGTGTTTCACATAACATGAAGTAAAATTGTTGAACAAAATCGTTGGAAATTTGAGAATGACTTGTTTTGACTTTTTGACCAGAAGGTATTTATGAATGGGAATAAATATGTGCTTGGCCGGTTTTATAAACAAGTACATTTAAAACTGGCTAGGGGCCTGGACACAGATAATGGCCGAGCCAAAGGCTTATTACTCGACATGATGAGGCCTTATGATGATCTTTTATTTCAGGAGAGGCTTATTTGAAGTTCTTTAGTTATCCAGAATGGCACTTTTGTCTTAGAATAAATTTTTTGTATTTATGGCCAACTGTGTGAAGTAAGACTGCGCAGAGACGGTGAAAAGTTGCTCCTAGTACTTAGTACTATGACATCTGCTACATTTTTTGGGAAAAAAAATTATAAATAATCTACCCAAACTGTTTATTATGCTCTCATGAATTGTCATATTGACTTACTGTTACTATATCTGTCCGTTTATAACACAGGGTCATGTGACCTCCTACTACGGCACCCAAATGCAGAAGTACACATCATTTCAGATGCACGCATCGAGGGAGATACGACAAATCACGACGTTTGACGATGGAGTGTTGGGTCTAACCAGCGACAGCCTTCACTGCCATGCCAGGCAGGGTCTGCGGGTGTTTGATTATCGGTAATTTACACTTTAACCCTAACCACCCCAACTCCATCCAAGTCCATCCCTTCATTTTGGTGGATTTTGGGGAACTTGGTTCAGAAGGCCTGGCGTGACTAAATATTGATGGAGTATGATGGACTTGTGGTTTATTTGAAAACTTGTAACAAAAAGCTGTTTCCTCTCTGAGTGATCCCCATTTGCTATTTGCCAGGTTTGCAGCATTGCTAATGTTGCTAGCATCATGACTTTGGGTGTGATCCCAGGCTACATGTACATGGCATATATGGGTTTATGGCTTCTGATTAGCGCTCCTTGAACACAGACACTGACATAATGGGGAACCACCAACATAGGGCTGGATAGCCGTTGGTAGAGTGCAGTAACAGTAATGCGTAAAAAAATCGCATTTTCTACTGCAAGCAATGGTTCAAAATGACTAAAAACGGTGTCATTAGAATTAAGGAAAGTCTGTTCTAGGTTTGAGATAGTAATTTTGGAATTCTGGGAAAAAAACACCCTAGACTTTGACCAAATTTGACCCAAACTAAAGAGGGGCTCGTAACTACACAATCGCTGCCAGATAAAATAACCACACAAAGTGGTGATTAAACACGCCACTTTTCCGAGGTGCATGCGTATCCTGTATGCATACCATTTCGAATGGGCTCTAATTAGCGTGGTGAAGATTGGGTCATGATGTACGTGTACTTGTCTCAAGATGCTTATAATGAGATTAAGTTTGCGTGTCTTATACATTTGTCCCCCCAGTGGAGAGTCCTTGCAGGATATGCAGTGCATGCTGATCTACAACGGTACCCACCTGCTGATGGGGGGTCATCAGACCCTCCTGGTGGAGTTTGACCTGATGGAGGGGCGCGAGGTGGCTACTTTCACCGCCCAGGACCCCGGCGTGGCAATCATGAGGCACGGAACCAACTTCATCTGCTGCGGGGACACCAGTGGAAAGGTTAGGGAAATTTATAGAATGTTTTCATTCCGTGGTGGCAGTGAGCTGCAAGGAGGCTCTGAAATGTGAGCTGGGCAGGATTAAGGCTAGACATCATTCATTCGTTAGGCATTTGCCCGTGGTCTCCTCAAATTATACACAGTTGGGATCACTGGTTCTGCTTCCACCACAGCCCGTCTTTCCAGTGTTGCTGCTTTCAGTTCAGTGGTATCACACCCTGACCATTCTCGGATGTTGTCCACCCAGCGCAACCTTGGCCGGCCCACGGAGCGACGACCACAACAATTATTAAATAGTTTATAACTTCATTTATTACTTAGAGTGAACTAATATTCAACCATTCCATTTTTCTCTTGAAGGTTCACCTTCGGGACCTGAGGAACCTGAAGGTGGAGCATGTCCTGGATCCACACTCAGGCACGCTCTCTGATTTTGACGTCCACGGAAACCAACTCGTCACTTGCGGATACGGCGAAAGGTAAAACACGTTGCACAGAATTTTTTTTTTTTTACATTTTGTGGAGAATGTGTTTTATTAAATTCCTTTGCCTCACTATCGCTTTTTACACCTACTGTTCCATGGTCATACTGTAAGCTACAGAACAAGTTTGAATAGGAAATAGGGTCAAAATCCATGTTACCATGTGCTGTCTACATGCTATAGAGGTCAGACCCACTGCAAACAGCCATTATTTGAGCTTGCAGACTAGTCTTGTTGACAGGATGATTGATTATCCATGCCCTGCAGCAATATGCCCAGCACAATATGTGACAGAAGGGCACCCCCGCCCAATCTCCCTATACCCTATAGACACCCTAGACCATTGTTACCTAACACATCCCCCCTAGATGTCTCAAAAGAATTCCTTAGATTCTGGTAACACAGTGACCAACACAAAAGAGGGGGGTTCACTCTGTCAAATATCGTGCTACATGTGATGCGATCAAGCTAAATGAGTCGTTTGTCGGGAAATTTTATGTTGAGATACAGGCCACTTCATCACATCACTTCATCACATCTCTTGGTGTTTTGTCTTCCATAATTTTTGAACTAAAGATGGTATCAGCATGCGGTTTTCACAGCAGTAATACTAAGATTGTGCTCTTTTGAAATCTGTGATAATTTTTTTTTTTACTAGGGTCGACAAACGACTCATGTAGCTTGATCGCATCACATATGTGCAGCAAGGCCGGCTAGACTCACGATAAAGATTGTATTACACAAACATGTGGTTCTTGTCAAGGGGCTGGTGTTTGGCTACAATTTTCAGGTGTCAATAGTTCAAGTCAGGCTAAAGGGACACTCACCACATTACTTGGCTATGTTTGAATGAGGAACTTGTAATATATGAATTTTTTTACCAAAAATGTTGGCGTAATTAAAAAATTAAAGCAAATAGGACTTTATTTTAGAGCACAATCACTCAGCAGATGGGTTTTAAGCCCATTTGTCCCTGTATCACCCCAAACCACCTTTCTTTTTACTTATAGTACTTCATGAAACCACCTGAGTCGGTTTTTTTTGCATGGATTCACCAGTAAATAAACACAGTGTATTTACAGGTGCTGTTGGGTAAACGTTGAAAGGCGTAATTGCACGTTTCATGCATCCTGTACATTAATCATATAGAATGACTGCCCAAAAGTAAAATAATTTGTTTTCATTTTATGCAAATTCTCATTGAATTGTCACTAAAGCAAGGTAGTTCTATATTTTTGGGTTCACTGTAGAAGAGTGTATTCCTTTAAAGGGCATTGATTCTGGCTATGAAGATGTAAATAAAGATATCAATTAAATACAACTTAAAAAAAGTTTTTGAATAGGTCGATTTAACCCTTTATAACCTGTACTACATTGTATTACATTGTTTTACTCTCTGAAAAATCCATAAAACCATAGGGTGCTCGGGCAGTTTGGGGCGGTGCAGGGAGTAATAGGCAGGGCAGTTTTGGGTGATACAGGAACTAATGGGTTCAGTAATACATACATGGAAAATGCCCCCCCAAAACAATGCTGAATGCATATATTCAGTACAGAATTGTACGTTTTTAACACATTTCCCTCGTTTGATTGTTCCTTCTTAACCAGGAATGGAGGCTTATCACTTGATCGTTTCCTGATGGTGTATGACCTACGCACCATGCGACCTATGAACCCACTGCACATCCCCATAGAGCCTTGGTACCTGCGCTATGTACCCACTTACTCCAATAGGATTGTGGTGGTCAGTCAGGTATGGGGACATTTTTATGCCCCGCGGCGAAGCCGAAGGGGCATACTGTTTCCGCCTTGTCCTTCCGTGGGTGGGTGGGTGTGTGTGTTAGTGGGTGTGTGGGTGGGTGGGTGGGTGGGTGACTACAAATTCGTGTCCTTGTGGAGACACACACACAATAGGGAACAAAACATTGTAAAGGTCTCCACAGGGCAATTTCTATAGATGAATAGGTCTCCACAAGGTTTTCACGAAATAGATATATGGGTTTTACTCAAAAACTAGGAATTTCCAAGGTGGGTTGATCTGTCGCAAATGAAAGAGTTTTAGAAAAGGGATATTAAGTCCAAATTTCAGCCAAGGAAACTAATTCTGGTTAAAATAAGAGCATTTTGAAACTTCACTTTCAAAATTGAACACTTTACTACACGAGAACAAAGGAATGTCTCCACAAGGATACAAATTTGAGAATGAGTGGGTGGGTGGGTGTGTGTGTGTGTCCGTCCGGACAAATCTTGTCAGCGCGATAACTTGAGAAATACTTAACATATGAACTTCAAATTTGGTTTGTGTATTGTTCTTGGTAATCCTAACAACCCTTTTGCATTTGGGGCCGAAAGGTCAAGGGTCAAGGTCACAGTGACCAAAAACAAAAGAAATTTTGTCAGCGCGATAACTTGAGAAATACTTTACATATGAACTTCAAATTTGGTTTGTGTATTGTTCTTGGTAATCCCAAGAACCCTTTTGCATTTGGGGCCGAAAGGTCAAGAGTCAAGGTCACAGTGACTAAAACAAAAGAAATTTTGTCAGTGCGATAACTTGAGAAATACTTAACATATGAACTTCAAATTTGGTTTGTGGATTGTCCTTGGTAATCCCAAGAACCCTTTTGCATTTGGGGCCAAAAGGTCAAGGGTCAAGGTCACAGTGGCAAAAACAAAAGAAATTTTGTCAGCATGATAACTTGAGATATACTTTACATATGAACTTCAAATTTGGTTTGTGGATTGTCCTTGGCAATCCTAAGGAGCCTATCGCATTGGGGGTCGAAAGGTCAAGGGTCAAGGTCACAGTGGCTAAAACAATAGAAATCTTGTATTTATTCTGAGATCATAGGGATTAGGGATTAATTCATATAAAACCTACAGAAGACACTAATGCTGTCAATGAACGTTCCATTTGACCAAGGTACATGTAAGTTGATGTTAGAGTGGTGTTATGTCATGGAAACAGTCACGGTTGCGGGGCATTTGTGTTTGTAAACACACCTGACTTGTTAACAATATTCCAGGTGTAAGTGGAAGGAAGTGTCTGAAACTTCTGAAGTTGTATTCTGTAGAAATCCTGTACAAATGGTGGTCTATGGACTCTGCACAAGTACCCCCGCCCCCCCAAAAAAAATTGTAATAAAAAGCTGTATCCTGTCCGAGTAATCCCAATTTGCTATTTCCTGGGTTTGCAACATTGCTAATGTCGTTAGCATCGTGACTTTGGGTGTGATCCCTGGCTACATGGCATATACAGGTTTATGGCTTCTGACTAGTGCCCCTTGAACAAAGACATTGACAAAATGGGGGACTGCCAACATAGGGCTGGATAGCTCAGTTGGTAGAGCACCGGAACAGAAATCCGGAGGTTGCAGGTTCAAACCCAGCTCCAGTCAATTTCTTTGTTCAACATTAAAATAAGTACCCCCTCAACAGTTGCAAAGGAAGAGTTAGGGGAGAACACTTGGAGGGACACTGGAATGGGCGCGCCGCCTACGGTGCCTGATGGGGTTTGTGCACATTCAGAAACAACTAAGTTGTGCATACATTATGCCATACGCGCTTGAACCAAGTGGCATGGGTGGCTAGTACGCAAAGCGCTTGCCTCTAACCACTGTGGCCAGAGTTCAATTCCTGTCTCGGACCATATGTGAGTAGAGTTGTTTGTTGATTCTCTACTGTGTCACAAGGGGTTTTCTCTGGCTCTCCGGTTTTCCTCCCTCCACAAATATCAACACTTTCGATCTCTGGCTGTGCTCCGCGGTCAGACATTGGTCATATAGTAGCTGCCTAAGGCACCTTTACATGCCTTCGGCTCCACCACATTGTAGCCGGATCCTTTGCAATTCAGCTTCTCGACTGCAAGTAAGGATGATTATCCTCCAAATTAGTATTGTTAGTATAACCAGTATGAGTACACGGTGTTGAAAATTGAAAAACTGTCCTGAACAATATTAAGTTCATCAGATCTGGTCACATTTATATTTTAACACGATGTCAAATTTTGTCAGTACGTGTCATTCGTCTAACTTTGATTTGTCGTAACAACTTCACTTATAAGGCCAGCCTTGAATTTACCCAGTGCAAATTCTCCATTAAATTTGACCTGATAATAGTATATTTATTTTCCTGAACAGACCGGTGAGTTTCAGCTACTTGACCCCGGTGGTCTGGTGACTCCCGAGGCCATGCTTCTCTATCAGGTCAACATCGCAGGGGACATGACCCTCGCTGTGGATGTCTCAAGCAACTACAAGGCCATCGCTTTTGGGGACTCTGGAGGTATGGTTTGGATTGGAGAGGAGTTTAACAATAGTTTACTTGGTGGCTGTTGTTTGGTGCAAGCACAAGTTATAGTAGGGGCTCGGGCAGGGCTCGGAATTGGGCTCATCTACTTGCATATCTGCTGTCATGGGTAGCGCAGTGGGTAAAGCGCACTCTTCTGACCATTGTGGTCCAGGTTCGATTCCCGGCTCAAGTCATATGTGAGTAGAGTTGTTCGTTGATTCTGTCCTGTGCCACAAGGGTTTTTCTCCGGGTTCTCCGGTTTTCCTTCCTTCACAAAAATCAACATTTTCAATCTGGCTGTGCTCCGTGATCAGACATGGATCGTATGGTGACTGCCTAAGGCGCCTTGACATGCCTTTGGCTTGACCATGTTGCGTCCTTCACAAGTCAGCATCTACTGCGAGCCATTCTGCTACCTCTGCTTTCTATTGTTTTAATAAGCTCTATGTCAATTTTCAACAAGTGCAGCCACACGCAGATCCAAGTCAGCAGCCAATATAGGCTGGCGCATGTTAAACTTGATCAGCGCATAAATTATTTGATCAAGTCCAAGTTAGAATAATCGAAAAATACTACATAATACAAAATTGCACAGCCCTGTAATTTAACTAACGTAATGGTTTCAGCAAAGTCGCACATTGCACAGTTTAAAATCAATGATGCACTTGTACCAGGTTTTAGAATTGTGTTTGATATGTATGCCTGTATGTATAATTTTGGTAAGGCAAATAAATTTGTGCTTGTACCAAGTTGGGAGAGTTAGATTTGGTTTTCATTTTTTATTTTGATTCAGCGTCAAGCTCTATCATTTCAAGTTGGGGAGTGTGGCCTAGAGGTTAGGGTTTGTGACTTATGATCGGGGTCAGGGGGTTCGAATCCAGCCGTGTCCTTGGGCAAGCCACTTCACCCCCCACTTGCCTCTCTCCACCCAGGACTTTATATGGGTACCGGTATTAGCTGGGGAGTAACCTGCGATGAACTGGCATCCCATCCAGAGAAACAGATATATTCTCAGTCGTTTCATACATAGGAAACCGGAGATAAACGCTGTCCTGATGGGCCATATTGGCTTGTGACAGACTTTACTTACATTACTGAAAATGCTTTCAATTATTTTTTGAATTTTGTTGTTCATAGGGTATGTTCATCAGTGGACTGATTCAGAGGAGGTGACCTTCAATGCTTTTCCAAGAGAGACAGAATTTGCTCATCCAGTACGTAAAACGAAACGATTCTTTCAATCCTTCAGATTGGAAAACAAATTTTGACTCATCTTTGTGAGCGACCGCTTCTTTGTCCACACCCACTTATTCATGATCTCACAAAGTGTCAAGCTAAAAATTCATCACAATAATCAAGTTGCAAACCTGGAATCCAATCCATCATTCACTAAAAAAAACAATCTGCCTATTAGAATATCCACAAACCACAAAAATGACTCAACAGAATGCTAAAAAAATCTTTAGAAGGGTGCATATAAACAACTAACTACTTGGAAGTTTCAGCTCAGTGGATACTATACATATGGAGAAACACAGAGAAAACGTATGCACAATTTGTTTGGGTCCCCTAACCGTATTGCATTGCCAATGCACATAAAAAAAAAGTGTGCCCGTGGGCCAATGAGTGTTTTCTTCCGAATGATGCCATTTCAGACAGAATAATTTCACAGGGTGTTTGGTACCAGTCCTATCTTCACTTTGAGCAAGGGTTGATCTTGTTAATCTGTAGGTCCATTTCCCAGTAATTACCAATGTTCTTATGTGCCTTTAATGAACTTTTCTAATATAATCTTGGTGATATTTCTTCAGCCGGAGCATCATCCACCACTGTCCATCAGTAATGAGTTTGCCTCCTACTCATGCGTCCCAATGCCTTACAGTGAGGGGCCACTCCTGTCTGATTGGCCAGCAGAGTACTGCTATCCTGTGGTCAGGTAAAAAAACAACAAAAATACAGATCGTATAACCTGCAGACTAGCCCCACCCACTTTCTCCTATGAATATTTTATGCAGGCAAGTCCGGCCTATATAATGCAATGAATATCACATGCAGAAATGCCCCACCCACATTCTCCTATGAATATGTCATGCAGGCTAGTTCCACCCAACCTCGTCCCCAGGGTGTCGAGCAGTACGCGCCCACCACTACCTGCTCTCTCACCCTGGTATTGGATCATTTGCATGTGCAAGATTTTTGAACACGTATGCAAATTAGGAGTAGTCTGGTGCCTGCCTGTGCGTTACATTTGCGTTTGTTTTTGTATGCGGTGTCTGGGGTAAAAACAGAATCAATTCGTCGCAGCGCGATCATGGCGTGAGTTACGAAAACATGATTTCATTTTAAATAAACTGTTACGATCTTAACGAGACAACATGCAGTATCACATTTCATATTAATATTAACAAACTGGAAAGGAAATGAATAGGCATTTTCGAGAAGGCGTGGACGAATGATCGTGAAAAAACGTACTGCACGACGGTGAATAACAACACCAAGTACACGATATAAATCCATTTCTAGCCAATTGCGGTATCGAATCAGGATGCAGGAAGGAAGTTTCCTATCCAGGGTTTACTATTGGAACAACGTTGGAAATAAAGTAAGCACTTGGGACGAGGTTGAGTTCTACCCATATAATCCACTTAAATCAACTGCAGACTAGCCCCACCCACATCGTCCTATGAATATTTATTGCAGGCAAGCCCCGCCCATTGACCCTGAGATCCTGCGCTCCATGAAGGTGGTGCAATTCATCGGGTACGCCCCCAACCCGGGTACCAAGAAGCGCAACCAGGTCATGTACAAGGAGGTCAAACCAGAGAAGCGCAAAGGCAAGGGAAACGTGCCAGAGTCACCACTCGGAAGAGGTCGGTAATCAGAAATCTCAGGATTATCTATGCTGAGTCTTTTGTGTTTATCTCCTTTATACAATGATTTTAAACTCTCATCTACATCATTCTATAAATTAGGGTCCAAAATGTGAATGTTTTCCTGTCCCTGTTACCTTGGAACCTTATAATTTGCCATTCAAGTGTCATTAAAAATGACTTCAAACTTATTTTTATTTGTAATTAAGGAGTGCATTCACAATTACAAAATCATGTCACATCTATCAGATGTGACAGGGACAGGAAAAAAAGTGGGCCTCAAATTTATAGAATGACCCATCTAGGAATGGATGCCATCATGACCGTTGGTCGACTAGTGGTTGCTTTGTGATGTAACTTGTGCATACACACTAATAGCAATGTGCAAACATCTCTAGTCAAGACACTGTCAAAAAGCAATCAAGAAATGTCTTGGTCCTGGCTCCCTGCTGTCTCCAGAAGTGATCCGTGAAGCTTTCTATTTTTCCCCGATGCGAAGCCGAGGGAAAAGAAAATGCTCTGTGGATCACCAGAGGAGGCTAGTTTTACTATACCACGAGTTAAAGCAGTCAATATTTGTTTTATAGCGCCTCATCCGCAGATTCTGCTTGATTTTAAGAGATACCGTAACTGATTCACTTAATCTAAATACAATTAAATTGTATTTTTATTTCAATACAAAATTAGTTTAAAATTTACTTGAACTTTTCCAAACCACACCTTCACATACTGTTTTGAACCCAGCCAAGCATTTGGGAACAATTTGTGCAATGTGCACAGCCGTATACATTTGCACACAATAAATTTATCTCTGGACATTCATTTTTAGCTGTGTTGAATAATTGGCCTGCCTTCACAAAATATGAGTCAGTTTATAAGTACCGGTAAATCATGTCCAAATTCTTATCCAAAGTTTGGAATGTCCTTCTTTGTTCCAGTAATCTACAGTAAACTGTTCTCTAGAAACCCAAAACATTGTTTGCTGCATAACTCTTACATGTTTGATGCAGATCACATATACATCCACTCAATCAGTAGTTTTGTACTTCATTTAAATAACCTATGACCTTTTGCTATCTACCCTAAATGCATCACAGATGCCGATACGCACATGTACATGGTTCCCAAGTACTACCGCAAGGTGGAGATCAAATACTCTAAACTTGGGGTCGACGACTTTGACTTCCGGCACTACAACCAGACTAACTTTGCCGGTCTGGAACCCCACATCCCCAATGCCTACTGCAACTCTATGCTACAGGTAGGCAGCCTTTGTACTTGCTGCGTGCAGCCGATTTCACGAAACAGTGCGTAACTTACGTCATGCGTAGGACTCACAAAACAAATTTGTTGCCTAGCTGCGCAATTAATTTACGATCGATTTCATGAAACTTGGCATAGCTGCGCAGCATTTTAAATAATTTAAATGTCTTGGACAAGGAAATCAACAGCATCTACAGCGGCTGTTTTTGAATTTGACTATTCAGTCACAAAACAGTTGTTGAATCACACCCGCCATCCATTTTGTCTGTGGAATCGTGCAGCAACTGTAAAAAAATCTGTCACAGGTACAATAGCAAAGCAATTACTTCAAACACAAAGCTGTGGGTATCTTGAATGAAGGTTGATAAGTTGAGCAATGACGGGCTCCACAACAATCACAATTTGCCAGTAAAATAGTTGATTTTCGGTCGCTACGCCATGACTTGAGCCACCTAGAGTGATTGCTTAAACTATGCCATGATTTGTTGCGTAAAAAAATGTTGAAACGGTGACCAAATGTCAAATGTCAGTATAATCACCATTGCTCACGTTTCAGAAATTTTGTCCAGAATTAAACTGTTTTAGACATTTCTGGTTCATAGTGGTTTTGTATTGTAATCTTGTAATCTGTAATTCATTTGTTGATATTGATCCTGCTATAGTTGTAATATTTCGTTGAGCCACTGCGTTCTGTGATTCATTTGTTGATATTTATCCTGTTATAGTTGTAATATTTCGTTGAGCCGCTGCGTTCTGTGATTCATTTGTTGATATTTATCCTGTTATAGTTGTAATATTTCGTTGAGCCGCTGCGTTCTGTGATTCATTTGTTGATATTGATCCTGCTATAGTTGTAATATTTCGTTGAGCCGCTGCGTTCTGTGATTCATTTGTTGATTTTTATCCTGTAATAGTTGTTATATTTCGTTGAGCCGCTGCGTTCTGTGATTCATTTGTTGATATTGATCCTGTTATAGTTGTAATATTTCGTTGAGCCGCTGCATTCTGTGATTGATTTGTTGATTTTTATCCTGTTATAGTTGTAATATTTCGTTGAGCCGCTGCGTTCTGTGATTCATTTGTTGATATTGATCCTGTTGTAGTTGTTATATTTCGTTGAGCCGCTGCGTTGTGTCCTGGAGAGTCACCTGTGCACCAAGGAGTTCTGCTTAGCCTGTGAGATGGGTCTGCTCTTCTACATGCTGGACCAATCCAAGGGACAAACCTGCCAGGTAGGTCTGTGTGCACCATGCATTTGTATCTGACTGGCAAAAGCTAATGGGGCCAATATACAATAGGTTCCAATCGTATGACGTCAAAGTGCCACGTGATCATCCGATTCCCCCGTGATCGGCCACCATTGCAGTAGGCAAGCGTTTGGTTAGCAACCACGTTGTGCATTGTAAACTAGACAGTAGGGTTTATTTTCACGTAAATTAATCGCAAATTTTGGATCAAATGGCATAATGGTCACTACATGTGCCATGTATGGTCGTCATAATCATGCCGACCCAGCACTGGGTGTTGGCTCTGCACTATTCTCACAGTTTTTGCCATCCATCACAGCTTTAAAAGCTTGCCTACTACCCACTGCATGAGGTTCTATAAGATCTTTGCCTACTACAATGGCAACGCTGACGTTCCAGTACCCGTATGTAGGCCAGGACACGGGTTCAGTGAGAGCCCTCTATATCTCAAACTGACTTTCCTTAAAAACTGATATATATTTTCTTAACTTTATGTCCGTTTAAAAGGGAACAATAGAAACATTTGATATCTTATAACGATCGGGTTACAGTGGTTAGGTCAGAGTTTAGAAAATGTTTTCTTCTGGGTTTTTTTGTTAGTGTTACACTTCTTTTGGACTGGCATTCCTAAATCAACTTGTATTAGGAGTGAGTCAAGTCAATCCAAATAGATTTTGGTTTCAGAAAGGTAAACGTTATGTAATAATTGTCTATTGCCTAGACCCTTGAGTAGCATTGAACAAGTGAAACAATTTTTGCTCATTGTTTCAAAATTCAATCTTAATTTAAATGTTAGGCTGTGTACCAACCGGGCTTCCAGAGCTACGGGCTTCGGCTATGTCTATTTTCAGCTTGTTCCCACCAAGTTGTAATGGGTGAATACCTAGACAGTAGCTCTAGGCATGAGATTTGGATGCAGCATTACTGTATTGAGTTACAGCACGCTACTGCGGTAATGCACTATGCAGTCTGTGGCTATAGCCCCTCCACACACACAACTATGGTCTTGAAGCTGTTCGGGGGTGTAGTATATCTCACAGGATTGGAAACAACTTTCACTTAAGTTTTGTTGCCGGTTCTAGTGACAGGATGATTGCTTACGCCCACCCTACCAGCTCAGTTGATGATATAAACAAGATGGTTCTTGTTACTGGGGCTAGTGCTTGGCTAGGAAATTCTGGGTCAATGGTTCAACCAATTTTAAAGGGGTCCACACATGTTATTGACCAATGTTTTAATGAGGAACGTGTGAAATACAAAATGTTTTGACCCAGACATTTTCGGAGTAATTAGAAAATTACTCAAAAAAAAGACTGCCAAAAAAGTTCCTTGTTGAACCAAGGGTATAATTTTATATTTTTTAATTGATTTTGCAGGCAAGTAACTTCCTGCGAGCATTCCGTACTATCCCTGAGGCTTCGGCGCTCGGCCTGTTACTAGGTGAGGCAGAGGAGGCAGCAGGCAAGGCCAACTTCCCCAGGCTCATTCAGAGCTGGAATAGATTCGTGCTTGCTCAGCTCATACAGGTAAGTTACATCATTAGTTGTAAGGCCAGTTAACAGTTGAGGCCCGTCCGATCGTGAAGCAAATTTCACGAAACAAAACCTTTGCCGTGAAATTGGTGCGTTGTGTTTTTTTTTAATTAGCAGTAAATTATTTGGGCAACAATAATAGTCACCATTTTGGTATTTTATTATTAATTCAAAAATTGTTACTTTTTCTACATTTCCATTACGTTTGTGTCATTCAAGAACATTTTCTTTCCATCAAAAGGAAAAATATCAAATTGATGTTGGAACAATAATTCATTATATTTCATGGAGGCATAATCTTAAGAAGCCAACATCATAGCTAATTTATCTAGCTTAATACTGTTCTTCCCATGTGTCCAAGTGCCACCAGTGTTTAGAAGAACAAGCTCGATTGGAAATGTTTTGGAAGCTGGGGGCCAATGAATTCGTGTTCATGCATGAGTCACGTGATTGTGCCATGAAATATCTGGAAAGGAGTAGTGTTTTGAGTAAAAAAAAATCTGGCTTTTGATCCCAGTGACGCCATGATGACCTGTGACCCCAGTTTGGTTGTGTGACATGTTGGGGCTGGGCTACTGATACTTTTGACAAAGTTTGGTTGAAATCGGTCAAACTATGTAGGAGCAATATGTCAACGTTTGTTTCCAACTAACGGACTAACAGAGAGACACAATGATTTGTTAAGCTGCTATCCCGCAGCTAAAAAAAATATCAGCACTGATGGCATAAAAAGATGAATTTCTAAATATTTCCTTGCAGGACACAGCAACAGCAGAATCAGAAACGGAAACAGGAACAGACAGGGTCAAGCAGATGTTTGAAGCAGACGTCAAGACAGAAGTCAAATGTAGATGTGGGAAGGAAACGGAGAGGTCGTCAGTTAGCCTGTTGGTCACCCTCACGTACCCAGAGTTCCTTCCACCAAGTAAGTCAAAAGCCATGAAACTTAAAGGTACCGTCCATCATTTGCAGCTAGCCAAAAAGTAACTGACGTAATTAGTGTTGAAAAGCATGCTTGGTTTAAAGATAGTAAGGGGACTAAACTCCCTGTGGAATTATTCTGTCTCGCAAGCTGTCATATTGAAGAAAACAATGAAAGAAGGCCTTTCCAACGATGGGTCTAAAGATGCATCATGGGAAATTTCCGTTAGTAGATTTTTTATTTGGAGAAGCTCGCGCAAGCGTTGACACGACGCATGTGCGCGCGCGGTTGCTATAATTCATCAGTTCAGTGCTTGACATCGCGTAGCTGCAATCGGCTCAGTGAGAAGGTGTCTCAGACGCTGAATTCAGGCCCAATTGGAAACACAACTCAGCAACTTTTGATTTGAAATCGAGATCCTAGAATATTGTTTTCTCGGAATACACAGCGTTCACTGAGATGAAACTTCATGAGTTTAGTTGTTCAGCACCCTTCTTTAGATTTTGAGCAATTTTGTTGCTTCAAACGAACATAATGCACAAATTACAAATGGTGGCACTACCTTTAAAAGTACGTAGGGACATACACCTATTTATTTGATACTCGCAGTGAAGAAAGGACTGGTAGTAAATACCCTGTAAAATTATTGCTATCACTTGTTCATGTGCACCATCAACGGAATCCAGTTATGAGACCCGATAAAATGTGCATATGTTTTAAACGAGGCTCTCGCCCACTTCGAGGAGGGGGTGGTTTCGCCACCCGTGGCCCACTTTGTTTCTTAGAGGGCAGTATTTTTTATTCTACTAAATAATAAGACCTTTCGTAGATTTGTAAATTACAACAATTATGAATGATGGCTGCTGAGCATGAGGTCTCAGGCTAAAACATCCTGTGATGTAGGTATTGCGTACTGGTTTTCAGATAATTGTTGTTCGGCAAAGTTAAGCACAAACATCTGTGTAACAACTCCATGAAGTATGTGTTTCTCCTAACAAATTTCCATTTTTTTTATGTTGTCTTCACAGCCCCCACAAGACCTGCCAAAGAAGTGTCGTTTGCATCCGTCCTGCAGAACAGTATGCTGCTGGATCAGACCATGCAGGCGTGGTGTGATGACTGCAACAGGTACCAGCCTACGGTAAGATAAATAGACAGATAGCCATGCAGGCTGACTGTCAGACATACCAATTTATGTCATGGTTTAATAATTGTCCATTGGTTTTTGTCTGGTTTGATGTGTAGTGCTTGCTTTTCCATTTTATCATTTAAATAAAATTTAAATTTTTAAGTGTAGTATTTTCAGAATGTTTCATATCCAATATTGTAAAGTGCATTTGAGCATATTTTCTGGAAATTGCGCTGTAAAAATGGATCAATTATTATTATAATAAGTATGTCTTCTCCTTCTTCACAGTCTCAAAAGCGGACCTACAAGCGCTTGCCCGATGTGTTATCCATCAACTGCCATTTGGAGTCCAACTCGGACATCATGTTCTGGAAGATACAGGAACAGGTAAAGATAGACGATAACCCTCACCCTGCCAGACACAACATAGTGCAACAGCTGTTTGTGGGACCATGCTGCATTTAGCACCAGTGCATTAACGGTCAATTTTGAGACAATGAGAGCTAGTCCCATTGAACAATGCCACTATTGTATCCTGCTACAGTTGGCGACCACAGCCTCTGAGGCAGTGTGGCCTTGGGGATTTTTAACCTGTTGGGTCCCGAAATTTAAGGTTAGGGTTGCGGTTTCTTGTCAGTTCTTGCCGACTTTTTTTCAGGAAAGAAGTCAATTGCGTTAATCTGTATGATGTATGATGTCTCACAAATGTACAAGTCCAGCAACACTATTCAATAGACATGATATCCATATCCCATTGCAGTTAGCGCACGCCAGGGATGCAGAAGCCCATAAGCAGCAGTTAGAAGCTAACCTGGCCAGTATCAAGATGTGCCGATATGGCCAAGCATGCACGAGGCAAGGCTGTAAGTTCAGGCACATGGACGAGAGAGACGCATCCAACCCGTAAGTTTCTCTTTCTTGTATAAATTTTAGTTTTAAAATTTTTTAATTATTATCACAGCTGGTATGTTTCCAAAGAACCTTGTAGACAAATGAACAGTTCTGTTACCCATGCTATTTTCGAGTAAATCCCGAAAAGTAGATTCCTTTTCTAAATTGCTAGTTTTCTAGCAATACAAACGTTATTCACTTTTGAATGAGGCATCGACCAAAAAATTCGGCCCATGTTAAGTTATTTAATTATTAATTTACAATTATTTACAAATTATTAATTATTGGCTGGTTCCCGCCCCACAATCAGCATCGATAATGTATGAACTCCCACAGGAGCCAGTCTGCTCTCACAGTGGATCTGTTCCTGCCCAAAACCAGAGGGTTGCAGACGTCTAAAAGAGAAAAAAAGGTTTTTCTGTTGGAATAAAACATATAAGTTGAACATTTATTGAATGCAACTTTAAAATGGGGAAAGCAACTTTAAAATGGACATTTTCTTTCTTTCTGAAACTAGCCTCCTACAGGAAGAGAACAAAGCATCCTGGCTACCCCTCGGTCTCAGGATGCGACTGAATAAAGACGGAACCCTGGAGATCAAGGAAATCAGAGATGATGTTAGTACAATATAATACATTTTGTTACATCTCATGCATATTGATGGGCCAAGTGTACTTTGCTCATTGGTCAATTGCTTAAATGGTAGTACTACATCTATTAGGAACTGGTACCCCATGGTTGGCAGTGCTTTTCATGCAATGCATCATGGGACAAATTGACGTTTATTTGTAGAGTTTGTGAAACGGTTAAAATTATGATATGTGATGACTTGTGATGACTTGTGATGGACTCGACTACCACACTGGTTTGCAGTACAGTAGAGGATAGGGAGTGTTTCTAACGAAAAAAATCTGGGTTAATGATGTTGTAATTGTTTTTGTAGGAGAAGGTAGACAGTTCTGGCTTTGTTGACTACTACCTACATGCATCCATCGCTCACATCAAGGATGTACGGACGGGAGGAAACCTGGTAGCTCACATACAGGTGGGCAAGACCTACCACAAACGCAAAGAGGTGAGACTTCTAAACCATTCCTACCAACTATAAGTGGACTTTAAAATAAAATAAAAAAATTTACAAAGTACTGTTTCTCCAAATACTGTCACAGGCCAATATGGCCCATCAGGCGAACGTTTATCTCCGGTTTCCGTGGCATGAAACGACTGAGAATATTTCTATTCCCCCTGGATGGGACTAGTCCATCGCAGGTTACTCCCCTGCTATTTTATACTCCGGGTAGTGTTGTGCATCGGGTCAGGTTGTCCGGGCCTAACTGATCCGGAACATTACAGATACAAACCGAATCCAAACCGAAAACGATCTGAACTCCCTAAAATCGACCCGACCCAACCCGACAAAAATTCGAGGAGAACTAATCCGAACCGACCCAAAACCGAACCGACCCCCAACAAAATATCTGGCTTGGGCAACTGTGTCCGCTTTTTGTGCCTGAGCTTACCCACGTCGCGTGAAAAATCGTCTCTCACTGACTGTACGGCACTCACAACGTGACCCACTGGTGGGCCTACATGTTGTAGACCATGCGTGTTAGACCACGAACCATTTTGGTCTTACCGGGCACAGTGACTCTGTAATAAATGTTTCCGAACTGTTTCAGTTTTTTTTTGCGGTTTATTTTGGGTTTTTCCAAAATGGTTTAACCGACCCAACCAGAACTGAAAATCGCAAACGCGAAACCAAAACCGACCCGACCCAACTGATGAACAAATCAACCAGACCCAACCCTAAGTCGGTTTCGGGTCGAGTCGGTTTCGGTTTCGGGTCGGGTTTGCACAACTCTAGTCCCGGATGGAGAGAGGGAAGTGGGGGTGAAGTGGCTTGCCCAAGTACACAACATATGGCCATATATCACAGATCATAAGCACAGAATTTGTTGCTACAGTAAAATAGCATCAGGCAATCTCAATTATTTTTCGTGGTTGGGATATATTTTGAAAGGATTTGGACATTCACCACTTGGTACATAGAGAGACTGTTCATTAAAGAAGTTATTTTGTATGCATAACGGTGAATGTTTCTTACACGTAATGGGTTGCCAATCCGTCACAGGTTACTCCCCAGTGAATTCTGGTACCTATTTTATACTTGTGGTTGTGGAGAGGCAAGTCGGGATAAAGTACCTTGCCCAAGGACACAACAAATAGCCAGCAGCTGGATTCAAACAGCTGACCCATCAATCACAAGTCCTGAACACCAAGGACAGGCCACACTCTGCCAAAATAAGTCCATCATTTAAAGTTATGTCACCAAATTGTAGTTTTTGTATTTTTTTACAGGGAGTGACGCATATGCAGTGGTATATCTTCAATGACTTCAGTATTGAGTCCATTGAGAGGCACGAGGTGGTCCAGTTCAACATGGAATGGAAGTCACCTTGCGTCCTGTTCTACATGAGAGAAGACATCAACGACCACTATGACATCACAAGTAGGGACAAATAATATCTGAAATCTTGATTAACCGCTTCTGAAATTCCACAGTGGCTGCAGATGGCCAACCTTTTTCAAACCCCTGTATTTTAAAAACAAATGAAGACTTTATTTCCAAAATGTTAAATATCCATTTGAAAAAAAGTGATAATGTTGGACGGTTATGAAAACCTATAGAGCATGCACAGCACAACAGCTGTTCTGAAATGCAGTTTTAACTTTATTATACATGTATTCTTTAATTATATAACAGCCATTCGAACTGACTTTGGACAACCGGGAGAGGGCAGGATTGCAAAGGGTGACAAAATGCATTAACAGCGTTTTGAAAACAAATTCTTCCCGATACACATGTGAAGGTTTTTAAAATTCTGTCCTGGAGTTCAGGCTTCAAAATTAATAGAAAAAACACTTTTTCATTCATTTTATTCTGGCTAATACTCTTATCTTGAAAACAAATTAAAAAAAAAAGACATTTAAACTTTTGCCTCATTTAGGGAAACCTTTGCGTTATATATCAACAAAAGTGTACATACAAATTTTTGCACTCAAGCACGTACATCACTATTATCCCTACTCATCAAGCCATTAAAACATTGCAAAGACCATCTCAGCTCTCTCTCTGAGTACCAAATAATTTGACATTTCCATTCTAGCAAAAATCACTCACCCTGTTTTTTTCTTTTCTTTTTTTAATGAAATTTACAAAATTTTAAATGAAAATCACAAAAGCCCCTACAGGTACTAAAATAAGGACCAAAGTCAGGCACAAGGGTCAGTTGCCACTGTTGCAACTGTTAGCACATCCACCGCATGAAATAGTGCTTAAGGTTAGCAAAGTGTTAAGCAGCACTATGTTATTAGCCCCTAATCTGAAAGACATTGTGTTCAAAGAAAAAATGCTTGGTCAAGGTGGAAACAAATTTGTGTCTTTTGTTTGGGTTAATCATCGAACCAAAGTCATTGTGTGTCCATACAGTCCTGTTTTACTATACTCTCGAGGACAATGCTTTGTGTTTCCCTTTGTCCCTGTAATATAACACTCTTCCGTAGACTAAGCACACAAACTTACTACAGAGGACCGTTTCCAACAAAAGACCCAACTCCCGAGGACTGAAAGGATCTGTTGTTCTCCCTTTGTGTGTCGGTCCTCAGGGGCTATGTAGAACACGTACTAAGGTACTTGTTTCTGGTATTTTGCAGTCAATACCCCTATAGACCACACCGTCCTGCAGCCGGAGGCGTCCCTGTCGCAGGGCGCCCTCAGTCACAGCACCTTCACTCCGCTGGACGTCGACGAGCTGCCAAAAGAGGGCGACATTGTGGGCATCGATGCTGAGTTTGTCTCGCTCAATCAGGTAATGATTCCAAGCCTGCATGGCTGATCAGTCAGTAAAGTCTGTCAGGGACCAATATGGCCCATCAGGCTGGCGTTTATCTTGTTTCCAGGCATGAAACGACTGAGAATATTTCTATTCCCCCTGGATGGGATGCTGGTCCATCGCAGGTCACTCCCCAGCTAATGCCGGTACTCATTTGTACTCCTGGGTGGAGGCAAATGGGGTGAAGTGGCTTGCCCAAGGACACAACATATGGCCAGCAGCTGGATTTGAACCCCTGACCCTCTGATCATGAGGCCACACTCCCCACATGGCTGATCAGGCGGCAGTTCCAGCCCTTGTTTCTTGGCATGAAATAATAATAATACAAAGCACTTATAAGGCACACTGAATCTTCAAAAATAATCTCCAAATATTAAAATCATTCAAAACCTCCTTTATGGGATACCACAAGGAAGAATTCAACACAAAAAATACTGGGACAAAATGAACTAGCACAATCAATTACTAGCTGTCACAACCGAGTGGCAGATTACTTCACTGAATTAGAATCCATATTCAGTGTAGAATTATACCAAGCACATGAGTTCAAGTTGAGACTGATATGTAAATGTAAGTAGTCAGAAAATCCCCCATATGTGGTATAACATTCTAATGTAGGTTACTTCATAACAAATACATGTATCATTGGGTGTAAATGGAGACGTGAGAGTAAAGTGCCTTGCCCAAGGACACAGCACGTGGCCAGCATCTGGCTTCAAACCCCTGACTCTCTGATCACAATTGGTCACTGTTGTAGTCGGGTCAACCAGAGGCCTTCACAAGCCATCACAAGTCCCTTGCAACTCCTCCAGTGTCAAGTCTAGTCACAAGCTGTTCAAGTAGACTGTGATGAAAGCAGTCCTATATTATTATTCAATCCATGTTTCTTTTGGCTAGATATGTGCTGGACTTGTGATTTGGGTCAGTCCGTGAATGAGGAGGTCAAAAAGTGTGACATTTTTGTGTCCCTGTTACACCTGACCTGTGTAACTTGCCGTATAAGTATCATTAAAATTGACTTCACACGATTTTGTATTTGTTTGGCAGGTACTTTGCTTTACATAATCACACAGATAGAAGGCATTAAAGAATGTGTCCTGAAGTTTCAAAATCTTCCATCAGATGTAACAGGGACACACAACAAAATGGACCCACATTTGACTTGCCTATGGATGGACTGGACTGCAATTCTTAAACATACACACCCAAGCCACACTCCTGAATGTTCATCATTTTGTCTGTTTATTTGTGATTTTCCTCTTCTAGGAGGAGGCTGAGATTCGTAGCGACGGCACACGATCCACCATCAAGCCCAGCCAGATGTCTGCTGCTAGGATCAGCGTGATCCGCGGCCAGGGACCCCTGACTAGCCAGGCCTTCATTGATGACTACATATCCACACAGGAACAAGTCAGTCATATTTATCGTGAAACTGTTTGTGTATCCATATCATATTTCGATGGTTTTGAATTTTTTTTACCCATTAGTACTGTACAGCCATACAGTGCTGGAGCGGTTTGGGGTGGTACAGAGCACAGCTGGTAGGGTGATTTGGGGTGGTACAGGGACTGTTGGGTTAACGAATCTGCTCAAAAGTTTAAATCGGGAAAACAAGCAGGATAGCCAAAATGAATAACAATTGAGCATATTTTAGCTGTCAAGTCAATCAGTATACAGCACTAAATGCAGTAGTTTAATGCATCTAACTCAAAAATATGAGAAGAAATCTGCCCAGCAGCATTACATTACAATTTGTTATATTGTGTCTTCGATGATGTAATCTCATCACTCGAAAACAGTTACGTGCCAAGTTCATACATTTAAAAAAAAAAGACTAGGCTTGCATAGTTGAGCTGCACTTGAAAGCCTCAGTATAGGACATTATTTATACTCTGTGACTCGGTCAGTCAGAAAACAATAGGCTGGCCATTCGCGTCAAGCAACGAATATGCAGCCTGCACAGTTGTCGTAAACTGCAGAATTCTGCAGACAGTTTACAGACAGTCTGCAGACTCTTTATTGACACTGACCCTAATCGTCACACGTTTCTCTGCCCTTCCTCTCAAGTTGTTGATTACCTGACAAAGTTTTTCTCTGGCATCAAGTCAACTTTTCAAAGAGTATACAGACTAGGCAGTTCTAGAAATGTGCGTAAATCTGCAGACGGTCTGCAGACTCTCTATTGACACTTGTCCTTATCATGCTTGTCTTCCCCCAGACCAGAGGTCATGGATTACCTTACCCTCCTTTAAAGCATGAAGCTTTTTCTACGTATGCAGACTGGTCATTCTTTTTAGAGAGTATACAAATTAGCTGGTTCTTATTATGTGCAGAATTCTGCAGGCAGACTGATTATCCTTCATCTGTCCTGTTTTTCCTCATCTAAGGTCGTGGATTACCTGACCAAGTTTTCAGGCATCAAGCCCGGTGATCTAGACGCCACTATCTCCTCCAAGCACCTGACTACGCTCAAGGCCACCTACCTCAAGCTGCGCTACCTGATTGACTGCAAAGTCAAGTTTGTTGGCCACGGACTGCGCAAGGATTTCAGGGTCATCAACCTCCTGGTGAGGGCATAGTTAATGCTGTACTGTCCATGGATGCCTTGTAGTCAGTGGCGTAGCCACCGGGGGGGCGTGGGGGGGTGACCGCCCCCCCATGAAACCTTGTCGCCCCCCCAGTCGCCCCCCCACTGAGATTTTGAGTTTCTAAAAAAATTATCATTGATCGACATGACGCCATGGGCCTTTTATGTACTACAATGTATCTTTTGCTTAGAAAATATTGGTTAAAGTGGTCAGAAATTGCCTCAGATATAGCACCACAGAGCATTTAGAATCCAAAATTTTTCGGGGCTCTTAAGCGGGCCCCGAACCCCACGCCTATAGCTCAGAATTCTGGTAGCTGATTCAATGACTCAAACCTCGAAAACAATGTTCACAAAATGTTCTTATGCCTTTAGCTGAGAAAACCTCGAAAATTATGTTTAAATTATTATCTTTTGTGCTAAGATAATTATTGGTTAAAGTGGTAAGAAATTGCCTCAGATCACACCACAGAGCATCGAAAATCCAATTTTTTTCGGGCCCCTTAAGTGGGCCCCGAACCCCACGCCAATAGCTCAGAATACCGACAGCTGATTCAATGTCTCCAACCTCAAAAACAATGTTCATATAATTATCTTTTGCCAAGAAAATATTAGTTAAAGCATGGAGGAAAGTCGTAAGAAATTGCTTCAAATCACACCACAGAACATCTAGAATCCAATTTTTTTCGGGGCCCTTAAGCGGGCCCCGAACCCCACGCCGTAAGGGCTTCGCGCTTCGCGCTTGCATCAGTTATGATCAAGGTATGTCCCCCCCCCCCACTTTTGAGAAGCGATTGACGCCCCTGCTTGACGCCCCCCCATGAAATGTTCCAGCCCCCCCCCCCCCCAGCGCCCCCCCACTGAAAAATTCCTGGCTACGCCACTGCTTGTAGTATAGCATATTTTTTTCATTGCTACTTTTCAAACAATACGACATTTTTATATTGGGTTTTGCCTTTCGCTGATGTATTTTATACACACTGTAGGCTCAGTGTTGTCCGAGGGCTTGCAAGAAAAAAATTACAAGCTTACTTGGATGGAACTCGAACCCACGACCTCCTGCTAACTATTCAGACGTCTTACCACTCAACCACCCAGCTTGCCGGGGTCGGCTGGCAAGTTCAAGTCTGATGTAACAGCAGGTACCGCAACCAAACATTTTGAGTCCCACTGGAGTAAGCTTGTGAATTTTTCCTTGTAAGTCCTCGGACGATCCCGGAGTATACAATGATTTGCCAATGATTTTCCGACAGGAAATAGTTGTAGTCAGTTGCAAGTCAAGTTTCAAGTAATGGGTGAAAAAAAAATTACAAGACCGGCAAATGTGGCCGGTCCAGCGAAAACCTCGAGCTCTTGAGCTTTGCGTACTGTCAGATGCTCCTGTAATCTCCAAGATCCTTGTGTTGGGGACTTTGTCTTCCCAGGATACCCCCCCCCCCAGTCCATTGGTATCGGAAGTGGAAAGCCATGGATCTAGTATAGAAAGCCATGTATGCAAACATGTTTGTAAATTTAACTACGATCTTCACATGTGTAATCTTGACTCTGCGCAGGTTCCACACAAGCAGATCATAGACACGGCTGCCCTCTTCAACCTCCCCAAGCAGCGGATATTGTCCCTACGCTTCCTGGCCTGGTTCTTCCTTGGTAAGAGGAAATAGCATCTTGTCTTACAGACTGTACAAGTATATCATGCTTTGAGAGGAAGTTATTTCAATCATTTGGTTTTTGCAACATTTGTAATTGATTATTTACACATGTTGCTATGAAACACTAATTACAATATTACAATTTCTAATTTTTAGATGGAAGTGAAGAATAACTAAATTGTTTCACTTAACATGATAGTTCTATTGTTTTTTAAACAGAAAATTGCTTTGTGTCCAGAGCACCCTCTTTTTCCCAAAAATATGGCCTATATAGACTTATTCGGTGAACAAAACTTAAAACTATCTTTTAGGTGGAACATGCATGCTGCACGTATTCTTAAAGATGAGGCACCCATGCATCTTGGTAACCCTATTGGCCGAAGGAGCCCGGAGTGCATGCATTATTTTTGAGCGCGAGCCTGGTTCAACCTCAAAAATAGCTTCTGGTCACCGAATTAGTCTATATAGCCTCGTTCTCTTCTCCTACTTATGTGTCCTATTCCTCCTTGTCTTTAGGCATGAACATCCAGTCAGAGACCCACGACAGTATCGAGGATGCACGGACCGCCTTACAGCTCTACCGCAAATACTTAGAGCTGACAGAGAAGGACCCAGATGATTGGCAGAAGGAGCTGAAACGAGTGTACAGTGAGGGACGCAGCCTGCAGTGGAAGGTACCCGGAACTGCTTGAGAGAGTTGACCAAAAAGATTCAACTGTATTCTTACGTCCCTCCAGGAAAGACTTGAAATTCTGCCAGAATGTTTGGAGTATCAGCAAACCTTTTTAAATCAGAAGGTCCACGGAACTACTTGAGACAGCCAGGCTTAAGTATGGTAGACAGGTGATGAGATTGTGCCTTGGAATTTGGCACGCAGTCACAGTATGTCCTAAGAAAGATATTTGGCTATAGAACCATCGCATATTTGTCCTTTGAAAAAAAATGTAGGTGGAATAACCAGCACTTTTTTGAAAATTTTGAAAATTGCTTGTTATTCTACCTATATTTTTTCAAAGGACAAATCTGCGATGACCCTATAGCCAAATATCTCTCTTAAGTCATAATCAGACTGTGTGCCAAATGCCATGTTTGTATCATCAAAGGCACAATTCATCCAAATATTTCTCCTATCTGCCCACTACTTACGTGGTAGTGGATTTTAAGAGTCCACAGTATACCGTCCTCAAAATATCACAGCATTCGGTACTATTAGGTACTTACATAGTGTCAAAATACAATAAAACATGTGGTGTTAAGGAAACTGCAAACAGGCAGCACGGGCAGAACTTCAAAGGCCTTGCTGTGGGACTCGTCAGCACAATTTTCACCTAGATACCATGACCACAAGGAGTTCAAACAACTATAAATATTGTTCAGATCTTGCCAAGTTGTTTCCGTCACTTTTTTCAAGGGAGTTTGCACAAATCTGGCCACATTCAAGAGAGAAAATCACGGTTATGAAATTCCATACCTGACACTCCGTACGTTTTTGGAGTGCCAGCGAAACGTCAGCAGACCAGTATACTTAAGAATATTCCTGGAACTACTTGAGGGTGAAAATTGTAACTCGTGTCAGATGATCGCAGGAATACTGCAGTGCAGCATCAAGTGGTTGTCCCAGACATCCTGCAAATGCTGTCCTGCAGTAACTCATTCATTTCATCGTTTATGTGTAGCATCAGGATAAAATTACCTTCTTATGCCTACATGTATGTAATAATTCAAACAACTTTTGGAGACATTACGAACCGACTGAAATTCTTGATATCACGTTTTGTTGTTTTCCATGTAAAAAAAAAAAAAAGCTTTAATGTGACCAATTTTTAAAAAATATGTGTGTATGTGTAGACCCAGACGTTTGTAGTGTCTGAACTGTATATAAAGTACATGATTGTATAAATATAATGTTAGCCCAGTCACTATTTCACTAAACCCTCGTAGTTCTGCACTAGTAATATCCTGGGGAACGTCTCATGCCTTCATATGCCACACCCAGAGTTTTACCAGCTATGTTTATGTGTTTCAAAAGTATATCAGATCTGGAACGAAACATGTTGACAATGTTAATGAGTCATCATTAAAATGGTTAATTAAAATGTACCGTTTTGTGAGAAAAAATGTGTTATGAAATTTGTTTATTAAAAAAAAAATGTTCCATTTGGTGTCACATTTCAGCAGTTTTTCTGCAGCGTGTTTCACGACGTTACTTATCACTTCACTCATTCAGTATAGAGCACGCAATTAAGTTATTACCTTAAAAACCTGCAAGATTTCACAGGAATACAGCACATACGATCACCATGTACAGGGTGGTACAAAAAAAGTTTACACTTTTTCAGAGGCAGATTTCTCAAAATTGATATTCCTAAACTACGAGATCTTGGTCGTATATGGTGAAAACGGCATTGAAAAGAAAGCTCAAGTTAACAAATAGCGGCCATCTACACTACAGAAGAATGGTAAAAAACTTGTTTATCCACATCTTTGACAGCCCCCGGTGCAATGATTTCACAGGACGCTTGAGACTACTATTCACTCCCAGTCAAGTAAGGCATTTCATCACAATTTGGTAGTTTTGTTTTTTGATGTTTGCAAATGGCATATATATTACCTTTACATTTTTGGATTCTAGATGCTCCGTGGTGCGATCTGAGGCAATTTCTAACTATAAACAAATCTTTTGGAGGAAAAGATGGTGGTGTACGTAGCCCAGGTGGACTCCCTTTCCTCCCTACGTTACTGAGCAGTGAAGACTTCGTCCCACCTGGGCTAGTGGTGTACGCAGTGCCTGCCTTTATTGTGACGTCACTTTAAAATAAAAAATCGGGTTCGTTTTTTTTGGGGGGGAGTGGGGGATTGGCCCCCCTCCCCGAATCCGCCCTTTTGCCGTATTCAATAATAAACTTCTACCAAAACATATATGTGTACTTAAAAAAAAAAAATGGCTGGCCTTGCAGTTTCCAAGTTACATTTTACGTTTTTTTTTTTTTTAAATCAGTCAACAACTTGATAAGTTTATGCAGCGATAAAAGTAAAAGATTACATGGTATACAGCGACTGTTTACAACTCACATGCAATCATATTTATTCAAACTTTCTATCAAGGTCAAAGTGTAAAAGTCATTCAGTGAAAATCACAATGGAATGTGATAAATATTAACAGTAATATTACACAACTGAGCAAGTGTATTCTCTGAAAAAAAGTGTCCTAGGTATTAATGTATCATTGCAAACCAGTAAATACATTTTTACAAACATTGAATTACGTGAATATTGCATCAAATTTACTGTTTTTAAAAACGTTAAAAATGCAAGCCCTGCTTTGTGGCGTGACACAGTGTCCACAGAAATGCAAAGTGACATGGGAATAAAGTATACACATCTAAATAAATGCCTCGTTGTCAGGAAGTGAATGAACCAAGCCAAATAATTTCACAAAATTAGGAAGCTCTAGACCACACACAACAGCAGTAGTACAGGGTGTCTCAAAAAAATGTAGCAGAAATAACGATAAATATTTAAAAATATAGCACTCTCTTTTTGCAAAACTTATCTACGGAGTCTGAAGGTGTAGTAAACACTCTACACAATGGTCTTTATCCCATCTCATTCGGACACCCCAGTCCAGAGATACAGCTAATTGAATGAAAGAACTTGAATTCCAAGTTGGGCCACTTGGTATCTAATGAAAGGCATTCACACACCAAGAAGGTGAAGAAAGTGGCCCAAACGAATTTTGAAAGGTTTTTACAAGCTTTACATGAAAGGTCCAAATCACAAAGAACAAAAGTATTGTCAAGGGTAAAGAAACACCTTCTGGTAAATTGTTTACAAAAAGAAACAATTTAGTTTCCTCAGAATTTTTTTTTTATATGACTGCTACATTTTTTGAGACACCCTGTATTTTACTATAATCACCACACATGCACAATCCATGAACATCATGCCCAATAAATGTAATCCAAGCATGTGATCACTGTGTGCTTTAACAACAAAAAACATCAGTGCGCTGCTATGTTTTAATTTGTTCCACACTGTCCCAACGACATGTTAAAAAAAACCTGCACTCATCATGTCCCGGATGAAGACCAGAACTATTACATTTTTGACATTGAATCAATAGACCAATCCATCAAGTCCTGCCCTATGGTATTTGGGCCTATCACAGTCACAATTTGAATGTATGTCCACACTATGTGTGCACCGAAGTCTGACGTGTGCACATACACGTGTGCATAACACATTCGTGCACACCAACATGTGTGGGTGTGCACGCATGTACGTGTTCTACATAACCCCCGAGGACCAACACACAAAGGGAGAACAACAGATCCTTTCTGTCCTCGGCGTTGGGTCTTTTGTTGGAAACGATACTCTATCGTAAGGTTGTGTGCTTAGTCCATGGGAGAGTGTTATATTACAGGGACAAAGGGAAACAAAAAGCATTGTCCTCGAGAGTATAGTAAAACACGACTGTGTGTACGCATGTGTTATGCACATGTGTATACTTCTTCTTGCGTATGCTTTTGTACAAAGGGAAACACAAAGCATTGTCCTCGGGCGGATAGAAAAACACGACTGTGATACATGTGTAATATATGACTGTAATACATGTGTATGTGCACGCATGAGCTGGCACATGTGTATGTGCATGCATGAGCTGGCACATGTGTCTGTGCACGCATGTGTTATGCGTTTGTTTATAGTGTAAATTGAGGACACACACGTGCAACATCAGATGAATTGAGGACAGGAACATACACATGCGCACAACACATGCGGCTGGAACATGTACATGTAGTGTGGCATTGGAGGCGTGCACATTATGTGCGCAGTGAGCAGGGCTTGATGGATCAGTCTATAATTACATGCGACTTCACACAATGGATCTACTTTTTGTTCGAAATGACTCAAGATTCCAGTGAATGACTCTAGCCTGAGACTAGATGTAATAACTTAAAAGACATGTATTCTACAAAATATAACAATATTATACATGTATATATAAATATTGTGACGACTGAATACAAAATGTGCATGCATACATGTATAATATCGCCTGGAAGATTAACACTAGTTTTGGTTAATACTGATCAGTACTGTATAGCACACCTTGAATATTTAACAGACTATAATGTATATAATTTCCTCCTGCTAACATACTATTGGCACGTTTCCTAAATTGCAAATAAATGCACAAAATTGAAATAAATATCATAACATGCAGCTAATATGGATACAAAATAAATATATCTGTGAATAATTTGAATCGAAGAATTCAGATTTTTAGGACGGGAGACGTAATTGGCAAAATGTAATTTTCAAGGAAAATTCTAGTAAGCAAACTTTGTGGTACATAAAGCATAAATTTTGCCCCCCCCCCCCCATTTTCAACAATCATTTTAACAAGAAATGTTTATAGGAAAATGAAGAACAATGCTGTATCTAAATATTGTGGTCAGTGCCATATATTATGGATTCTACATAAGGCTGACCACAAAATTTCGATCGAAACTTACAAAATAATTGTGCAATTCTTTTTTGATAAATATATTGCAACTCCTAACATTGGCAGGAGTTATTCAGCCCAAGAATTAAACCAACAACTTACAGAAATGATAACTGCTTTTGCGCAGGTAAATATTCTCCCTCTATCTCACCTGTATCTAATAGATTTAGCAGTAAAGGCCATAGGCACCTGGACTACACTGACGATCTAAGCTACAATGTAGTACAATCTTTACACATTCAAGCCTCTTTGTATTTTTCTCTAAATCATGAATACGATTTGAAAATAGAACTAGACTGTAAAGTTAAAAGATAAAATGATGAAGAATATACAGTTACATGTGATTAGCCTCAGTGTTTGAAGAAAAACAGACAAGAAAGCTTAAAGATAAGCTGAAGAAAAAGTACAGTTAATAAGCCTCAGTTCTCCCTCCTTCTTCAAGTATACACTTAAAGATATTCAATAAATCTTGGACGATTTACAGTCTTTGGTAGCAAACATGGTATCAAAATGTAGCTAACAAAATTTCCCAAAGGTCTACCGGTATATAAATGACGTCAGCATAAGACGATCAGATTCAAAATTATGACCCCTCCAATGAGTGGGGACTTTCGTTTTTTTGCGGTGTTTACATTAAACTCTACAGTAGGCCTATATATTGAATTCAACCTCAGTTTGTGTGACCTGTAAGTAAAATCCTGCATATTTTCAATTCAGCGTATGCAATAAATTGACAAAATTTGTCATTTCATGGAAAATACGTCAGCAAGGACAACAATGAAACAAGCTTAAACTTTGCGGTAACATTTGCTTACAAACAGTAATGTAACAGTGAAACTCTCTGTGTACACAAGTGTCAATTAAGTTAACAGTGAAGACATTCAAAGTAAGCAGACATTTAAAGTAAGCAGGATTTTTTTTAAGAACCACATATCCAGTACTGTGAAATTGGACCTGCTGTCTGGCTTGTACTGGTTTGTACCAGTTGAAACTGGTTTAGTCTGGATACAAGTTTAGGCAACTGCCCATATTGAACTCTTAGGTACACAACTGCAGTACCCTGGAACTATATACAGTGTACCAATTTAAAACTCTCTGAAAAAAAGTCCAATTTAAATTCTCTGAAACCATCAACAACATCTCCAACAACTTTCCAAACTATTAAAAACAGATTACATATTCTCTTTTCCAATACAATTCAATACAAGTTTTCAATAATAAACAATAACACTCGTAAATATATATTTCTACAGCAATATCAATCGTGCATCAGCCATGTGATAAAAAAACAAAAACACTTTACTTTCGGTGGTAAAATTGTGACATAAAACCATTTGCATTTTAAAATAAAAAAAAAACTACTAATATTTGGACGGCAAAAGGAAGTAAAAAGACTGGTTAAAATACTGTTGAAGTCCAATCGTTGGCACAAAGCACACACACACACACTATCTACCACAGCACACATGCCATTAAATATACCTTATATATATATCCATTTTCTTAAAAAAAAAAAAACCAACAACATCAGCATGTTTGTCTCCACATAAAAAAATTGTCCACATCTCTGTAGTATTTTGGTCTGAGCTTTAAAATTTTTCATTTGACACAATGGTAAAAAATGCATACCTTGTGCAAAGCCACAAACTGTACATACATGTATATTAACATGTAAGTTTTTGCAATTGCAAAACCTAGAACGTGTAGCTTCTCAGTATTTATAACAAGGTTTTCAACATCAACATTTCTACATGTTTTCTGCGTTTACGTATGCAGGTATAGAAATATACAAAGCTCTCTATACAATAGTTTTGTTGTTTCCAACCAGATTCGTTGCATACTATGTGCTGCAGTGATACGCAAAAACTATTTCATGTAGTTAAAAGTGAGACAGGGAGAAATAGCAAAATATATTCCTCTAATTTATTTCACGTAGTTCTGTGTAATAATTGGTGCAAAAAACTATTGCATTTGCTCAAAAAGTTTGGTGAATATTTGAAAAACACAATTTCACAAGAGAATTCAACTGTCCTGCTTCGACATCTCTAGTTGCCTGAACCAAATAGGCGAAACTGTTGACCGACGAAGCTCACGTTTGCGAGTCTGTATTTCATAATCTAAGAAAATTTTCTCAAGAAAGGAGATTTTTAAGTCAAACCAAATATCAACCCTCGCCCCCCCCCCCCCCCCCCCCGCCAAAAATAAAAAAACAAAACAACAAAATAAAAACAACAACAACAAAACCCACACATTCCTCATCAGCCATCTCGTCATATCTACAACAACCCATCTTTGGTCAAGTTAGTAAATAAATTGAAACTTTAAAAACCCTGAAAAATGATCAAGTATTCGTGTAAAATTCCTCCAATATAATACAAATACTGGCTATCAAATCAAGTCAATGATGTTGTTATACGCAACCGGATCACTGCCGTCCATCACCCAAACTTATGTAAAAGTTATCATATAACCAATTTAACCAAGTACAATATCCATGTACAACTGTGTATAAGTCTGTGAATACTTTTTTTAAATGTTATTGTCATAGACAGTATTAGCAAATAAAATCTTTGGTTTGACTATATCGAGCTACCCTTCAGCTTGCAGAACTTTAAATAAATACAGAACATGCATAAATGCAAAACTACGGTACATATACATTTTGTACACTCGGACTTTTGTACAGACACTACAGATAAAAAATAATTAAAACAGAGTACATGTATACTGGCAGGATGAAGCAGATTTAATTTCTAACATAAATACACTTTGGTGTAAAATATATTGTCCAGTAAAAATTGATTTTAGTGCGGACCCAAATTTCAAATCAAGGGAAGTTTCCACTTAATAGAATTAAAACTTTCTTTGGAAAAAAAGAAATCTGGTGAATATTTCTAGGTTGATACAGAATGTTTCATACAATTAAGTGGAAGTCTTAAGCACATATTTGGTTTCTCCTAGAAAAAAAAAGGACTTTAAAAACTCCGGTTTAAAAAATATGAAATACTGGTATTACAAAAAAAATTAGAATTAAAGGACATCAATAACAAAATTATATTTTCATTTAGAATTAAAGGAAGTAGCTTTGATGATTAGTTTTCAATTTCTTAAGTTGTCTTTTGGAACAACAAGGAAACTCAGTCAGGAACTACTTACTTTTCCAATTTTGATGAAAGCACCAATGTTTTATTTTAGGACATGTTTTTCCAAACAAAACATTCAATGAAAAACAAAAATTCTTTAAAATCTGTCACTTCCTTATCCCTCAATAAACATGGGTCACTTTAAGATATCACAATCAATTTTTACAGGACAATGATAAATAAGCACTTATACATAGAACTATATAAAAAAAACTATACATAATAGCACACATGCAACGGTCTAAATAATAGCACACTTTGTAGACATAAATAAAATATTTCTGTGAAGCCTCTTTGTGGATTGTGTAAAAAAAAAAACAGTTCTGAACATTTCAGACGGATATATAATTCAGCTATATGGAGTAGTTTTTATGTACATGTTTGTTCATTGGAAGTACGATACAGTACCCTGTTCATGGTTTATGTTAACGTCTGATCAACTTACGCTCCTTAAACGTGCTGTTGAGCAATGTAATGTTGATGAAGGAAGAAGACTTTCAACAAAGATGGGGAAGGTCATTCGGCAGACGAACCTGAGCAGAAAAATTTAAAAAGTTCAAACACTTACCATTTTATTTTTTCATAAGATGGAATGTTTGCGTCGGGGTGATGTAAATCAAATGAGGTTTTGCCCTTCACCATCGTATAAACACTATATACATTATGTTTTGGTTTACTATTTTAATTTCATCTTTAGTAGCCTGATCATGCACTATGTACTGTGGCTATAGAATCTAGTAGTGTGTATTCAAGGGTAGTACAGGAACCAGGTACCCTATTGAAGTAAAACACAGCTACCCGGGTTAAAAAGAAACCAAACCCCAAAATTCAAATCTTGGAAGTTGTCTGAAGGGATCGATAGCTTTAAGATGTAAACTGCAACTTTCACGAGCGTCATCTGTCGCGTGCTAAATTGCACATAAATGTGAAATCTGTTTTGGTTTTCCAAGTAGCCTGGTTTTCATTTTGAAAATTCCCCACAAATGGCATAGTCTGACATTGTCGAAGGATCAGACATTGACGTGGGCAAAGCCAATCAGAACGTGCGCCAGCCAATCGGAGTGGTCTTTAGAGACTGTGACATGTTTTCGATCAGAAATGTGGACTAGCCGTGGATTGGTCAATTTGGATGCTTTATTTGTGTATTTGTGAAGACACTCGCTGAATGGTCAGAATGTCGAGGTCAAGATGCAGACTTGTTTTGCATAATTAATCGCCGAATCTGCTCGCATGTCCAAGACCCTTGCTGTGCCAGGAGATATTCCAAAGACTACAAATGGCATTTATAACCTTTCTTTTTCATTGTCTGAGAACTTACTCAGCAGTTGGTAAAATTGGATACGGGTACCTGATCCCATAATCTGGGTACTCGGGTAATGGGTACTCGGGTAACCAGTTCTGATGCACATCCGTTACAGACTCCATGCATGTACAGTATCCAGTAGAAGAGCTCCAGTGGTCCATGCATTGCGCAAAGTACACATACGCCCAGCCTATTTTACTCTGAATGTGTACAAATCCGTTGCATCTTCGCGGAAGCGTCAGGCACAGCCTGAAATGTGATCAAGAGTCCCTCCCAATGGTCTCCCCCAACTCTCTCTTTGTAACCGTTGACAGGGTATTCGTTCATATAAAAGTAGCAGTGAGGCAAAATTTGCTTAAAATAATGTTTGTCAGCCCTGAAATGTGCTCAGTTTATCACAATCTTTCTGCTAGAGTTTGCAAAACTGTTCTGTTTAGCTGTTCCATGAAATAGATGCTACTGTCCCTAAAATCTCAGCTTGGAAGGAACAGAAGAAAGGAAAAGACGTTGTTTGTAGAAGTAGGTGTGGACAACCAAGTAGGTGTAGTCAACAGAGAATTCTTGCAACAAGGCAGATACTGAAACCCTTTATTCACTAATAATGTTGAGTAACATCGTAGTCGACTTTCTTCCCAGTCCCTAAATCTACTGAATTATGAGGCTGTATAGTTAGCACAGCTTGTCTGCTGTTGGGCAGATCCTTAAAATGTAACCACCGCTTACCAGACTAATCGGCCTTTGTTTTCCACAGAGCCACGCCCACACCCAGCGCAGCCACGCCTATCATCAGTGGCCCTAGCCAGTGCTTGACCATCCCGTTGCCATTGGGTGCGGGGGGCAGGTCCCAGGTAGAGGCGTGGTTCCCAAGACCGTTGGAACTAAGATGGGTGCCGTTCCCTGTAATGCCGTTACCCTGAATGTCTGTGAAACAAGAAACATTGGGTCTTAATAATTAATCTAGTGACCACAATAAAAAGGTAGACCTGATGTGGCAACATGCTCAATAGTATGTCATAATTGTGCACCAAATGCTTTGGCTAGTAGAGTGTCTTCTGCTTGCCAAATGAGAGGGGAAAAAATGGGTCATTTCCATGAATGCCTGCGAGTCAAGAAAAAAATGGATTTTGCAGTCAAAATTGTTTGCCACATTTAGAAGGCACAACGGAGGTGGCTCCATGTTTGCTCTTAAAGGTACAGTCCATCATTTGTAATTTGTGCGTTTTGTTCGTTTGAAGCAACAAACGTGCTCAAAATCCAAAGAAGGGTGCTGAACAACTAACCTGGGGTGCGTTTTAGTGGTCGTAACCAAGAATTGGTTCTGTTGTTTCTCTGTGGTTAATTGTTCTGGGGATTTGAGTACTACATCATCAGGCGTAATTCTTACCAAATTAATATTGCCAAAGAAATTCACCGACAAGAAACAACTGAACCAATTCTTGGTTATGACCGCCAAAACGCACCCCTGGTGAAGATTCAGCTCAACTTCAGCTGCATATTTCGAGAAAAACAACATTCTAGGATCTTGATTTCAAATCAAAAGTTGCTGAATCATGTTTTGAATTGGGCCTGAATTCAGCGTCCGAGACACGTTCTCACTGAGCCGATTGCACTGAACTGACAAATTACAGCAACCGCGCACGTGTGCGTCGTGCAACGCTTGTGCGCACTTCGCCGAATAAAAAAAAGAACTACTAATGGAAATTAGAACTAACGGAAACGAACTACGTTGGAAAGACCTTCTTTCATTGATTTCTTCAAAACGACAGCTTGCCAGAAAGAATCATTTCACAGGGAGTTAAGTCCCATTTCTATCTTTAAACACGTTTTGGATAGCTGCAAATGATGGACTGTACCTTTAAAAAAAAGTATGTGACCTCTTCACTAGCATGGTTCTACTTCAGTAATGCTTTCTTACTGTTTTCGCCAGATCAGGAGACACCTCACTAACTATCCAAGACACAGTGTGGAAAAGTTTATCTTTAACAGGGTTTTCAGTTCGGTGCTGGTTTTAGTACAAATGTTCACACAAATTGTCAAAAATGATGTTATCTGCAATGTTGACAAATGCCACCATCAGGTTGTATTTTCAGGCAGGCTGGTAACCAGGCTGGATTCAATGTCCACATTGTTGACCAACAGATGAGGGGAGAAAATTGACTCGGGTGTCTGTTTTTTTTTTACCTTTTAAGTGCTTTTTAAATTTGTTTTGACAATATCTCTGTGAATTGCTTTCACACTTTCTAGCACAGGTTTTTATTTTTAATAAGCTACCCTCAAAAGCACAACTCAAAACCCCCTCTAGTGGTTAAAGTGCAACAATGGCAGTCAATTTCTTGTATGCACACAGACATTCCAGCATTCCAGTCCACTTACGGTGATTAGTAGAGGTAGATTCTAGACTGGGTTTCCATATATCCTTTCTAGGCGCCCCTTTTGTCTTCATGTCTTTCAGGAAGCCGTCCCAGTCTGGTTCCGTCTTTGGCAGATGAATCTGCATGTGGTTCCAGAACCTGGGGGAAAAGAGATCAAACTTTAATCAGAATTAGACTTAGAAAATGCAGCCATGAAAACCCTGCTACAAGACCAATATTTCAACTGTACATGGAACTGCTGCAGCATAAAGAGTTATATCGCTCTCATGTATTATAAACCCAATGATACCCACCCCAACCTAACACAGTTTAATCCATCTTATCCTACACCATGTGAGCTAGACCAAAGTGTCCCAGCCTAGCCCAGCTTAGCCCAGCCCAGCCCAGCTCAACCACCGCCCAGTCCAGCCAAGCTCAGCCATCAAGCCCACCAAAGCCCAACCAAGCCTAGGCCTGCCCAGTTGCCGTCCAGCCAAAGCCCAATCCAACTCGGCACAGCCAAGTCCAGTCAGCCTTACCCAACCAAACCTAACCGACCCAACCCAACCAACCCCCACCCCACCCAGCCCAGCCCAGCCCTGCCCAGTCCTGCTGTCGCCCAGCCAAGCCCAATAAAACTCAGCCCAGCCAAGTCCAGCCCAACCCTACAGCCACCCAGAACCCAGCCCAACCCAACCCAACCCAACCACAGCCTACCAATCCCAGTCCACCCTCCCTCACTGACAAATCCAAGCCCAACAACACCAACTGTGCCCCATTGCAATACAATCCAATTCACTGTATGCCATGTAATCATGCATTTCCTTACAGGTAGTGGAATGTGTCCGGTTCTCGTGAGATGCGATTGCAGAACCCAATGTACAGGTTGTCCCAAAATAGACCTTTCTTCACTGTTTCCCGATGCACACAAATACGATTCTCCATCTGCAATCAAAATGTGACCAACTAAAGCATAAATCTTAGAAATTAAACCAAACATGTTGATCAACAACACAATTACACATTTCTTTGGACCTTGTCGCTCTTCTATGACATTTTTCTCAAGTGCACTGAATGTCTGTGTGCCGTTTTCTATGGTCTGTATTCTTACCACTGAATATGCCGTCCTGACATCTGAAGGGTATACGAGAAACAACATAGTGCACAGATTTGAATGAAGTTTATGAAAAATTTATAGTGTGAAACAGTTAAGAGTTGCTCAGAAAGACTCTCATATAGGTCGCCTGTCTGAAACCAAAATCAATTTGGGTCAACCTGATTTGCTCCTCAAAGTATTTGATTCAGTCTGATATGGCTGTCCCTTATTTGCCAATAAGGGTATTACCTAGCAACGACGTCCCATGGGCGGGACATTTAGCTGGTTGACGCGCACCGTTTCTTGTGTGTGACGCACGTACACCAGGGGATTCAGTTGTACTATGTACATGCAGTGCTAGTGGTGGAGCGCGTCACCCCCAACTGTACTTTCTTTGCCAGTGAGGGGGTACTTGTGAACGGAGCGGATAGAGTAGTCTTGGTTCCAAGACATCATTAGCAGTGCGATGCTTCAGCGTGCACAGGTTATTGGACTGTGCAGGGATTCACTTAAGCGGGCGCCCTTTACATACACGCCAACAGGCCGCAAGGGACATCTTGGTAATTTCGTATTTCTGCTCAAGGAATTCCGAGCAGAATTGTGTGTGAATTTGCATGCGTGCATGACGTAAGCATGTCTGGTTTCTGCATATGTACTGCAGCTTGCAAGCAAGCCTGTAAGAGTCGTTGGATAAAAAATTTTAACCTTGTGGATGAAGCAGTCAATTTAGCAGCAAAGAAATTGGGCCTTGGAAGGCTAAAAATCAGAGCTCTTCATCAATTTGGATGTGGCCATGATTCAACCGAACCGGTCGAGTGGTTAGCGGCTAATACTGTCGATTGCACGTGTACAGTACATCACCTGACTAATGGTCTTTGGAAGAACCCTTTTTCACCAATACGTATGTGTTGCTATTTTGCATATTAAGCCATGCCCTGTTGCAATGTGAAATTCCCCAGACGTTCTTTGCGTGCGGTTTGTCGACCCGAGTCAGGTTCGTGAATGGGAACATGAATACTGCTGCGTGGTACAAAGGCTGTACCATCTATTTTGAACTACCCCACTACAAATGTATTGCACTAAGACTAGGTATAGATTTGATAAGCATATTAAAGGTTTGGTTACCAAAATATTACCAATTTACTTGAATGATTAAATGCTGCTGCGTGGTACAAAGGCTGTACCATCTATCGTGAACTAACCCGCTACAAACGTCTTGCACTAAGGCTAGGTATAGATTTGATAAGCATATTAAAGTTTTGGTTACCAAAATATTACCAATTCACTTGAATGATTAAATGCCAGTTTGTTATCTAGCGTACCTCGATGTAGCTATGATCTCTGGTTGGTCGCTCCGTTGGGAAAGCTGGTTCCTCTCCAACAAAGTCTACCATGAAGTCATAGCTTCCTGGAATGGGCTGAAAATCTTCACCTCGCTCAATCATCTTACAACAACAAATTATAAGGCACACTTAATGAATATCACCAAAACAGCGTCAGACCATAGAGCTATATTAAACTACTAGAGCGCTGACTCATATACAAAGTGATGCCTGCTGAAGTGCATCCATGTTTATGCACAAACCTGTGGAAAACTCAATATTTGTTTACGTCTTTTGTACGGCTATTTGCATATCTGCATTTGTATTCTATACAGGTGTATTATTGAAGCCGATACGCCCAAAACCGAAACACACAATCAGCAAATGAGCGTTTCATTTTGCTCTACGCAAACAGTGCAATGCGTGCGCATCTCCACTGCAGTGACTTTTTTCAAACTGTCGTGACGCGCTCAACTTGTTTGCGTACGTTCTACTTGCGCATTGCATTTAGAGTATTATACACTTTCAAAATTCAATCCATCTAATTTTATTATGTTCTACAAACACGCACATGACTTCAAAATGTCTGCGCCCTGGACGGCTTCAAAGCCCGGCAGCGTGCAAGAATGAGAAGTTAGCGCTCTAGTAATTCAATATAGCTCTATGGGTTAGACAGACTCGTCATTTCTAAAATGTCAGCAGCTCATATTATGTCTCTGTACATTAAATTTTATAAAATTAAAATTAAACGAGAAATACTTAATTAAAATACTTAATTATAGTTAAAACTGGTCCCAGAGCACACAAAATTCTAATCAAATGATTTAAAATAGCTAAATCACTGGAAGTCTTTTCATGCATCTGTGTCGATCCACAGACAGTTGGTGACTAGCCGCAGCCACTGACAATGACCGATTCCAAAACTGGATTATAAGGCCACGACGGTTTTATTTAACTACCTTGTTTATTAAACATTTTAAAACTAAGTTGATAATTAATATTCATAAATTGCATCAAGAAACTTAAAATTCAATGACAATTTTGTACATCAATTATGCACTAGGATCGTACTAGGGGCGAGCTTTGCTGCGTATTTGAATCTGGCGACGGTTACCAGGATTTTCCAAAACTCGGCGTGGTCTCCATTTTGGATTCGCCTGCTAAGATGATATTTGGGTCCCTTTTAGGATTACAGGTCAACATTTGTCAATGTCTTCGTACAGAAATATCAACTGTATGACATACGAGGCAGGTAATGTTTTTGAAAAATTTGATTGGAACATTAAAAACTATAAGTGATAAAGTGAATTCGGAAACGAAGCCAAGCTTTGAAATAGGGCCATCAATGTCGTCATATTTATTTTTAGCCGTGGAGGTTGCCTGACCTACAATTTGAACGTCTGGGCTTTGGAGGAAATTGTCAGGTCAGGGAACCAGACTACTGTTTTGCTACTCACTCTGATGACTAGGTTGTAGTTCTTGAAGCCTGTCCATCTGTAGTAGAACTCAATCCACTCCGGGTAGGCAAAAATCTCCTCTTCTATATTCCTGTTGATCTCATTGATATATTTCTCAAAGTTCCAGCTGTAAAAGCAAGTGAAAAAAAACCCCAAAACATCAAATTGGAGACATCATAAACATGAAGATCTTAATATTATAGCCCCAGGAAAATCTGATCAATTTGCTAACCAAATCCTAATGGATTTGACATTTTCTAAACTAAGTTCCCTCCCAAATTCATCTCGAAAAATATCTATTGATATGCAAAATTGGATAACGTTTGGTCTTTAAAGGGAACAACATACAACAAGTGGGGTCAGGGAACCAGACTATAAGAACATGATTGTTTTTCTAGGTTTTTCCAGCATCAATGAACCCCAAACTTCAAACAAGTCAGTGTAACAATATTTGCTATGAAATACTAAAAAATTACAGCAAAAGTTATTGCCTTTAGCTTTACAAAGTTTCTGTCCAAATGTAGAACTTTTTGGCCATTCTGAAAGAGTTTTGACCCCAAATTTGATTTTCAGATTCCACATCGAGAGTAATTGCAGAATATCCCGCTGCTCAGAAATCATATGGCTACGCGGACGGAATCGCTAGGGCAAAAAAATCTAGTTCAAAAATCTAGTGCGGCTACAGAGTGGAGGTCCCTTGAGAATGAAGCAATGCAAAACGAATGGGAATTACTAAAAAACAATTCTATGTCCAAACTAACTACCCTGTTGCCGGCTATGCGGTAGGGAGTGGAGGTCCCTTGAGAAGGAAGAAATGCAAAATGAATGGGGATTGCTAACAAAAATCTAAGACCGAAACAACTACGATACCCTGTTGCCGGCTACCCGACTACAGGGTAGAAGTCCCTTGAGAATGAAGCAATGCTAAACAAATGGGAACTGCTAAAAACAATTCTAAGTCCAAACTAACTACCCTGTTGCCGGCCATGCAGATACAGAGTGGGAGTGTGATGCGTGCAGGTAGCACTTAAAAGGGTTATTGAAGATACCGGTAATCAACCATGACTCTATAGCCGGCTACACGGTGGATAGATCGAGTGGCGGGGTATTCTGCAATTGTGCCCCAAATCGTAGCTTAAACCATGTTCACTGCCTGTGCACTGTGGAGTATTAGAACCCAAGGACACATTTGGTAACTTAAGCAATTCATCAACAAGCCCCATGTCAAATGATAATGGCTGAGCTCTACAAATATACATGCATCAAAACACACTGCAAAGCCTGGAAGAAGATAAATGTCAGCAAAGTCAAAGGTTAATGAATTAAAAATGCAAAAAAAATCTGGTCGCTCAAATGAGCATGAACACAAATCAAACTAGCGAGTAACGGTCATAGTCTCCAACTATGTAATTATCATTCTTTCAATTTGTATGACTGTTTATGTATAAAACAGATAAACTCACCTGTCTTTGTATTTCTTTGTGCCTGCAGGAGGGTCCTGTATATAGTCACTGGGCAAAAAAATTAAGACAAACATTTTAGATAAATTCACTTCTTAATTCAATGTTTAATTTTTTTAAATTTTAATGTTTCTGGCAATGGCAGTGGCTACAATATGCGCCGCAGCACCTTGTAAACCCTTATAAGCTGGGTCTTATATTTCTCATAAACTTCATTTACCTGTCTTTAGTAATAGACATAATTACCAGCGCCTCGAGTACCGTACCTAATTGTTGGTAGATACGTGCACTATATAAGACTCGGGTATTATTATTATTACTATTATTAATTTTGAGTCTCAAAGTTATGCAAACTATGTTGTTGATATCTGTGTGTAAAAAGCACTCTTTGGAAAAAAAATTATGGAAATAATATTTTTTAAAGTTTCACTAATATTTCATTGCACATCTCAAACTTTTTTTTCTGATAAGGACCACGTTTAGTAAAACATAATTTATATGCTGTGAAACCTCTGTTTCATATCCTACAGTTATATCTGCAAAACTCCTACCAACAAAGATTTTTTTATATTCTTTTATAAAGATCTTTTTTTATATGCAGATTTGAAAGTTGTATATTACAACACGGATCTCAATATTGTCATTTACGACATAAAGGTATGAGCCCAAATAGTCAATAAGTTATGTGCAGTTCTAAATAAAAGTGGAATATTTCAAATTTATAAATTTAACAAAACTTTTAACTAACATACCAACCAATATCAATTTGCACATATTTAAATTTCAATATTCAATAAAATCATAAATGTGCCACATGTTCTACATTTAAATGTGATATCTATTAAAGAAACCTCCAAATTTAACCTTGACGATATCAACAGACTGCTCTTTTAGTTAGAGCAGTAGCACTACAAAAGCCTATCTTTCAATGCTCGCTTTTTTAAATCACAAATCAAACACCGTTGCTATAAACACAGGTCAACACAGCTCTTATCTTGTCCAGGAGAAAGTGTTAACACAAGAGGACAAACAGACTCCTGGAGTTCAGAACAAGGTTTAAACAGTCTGAAAGTCAACACTACTTGATCAAGTATGTATGACTAACTGTTTGTTTTGTTGAGCTGCCTGCTGAGGCAGACTGTCTTTAATCACTGCAAACAAAATCCTGTGTGTTGGTTTGGGACAATACCAACACTGGGTCTGATCCTCAGTTCAGTTGTGCTGGGTCAACAGATTCCTCAGATAAAACCAGAAGTCATGTTCTTAAGTAACAGTGCAATAGATGTTTTGTTCAATTTGTATTGAATCTGACATGACAAAAAGCAGATCAGCTTATAGTCAAAGGGCCAAACATACATGTTATATCTACAAGAGTTGTATTGATAATTTTACAAATTCAGCTGGAGAACGTCTTACCACATCTTGAGAGGAAAGGCAGTAACAAGGAAACTATTTTGTGAGAAACAAGCTTGGCTTCTATGCTGAGTAATATCCCCACATAAATATGAGCATCTCAAGACGTTATGATGCTGTACAGCTGGAATTTGAGCATGGGATATGTCCCTTACAACATCCACGAGTGTATTCTAACAAGCCCATGCAGAGTAAAACTCTCATCACTGATTACTTGACTCTTAACACAAAGTCTCAGAATTGGTCTAGGAATGTTTATAAGATGTACTGGACAAGACTAGGGTTACCTAATCAAGCTGGACCACAAAGTCTCAGTTAAGGATGTTATCAACATGTATACTCAGACATACTATACTCTGTATACTCTGTGCAGACCAGTAAATAGGCCCAAAATTGCCTACGCTGGCCAAATCACAATTTACATGCCTCAAATTCTCCGGTATTAGAGCATTTTGAGGGCAGTGAGCTTAAGGATTTGTAAAAAAGGAGGGTGGAAGCCATGCAGAGGACTGCTAGCTTGTATTAGTGTGAAATGTGGATAAAATTAGGCCATAAAATGGCCCTATTTTACAATGGAGTGTAGGTGTCCATTTCCAAACTGGCGATGTGCTTCAGGCCTGCTTTTACTAGGGGTGACCATCATTGGGTGGAATTTTCTCCCAAAATTTTCTCCAAAAAGTCATTTGATAACCCCCAAAAAATTAAAAGGAAAATGAAAGATGATGAAATAAGCTTTAGTTTGATGTGTGTCTGAAACACCTTGGAGAGTTGTGAGTAGTTTTAATAATTTTGGGGAGTGCGCGTAATTATCACCGAGGTCTATGGCAGTCAATTGAATGGTCTGCAACCTTCAGGTCTGGCAAAAGTACAACCAAACGGGATACCTACGTCAGAAAATGAGTATTTTTTTTTACTTCCATGTAATGTTGGAATACTGACCAATGGGAAAGGTGCATTTGCTTATTAATATGTATGAGGTGTCAAACTGTCCAGTAGACTATGAGTATTCTGGCCTACCTGTCTCCCTGAATGGCCTTCTGTAGATCCAGCACAGCCCCTGGACTGGGGCTCCAGGTCTTGATGTGTGGGGAATACTTCTTGATTAGCCTGTTGAGGGTGTCCGGGTCGTTCTTAATATTTGTGGATTTGATATAACTGTGGGAGAGAAAACAAATAAAATACCAATGGTTTTGTTGATTATATAAAAAGCCTTCAACCTCCACGTACTATATTCATTGAATTCATATTTTAATACTTCGTAGCCTGGCCAACATATGAGCAATTTTGCCCCCGAAACGATGGGAAAAATGAAAGGAAAAATGAAAGGAATAAAATAAATTATCAATCATTTTAAACTTGTTTTTTTTTCTTATTTAAAGCTACAGGCCATCATTTGCAGCTATCCAGAAAGTAACTGACGTAATTGAGGTGGAAAAACATACTTGGTTGAAAGATAGTAAAGGGACTAAACTCCCTGTGAAAGTATTCTTTCTGGCATGCTGTCATTTTGAAGAAATCAACGAAAGAAGGCCTTTCAAACAATGCGTCTATTCGGCAAAGAACGCGTAAGCATTGACATGACGCACACGCGCGTGCGGTTGCTTCAATTCGTCGGATCAGTGCGCGACATCGCGTAGCTGCAATCGGCTCAGTGAGAACGTGTCTCGTACACTGAATTCAGGCCCAATTCAAAACATGATTCAGCAGCTTTTGATTTGAAATCGAGATCCTAGAATGTTGTTTTTCTCGGAAATATACAGCTGAAGCTGAGCTGAAACTTCGCCAGGTTATCTGTTCAGCACCCTTCTTTAGATTTTGAGCATGCTTGTTGCTTCAAACAAACAAAATGCACAAATTACAAATGATGGACTGTACCGGTACCTTTAATTTAATCTCCCCAAAACTTCATTTCCAATGGAAATGGCACATTAGCCTTTGCTTTGGTGCTGAGTCTGAACCAAGCATGCGTAGTGAGTGTTACTTACTGATCAGAGGGGTGAGCCTCAACAAAGTAACCGGCGAAAGGACAATAGATGACAGGTGATACGTCCCTGACTAGCTGCATCTTGTAGTACAGCAGCTTACGACGCTCACGCTTGACAAACTGAGCCTTCCATTCCTCTGCAAAAACAAATAGTACAAAGGAAGAAAACATCATCAGTGACCAAATTGTTGGGAGAACAACGATGTCAATCTGTATGCTACATGTAATCTGCTCACTTTGGAATCTTGCTTTTCCCCTTCTTATAATATGTCTCAGTTAAAACACAATGTTAATAGGTAAATATGCCGTTTCTTTTCAATTCAGGCGATTCACAATGCAGTGCGCCACCAAGAGTTTGCCATGGAGAGTCCATTTTTCAAGTTTACGGCTGACAAAACATGGCCATTTGAATGAGTGTCAGTAGACAACTTGAGCTAATTTGTTATAGATTGGGGCATAGCGTTCTGTCGCCTTACAAAAAAAACCACCATATTGATAAATAGAAAAGAAATGGGCAAACAGATACTCGAATCACATACGAAACTGTCGGACCGGAAAAACTAACAATATCACGCTGTGAATTTGTTGACCATCTCCCACTGAATTGTGAATCGCAGGAATTGCCTGCTCTCTTCTTTTACTTTCTCGTTTTCTCGTAGTCACCACATGAGTGGCCTTTATCCTTGTGGTTAATGATCCCATTAACCCTAACTCCCTAGCATGATTTACTAGGAACCATACCCATCCTGGCAAATTCCAACACCATATGGGAAACTGCGCACACATATTTCTGACTTAGTTTCTGGAGGTGTGCCAACCCAATGTAAAAGACTGTCAGTTTAGGGGTACTGCACCCATCCTGACAGATTCCAACTATACATCGTCGGTCGCACCACGAACCGGCGTATCTCGATTTTTTGCCAAATTGAGTTTTTGTCATTAACGTTATGATTTCATCAAAGTGCTCATTCTCAGAAAGTTTTATTCCAATCGGAGTTCTAATTAACTAAGAACGCTAATTAGACTGTGTGGCGTATCTCTAAAAAATGAAAAATGCTGCACCACGAAGTGGCGTATACTTTACACGCTAATTCCCATAGTGCTATGACGTCACAAAAGAGCGTCGACATGAAAAATTGGAATTTAGCGTTTCACGAACCGACGTATCTCCGTATCTGGCACACGGCCACTATTACGCGCGTTGTATGACATACAATAAACATGATAAAAATCTGTTTCACGAAGTGACAAATAGCTTTGGAACTAAATTTCTCAAAAACTAAGCAACTCAGATGCACACGGATTGCATACAATAAAGTTCAATCTATAATTTAATAGCAAAAACGAAACAGCTTGAATTCTTACACAGAGAGTATATGGAATGAGCCTACAAAATAATGACCAACTTTAAATTGGTTTTTCTCGAAACACAAAAAAATGCGATGCGTCAGTTCGTGGTGCAATTGACGACAAAATGTTGGGGTTTAATGGGTTGAGTTCTGTTAGGGTTAAAGAAAATAATAACCAATTACAGATTTGAGGTTTCTCACCCGTGTACTTTCCACCTGAGAATGTCATAGGGAAGCCCGACGCCCCTCCGGCAAAGTCACTCAACATCAGGTCCACTCCCGTGGGAAGTCTACCCCCGTTAGGATTGGTACAATCCACTGTATTCAATATCAGGTGACCTGCACACAAAGACATTGTGTGTATTATAATAATTGTTATTATGGAATACATTTATCAAGGATTTCCCTTCTAAAATTATCCGTTGTAGATGCAGATCTCAAGAAAACAAGTTAAAGGGAAGATACAACATTTGCAAAGAAAACAAGTTAAAGGGAAGATACAACATTTGCAAACATCGAAAAACAAAATGATCCAATTATCACGATATACCTGACTAAATTGTTAGGGAATGACAGTCTAAAGCATCCTGTAAACTTGTGGCTCCTGGTGTGCTGACATTTTCAAGAAAAAGTGTATTTTTCCAACGCTGGTCGGCCGACCAGCTACAAACAATTAAATATGAATAATTAGGAGCTGTTTTTGAAATAAGCCAGTTTTCTCCAACGCTGGTCGGCCGACCAGCGTTGGAGAAAACTGGCTTATTTCAAAAACAGCTCCTAATTATTCATATTTAATTATTCCGTATTTTCTTTGCAATTGATTACACACCTGTGAAGGGGTACAAGCCTGCTAGACTGATTCTCTGACCTTACATTTCCCAGATGTCTATAAATTGCTTTGTTCATCTTAAGTGGGGTCAGGGAACCAGACTACAAGCGCATGATTGGTTATCTTGGTTTTTCCAGCATCTACAAGCCCAAATCGTGAAACAAATCAGTTTAACAATATTATCTATAACATACTAACCCTCCAAACATTGCCAAATCCATTTATTTCTGAAAATTGCAGCAAATGCAAATGCTGTACGTTCCTTTTAAGGCTCTAGAAAATGATTAAAAATTTGTTTTGGATAAATTTTGAAGTTTTTGTATTGACAAGGAAAAAAGGGAGCTTGTCAAAATTTCCTTTAAATTTTTTTTAAATGTTGGGCAAGTAAAGAATTTAGTGTTCGTCTAAAAAAAATGGCAAGATTTTGGGGGCTGGAAGGAGATTGAGGGATCTAAAAATCCCTGAGCTTGACCAATGTACATTGTATGTGAGCTGGAAAACTTCTTGCAATGTGAACAGCAAGCCAGTACATTGGGGGTGCATTTGACGTATGTTAACAATGCTAACATTTGCTGACATTGCCTATGTTTACGCAAGTGGAGCCGACTGTTTGTCACTAACATTGGGGACCATTTGCCACTTTTTAGACATCAGGTTTTTTCAATGACTTTATCGTCCCATTCGGGGTTGTTACATTTGCAGTGCCTAGCTAACGGTAATTTATCCCAAACACGTTACTGGAATGTGCCCCAGAGTTGAAATAAATGATGAAATGCTCCCTTCAAATTTTCTTTCAGTCTCTGAAATAAGCAGAACCCCAATCTGGCAAAATAAGAGCTAACATTCGCTTCTTGTTAAGTTAATGGGCCCTTGTTATGTATTTTTTTTAATGCAATACTTGAAAATGCACCTGGTGTCCCATTCAACCTAATTTTCAATTTTCATTTTGCAATTTTTAAGGGCAATTTGGTGATTTTTCGGTTTTTATGCTAATGTGAATTTCCATATTCACGAGCAAAAGTGTGCTGTTATTTCAAGCAGAAACCTCAATGTTTCAGCTATTTCAGTACCAAAATTTGTCAGAATTTTAGACATTTTGCTGTTGTAAATTTTTTTTTTCTTGGTGATTCGTTGTTGTTTTAGTAGGCCTACATGGCTGTAAGCCAATGAGCAAAGTTTTCCCACAAATGTTTTCAAGGAGCAAATTTCGGGTTCACAATCTGAACAGAAAACCCCCAAAGTGAACAGTGTCTTCCTGAAATGACATCACAGCAACAGCACCCTCATTTGTCAGGAAAAGCATGGGAAATGTGAAATGTACAGCCTTAACAGTCCTGAATCCTCAAATTCCAATACGATTTGGCATACCCCCTAAGAGTTAGGGCTAAAAAAATTGCACTTTTCAATCAAATTTACCAAAAAATGGGTGTCAAATAGTTTTCATGCATTTACGAGGAGTAGAAAGTTGCACAAATTGTGTTTCTAAGAAAAATTCATCACATGGACCCTTTAAGCTCATCTGGAAAATAATTGTCTAAGTTGCCTGATTTTATTAAAATACATATTTGCATGCACGGCACCAACCTTTATAGTCCACTAATAGACAGGTGTCCATGTCAGGGTGCACACCGTCCATCAGTATCATGAACCTTGTGTCTTTATTTATCTGCACAGAATATGAAAACATCACAATTAAAAATCCGGACCTTACAAAATCCGCCAAAATCCACGGCGAGTTTCCTTGATTCGTATAGAGATTTTCAATTGGATACATGGATCATAATGATGTCTTCATCTAGATTTAAAGACCCCCCCCCCCCAAAAAAATGAAATTTAAAGGAAAATAATGTCCTGTAACAAATATATTTGCATTTTTGTTTTTGCAGGCCTTTATACAGTTTTAAAAAGCGGTTTTAAATGGTGCGCTTCAATTCAGAGATTGCGCACACTATTCAGAACGAAGTAGAAGCATCCCGCTCTTAATTCAAAAGTTGAAATTAATTAATTGATTACTTGTCGTGGGCCGATTTTTTCGTGCAATGTCTCATTGGAAAGCTCACTAATGTTATGCTAGAAAATTATCAATTCAATCTGAATATCTATTTTTCAAGGTGCCACACCCAAAAAGCATGTACACACACCAACTTTAATTTAAAAAAAAGTCATGCTTTTTAGTTATAAAATGTTACAGTTTCATTACAAGAATTTATTCATCACATTTTTTACACAGTAAGAGTATGGTTATTTCTGTACACCTTAAATTATTTCAGTGACATGTCACCAACTTTCTGTGTCAAGTTACAAAACTTCTTGTGACAAGTGACAAACTTTTGTGACACGGTGACACATGAGAAACTTGTCTATGACATGTTGCACTCTGATCAACACGTTACCTCTATCCATCTGCCAAATTTCTGAATGTTGATGTTGTTTAGCTTGACCCCGCTTTGTTTTAACCTGACGAAGACCGGCATGGAGGTATCACCGACATAAATGGGAATGTCAGGGTTCCGCTCGGATAGTAACTCAAGTGTAGGGTAACTGCAAACGGTTAGAAGAAAAATATAAGTGTAAAAAACTTTATTTTATAAGCAAGTGTTTACAATTCTTCATCTCCCAGTACTACATATCGTCGTGTGCCAAGGAAAAGAATGTTAGCAGCTCAGGCACGAAAAAAATAAACCACTTTTGGGGATTATCGAGTTACATGTACGTCCTTTTGCTTGGCTTTGCGTATCCACTTCAGTGGGACGTTAGCACACTTGGAACGTACCGGTATTTTGTTACATTAGTATTACAGGATAACGTCCTTTTGCCGGGGGAAAATAATGAAAAACCTCTTTCCCTCTTTTTCATACTGTTAATTACGTCAGAATGACGTAGCCCCCTGAGACAAAATGTTTATCAAATGAAAGATATTTCCCTGTTCTATTGATTACCCCCAAAAAATCGGAATTTGACCTTTTGAACCATTTTTTGCCCATTTTGACGATATGTTGTTACAGTGGCTTTGGGACCAATTTTATCATAAGGGGTGGGGAGGGTGGGTTACCAAATTCTCCCCCCCCCCCCCCAAAAATGTAAATTTGCCCGACGGCTGAGAATTAAACAAAGTTTCCACACTTTGGCTTTGTCTCTCTCTCTTAGACATTTGATGACTTTTGATGGTTTTGCGAGGACTTGCAAGGACTTATGAGTATGACTGACTAGAATACAACAATGCAAACTGGGCCATGTCCCGGTATGAACACTAACCATTGGAACATGCACATGTGGGTCTCTGCATACAATGTAGATGTTTTGATCAACTTCAAAAATCGTTGAGTTTGGATGGAATGAGGCCCTATTTTCATTGAGCTCTTCGGTATTAAGGGTAAAAACGCAGTGCTGTATTCGAGCCCATCACAAGTCATTTTACAAGCCCTTTTACAAGTCCTTTCATAAAGCCAGTCACAAGTACATGTACCTGGATGAACAATGACAAAGGAAGCTTTGATAAAAGTTCATTTGAATAGCTAGTGACTTGACCTGAGACTGAAAGACTTGCGATGGATTTGTAGGGACTTGCAGAGACTCAAATACAACACTACATAAATGAGTCAGCTCGAATCAAATAAAGGCCTACACTTTTTATCCAAGGGCCAGAAAAAAAAGTGGGGGGGGGGGGAGAGAGAAATGAGATAACACCCCACTTTAAAAAAGTTGGGGATCCCCCCCCCCAATCCACCAGTCTTCCTTTTTGTCAACAGTGAAAGAGGATTTATAAACAGAGTCCACTTGAAAAGTTTTTGATTCCAATTCTTCATATTGGTGTATTACTGTTTCTGTGATTAGACAGTCCAAGATCCACAAAACACAATTCATGTTAAAAAAAAAAGAGTAAATACCAGGTACTCACTTTAAGTGGTCCGAGTGAAGATGACTTATGTAAATGAGGTCAGCTTTGGACAGCCTATCCAGCCAATCAGATGGCGGCTCGTGCATCAGCCACCAACCGCGTGCGAAGGCGGGACCCGTCAACCACGGATCTGTGAACATGGTCACGCCTCCCAATTTCATCTCAATGCACGCGTGCGTGAAATAAGTGATCTAAAAGAAGAAAAGGTTACTTGAGTTCCTACATGTTTAATAAAAAAAAAATTCTTCAAATTATTCTGTTAAATTAATCTCAAAAACGGTTGCGCTGGGCTAAAACTGCAAATGCCATTAAAAAAAAAACAAGCTGTGCTGTGACTAATGCTCCAATAGCAGCAAAACAGCAAAAAAGATTTGATTTTGGAAGGAACCTTAGTGAAAAACCCACATACCTGTACCTATTCTAGCGCCACGCATTTTCGAATATTTTGGTATTCAATTATTAATTTACTACCGTATTCGATTATTGGATTCAATCGAAAATTTGAATATTCGCAACAAGCCGATCATATTTTACATAGGCCTATGCCATGAGCCCACGAACATTGATTGTGCCAGTCAGATATTAACCCTGACCTCCCCCAACGGCCCAACCAATCAAACCCCAAACGGCATGTTTTGTTGGAATCTGTCAGGATGGGTACGGTACCCCTAAACTGACAGTCTTTTACATTGGGTTAGCACACCTCCAGAATCAAAGTCAAAATATGTGTGTGTGCAGTTTCCCATATGGTGTTGGAATTTGCCAGATGGGTATGGTTCCTAGTAAGTTATGCTAGGGAGTTAGGGTTAAGTGGGCTGCCAAATGGATTCGCTGTGCCTGTTGAAAAAATTGATGAGCTGATGAAAATATAAAGAACATTATCATGTGTACATCGTAAAAATGTTTTTAGTTACCCGAATAGCTGATATATTGTGACTGTAGATCAAATGTAAAGTGACTGTAGATCAAATGTATCTTTCGACAAACAATAAAACCTTACATTTTGTTTTCGAATATTCGAATCGAAAAAATGCTTTTCAGATGTTTGGCGAATGATTGAATATTCAAATACTCAGTATATATTTACACAGCCCCACCCGTTTTTACAACTAAACAAAATGCGAAACATCTGGTCCCATGGCCAAACAGATCCACAGCTCACTAGAAACACCAATACCAGTAGGTGAAGCTAGAAAATTAGCAAGTCAACATGTGAATTTATTATTCAAGTTGCCCCAGCCAAGCAGCAAAGACACCCAATATTCACCAAGGACATAATGCAAAAAAAGAAGAGAATTTTAGTTGTAATCATGGCAAAAAGTGCTTAGCTATTAACAGTTTTGTGCAAAGCTGAGACAGAAATCTACTTACTAACAATGAATTTATTATTTAAGATCAGCTGCAATAGCAATTTACACGTCATTAAGCACAGTGTCATCAAAAGTTACAACAAATTATTACAAGGTGTGAAAAGAGCAAGTGAGCAGTATCAGAATTTCTTCTTGTACAGTTTTAAGTCACACAGGGTACCAGGTGTAAAATTACCCATATAAGGGCATGTCCAGACAGCATTATTTATAGATTCCGTGACACAATAATCAAGCTGGCAGTGTTGTAGTATACTCATAGCGTCATAGTCATACATGTACGATATTTGTACTCCCACAAGTACTCATTAGTACTCATGGAAACGTTCTCCTACTGGAATATATATCGGTACTTCTTTAAAGCTATAGTCCATCATTTGTAATTAGTGCATTTTGTTCGTTTGAAGCAACAAAAGTGTTCAAAATCTACTGAAGGATACTGAACAACTTAATTGATGTTTCATTGAAGTTTCAGCTCAGCTTCAGCTTCATATTCCAAGAAAAACACCATTCTAGGATCTCAATTTAAAATCAAAAGTTTGCTAAATCATGTTTCGAATTGTTTTGAATTGCAGCTTTACGCGATGTTGCGCACTGATCCAACAAATTATAGCAACCGCGCGCGCCTGTGCGTCATTCCAATGCTTGTGCGCGCTGCACCGAATAACAAAACGAACAACTAATTTAAATTTTCCAACGGTGCTTCTTAAGAAGCACCATTGGAAAGGCCTTCTTTCGTTGATTTCTTCAAAATGAGAGCTTGCCAGAAAGGATAATTTCACAGGGAGTTTAGTCCCCTTACTATCTTTCAACCAGTATGTTTTTTCAACAATAATTACGCCGGTTACTTTTTTGGATAGCTGCAAATGATGGACTCGAGCTTTAAGAGGTTCATACGGGAAAAGAAGCAACTTTTCACTGTTTGGGAGCTTTTTAGTTTGTCTAATGCCTAGTTTGTCAGCAAAAAGCCATGAGAACGTGTATATACTCAAATGTAATCGTACTCGATCATGGGGGAAAACATGTCTCGTATTTGTACTCGTATCTGAACTCATGGTAAGGTACTCATACTCGTACTCAAACTCATGGAAATGTAGGCCTACATGTACTTGACTACAACACTGCGCACTAGCCTGAATATCCATGTACCGATATGCATTATTAAGCATTTTCAGAATGACATGATGTCAAAAAAAATGTTGAAAGGTACTCAGCACTGTTCAGTGTTGACAGTGTACACAAAGTTATTTTATCCATGGAAGTAAATTTGACATGCTACTTGTCTACTGCACAACTTGTGTACATATTGGCTCAACACACAATGTGCTTGGCCACTTACATGTAACTTTCAGGCTGATGTGAGACACAGTGCAAATATTCTCTCATGCATGTCATGTTTTAAATATTGTGCTGTCTGAACACACCCAGAGAATTGGAAGGAAGTGGCAAGATGGCAAGTTACCTATACACTGTGAAAGAGAAAAGAAGTTATTGTGCATTACAGGGGAGTCAGGTTGACGTAGCGGTACTTTCCTCGCCTTCCACCGCTGTGACCCGGGTTCCAATCCCACCTGGGCCCATATGTGGATTAGGTTTTCAGTCCCTGCCTGATTCCGTGGGTTTTCCACAAAAATATCCCTAGGGGTTTTCCTCCCACCTCTAAACTGTCATTTCTCCTCATTGTCTTCTCTCCATAGGTTTCTTCAGGCTTGCAAGCTACAATGCCTAGGGCGCTTTTGAGGAATCCTCGGTTTCATTACAAGAAATATTTAATAATAATAATACAGCACTTACATGTATCAACCCATACACATACATGTATTAGAATGTACATGTACATGTATGGGTCTTTCTATAAATTTGGGGTCCCCTTTTTTTCTCCAGTCCCCGTTTTATCTGACATCTACGATACTGTTTCCAGATGCACTCTTTAAGGGTAATTTATGTGAAGCAAATGATCTATCCCACGAATACAATTGGTTTCAAGTCATTTTTAATGACACTTAAAAGTCAAATTACAAAGTTCCGAGGTAACCAGGACAGGAAAAATGTCACACTTTGGACCCTCAATTTATAAAATTACCCGCATGTTTACTACATTTTACTACATTGTACTTATTCCCCGAAGAATCCATGAAATCTTAAGAGTGCTTGAGCAGTTTCTAGCAATACAAGGAGAGTAAATGACAGGGCAGTTTGGGGCGGTATTGGGACAAAAGTGTTAAATTTCTAACTAGCGGTATTGGGACTAAAGTGTTAAATTTCCAACTAGCTCAGAAGACCCTTTCACATATTTTTTTCCCACGCAGAACCTGAAATGTTATTTCCCCTTGTACACCACATTAGCCAATAAAAGAGTTAGCACGTGCATTTACCAAAAAAACTACCGTAAATGAGGAAGCTACAGAGAGTATATTTAAACCTCGAGAACACCATGTCATACGTACATCTCTGTCAATTCGTGAACGTATCGATGACCTTACGAATCAGACAGCTGCAAGGGTATTGTACGGCGAGTAAATACATGAAGTTGGAAAGTACGGCCACTATCGTGGCTCTGCTAACGACATTATGCAGTGCTGTAGTTGAGACCATCACAAGTACGGTCAAAGTCACAAATCCATTCACAAATCCAGATTTGTTTGTCACAGTTTATCTGAATAGTCTGTGACTTGACGTGAGACTGGAAGATTTGTGGTGGACTTGTGATGGACCCGACTACAACACTCGGCTTATGATAATCATTCTGTGTTAAGACACACTAGCAACAAAATTTGGCGTTAATTCTGTGCACACAGATCCCTAAGGGGTTCAACCTGTAAATACCCTGTTAACATTTGAAATATGTGTTTCCACAAATTTTCTAATGTACAAAGTTAGTAAAAGCCCTTTACACACTACACATGTACATGGTGAGTGAAAACAAATGAAACCCAAATGTTGGGACCATTTTATTAGTGAAGGTCTGCATGTAGCTCTTTCCAAATCTAGGATATGAAAGCCCAATTCTACAAGAATCATTCTTCAATTTACGGAATTTTAAATGCAGAACTTCACTAAAAAAAATGGACCTGACATTTGGGTTTCCTATTTTTTTACTCGCCCTGTATTATCTCACCTACATGTACCCGTATTAAAATCAATATAAGTCTACTGTAAGTGGGACCAGGGCCCAATTTCTTGGCTCTGCTTACTGTTATGTTAGCGAAAAAATTCCCTGCTTACTGTAGCAGAAAAATCTGTACTTACGGTAAGTTTATTTCACGGTTTAGTGACAGATTTTGGCTTTTTGACATGTACATGTACATCCTGTAACTGAGGATGCTGTGCTTATTTTTAAATGGTAATCGTAAGCAAGGAATTCTTTGGTTCGTATAGTAGAGCCATGAAATAGGGCCCAGGTATCACTGAACGAAGAAGTAGGCAAGGCATACCGTTCACACTTTACACCAGTGTGAACATGGTTCTGCTGTACATTTTGGATTTTCTACCTGGGTAGAACCTCCCAACCCTGGTCCAGACTCGGGTTGGAATTTTACCAGTGTAGAGAGCCGGACCCATGTAGAAGTCATGTTGGATTCTTGCTGGTGTAAAATTGGTTCCCGAAATCTCCTTGTTCACCAAAATTTCGGACGGGTGAAAGGCCATGAAATTTTGACCACCAATTCTCTGGAACGTGCCCAATGGCAGAACAGTTAACAAAACTTATACTGTTGGGAACTAAATACATGGACAGAACTTGCAGAAATTTGTTTAGACAAAAAAAAGATTTGCTGCATGATGTTAGTTACCCATTCACCATGCTGAAATGTCCAACATTGAGC